AATATTCAAACTCTGGTTTACCATGAAAAAGGTATCATTTCCTTTGAAAACAAGAGATTGGGATATGAAAATAATAGGTAAGATCTGATTTATCACATTTGTGCCCTGTTCACAACTGGTGATTTAAAACCTATATACAGAAATTGTCACACATACACAGAAAATGCTTGATATGGATTAGAGCTGCATAATGGACATAAACATTTGAACAGACCTCATTCCAAACAACAACAAAAAAGTACAAAGTTTTCTTGAATAAGTCTAATTGTTTGTGTTACTGTAAATGGCAGATGGATATCATGAACAATCCAACATTATTTGTATTTTTTGTAATAGTAGTGAATATATGTAGCTCGGGTGTAGGATGAAAGTGAAAGATCATTCTCTGAGGTTGTGGTAATGAACATTTTGTTACTAGGCTAGGTAACATCTTCAGTGGAGTTTAGGGGATGTCAATCTTGCGCATGCCTTCCACTGAGGGGAGGCACAAAGCCTTCTCTACCTGTGGTTCTCATTTGACTGTTGTATGTCTTTTCTATGGGGCCACCATTGCCACCTATGCTCGTCCCACTTATTCTTATTCAGGCAAACAGGCAGAATAATTTCTATGCTGTATGGGATAATCACTCCCATGCTGAACCCTATGATCTACAGTCTGAGAAATAAGGAAGTTAAGAAAGCTTTGAGAAAAGCCTTTAATCTGAAAAGATTTTCATAAACATCTCCTAAAACAACAAAGCCTGCAGCTGGATAGTGGGAAGGGCAAGAAGCTTAGATGGGACACTCCTTAATTTCTTGGACTTTTAAAGAAATGGGGTGAGAGGGGGAGAAATGTACTTTCAGAGTTGCAAGATTTTGTCAATATACTTAGAATTAAATCATCTAGTTGACAATATTTCTATTTTGGTATCTATAAGGAGAGAACCAATATTGTGTGGCGATTAAGGCATCAGGCTAAAAAGTGGAAAACTGTGAATTCTAGTCCTGCCTTAGACATAACTAGCATAGTGGCCTTGGGCTAGGTACTTTCTCTCAGCTCAAGGAAGGAGGCAATGCCAAATCAGTTTTGAAAAACCTTGCCAAGAAAATTACAGGGACTTGTCCAGGGAATTGCTGAGAATCAGACATGATTGAAAGGAAGAAAAAAAAGTCTATAAAGGGGGGGGGGGAAGCTAAAGGTTTTTGCTTTTCTTTTAGAACCATCCTTGCCATAGATATTAGAATGCATGAAATTGTGATGTAACTGTACTTATAATGCAATTATCAGGGTATCCGCTGTGGTCCGGAAATAAAGAGGCAGGAACGCCAGTACACTCGTCAAAAGCTTTATTCTTCTGATGAAACAAAGTTAGCACTGGGAGTGGCTTTCTCCCAGTGCTCTATAAAGGTTTGCCACACCCTGTATCCCCGCCCCCAACCCCAAACCAACATCCGCCTGAGCCAGATAAAGGTCCCACCCTCTCCCTGTGCTTTCCCTTTTCCCCACTGGACTCCACCTCCATGCTCCCCACGTTGCACAGCCAGTCCCTGTGTGCAGCCGCCAAGCTCCGCCTGCTCTCCGTCCGAACGGTTCGGTAAGGCTTCCCCGCCCTCTACTCTGTCCGGGACTGCCTGGAGGGGTGTTACAGAATCCCGGCAACCCCCCGCGTTCCCCGGCACCAGCGTGGAAAATGGCGGCCCGCTCCGGTGCTGCGCAGGCTCGCCGGCAGTCTCCCGTATCTCCGGCGGTGGTCATCCATCGGCGGAGGTCGAGGCCACGCCCTGCCTTGCAGTTGTCTACGTCGGCGTGGCCGCTGCGGCGCATGGGCCCCAAGGGCGGACCGTTGCAAGCCCCTGGGTGGTCTGGATGGCGGCCATGACGACGGGCGGCACGGCGGATCTCGGCGGTGGTAAGCTGCCGTGTGCATTTCCCCTTCCCTGTGTGCATGGCAAGCCCCTGGAGGCTTGACATGCGGCCCCCTCTACCATGAGTCCTCCTGGAAAGAGAAATGGAGAGGTTGAGCATATAGTGTTGCATCCATGCCTCCCTGGTTTCCCCGGACACCCACGGTGGAACGCTCAGATTAATCTAGGGGCGCTGATGTCCTCCTCCCCTACCCAGGTTGCGTCCGTGAGTGGGTATCCCTTCCACTCAAGGAGGTATTGCACCCATCCATGCCAAACCCGGCAATCCCGCTGAACCCGGCAATCCAATCTTGTACTTCGTACTGGGATCCCACAATCGGTCCCGGCGCCTTGGCAGCGCAGGGAGGCCCATGCGCTGGCTTGAGTAGGCTGCTGTGAAATACAGGATGGACCCTCCCCAAGAACGAGGGTAACCGCAGCTGGATGGTTACCGTATTTATTACTTTGGTTACCTGAAATGGGCCTACGTATTTCGGACCTAGCTTTTTACAGGGAATTTTCAACCGGAGATATTTTGTGGACAAATACATCCAGTCCCCCATCCTAAATGGCTTGTGCTCCACCCTTTTCTTATCTGCCTGTGCTTTAGCCACTTCCTCAGCCTTGCAACACTCCAACTCTGTTATCCTGACATTTTCACTTGTAGGTGAGGTTCCAACTGCCCTCTAGTAAAAAGGAGGCAATTTTAATCTGTGATAAATGTGATTTTTTTTCACTCAGAATAAATGTTTGTTGTAATGTTTATGGATCCATGGTATTCTTCTACCAACTTTTGGAATTTAAATAAGAACAGCTTGATAGCTTAATGCACTTTCCTTTTTTGTTTTCATTTTCTAAGAATATTATGAACTACATGAAAGTGAGATAAGCATACATTCTCATTATATGTCAATATTCCTCTTCAACCCTTCAAAAATTCTGATTTTGAATGGGAGTATTAACAGCTATTCACTGGTGGGATTCAAATATGTGATCAACCGGTTCTCTGTGTGGATGCCACTTCTGGAAGTCTGTTATGGGCCTGGGCAACAAAAAATTAACTACCGGTTCTGCTGAACTGGTGCGAACCGGCTGAATCCCACCACTGCATCTATTCCATTCTAACGTAACACTTTGGTGAGAAAATTATTAACTGAGATTAATGTGCTTCACATGTTAGAGAGCCTGGATTATGGAAATTGCTACTGTGCTGAAATGTCCAGATTCTAGTTTTTTTTTCATTCCTTATTTCCTCACTGATCACCTGTGATTGAAATAGAGAAGATATCATAACGAAACAGGAAAATGCAAACAGTGTTATTGAGCAAGTGTCTTTGCCTGAGTTACTTTTGGTTCTGGAACTAGAAAAATCTGAAGAGAGAGAGAGAGAGGGAGAGAGAGAGAGAAGGGAAGAGGAGGTTGGGGAGGAGACAGAGAAGAAATTAAAATAAGCTACATTCTACTTTATTCAAGCTCTGTTTTATATATACTGTACATATACATACATATTTATTTACATAAATAAAAGATAAACATTAACAAATATAAAGAGAAATTAGAAAAGGTATTTTAAAAGTGCGAAAAGCAGTTAAGAAAAAAGAAATGTAAAAATGTTATTTTCAAATTTTGCAGCAGTTACGAATAAACTAATTATCCCTCCTCCTCTTTATTATTACATTACAAAGTTTTCTTCTATCCTGTATTCAATCAGTTTTTCAATCAGCAAATCAAGGAATCAATATTCCACTTTTTTCCATTTTCAATAATATGTTGCAAAATAGATTTCCAGTTGGTACCTAAAGTAATCTTCCCTGATCCAGAAATGTTTGGTCATATTTATCCCCATCTTCAACCTATACTTTTTCTGGACAGTTGTTGAGAAAGTGACAACTTAATTTCAATTTTGAGAAATTTAATTATTTTGAGATCCAGTCATGGAATAGAAATGATGTCAGTCACTAATGGATGAAGTTTGTCAGGATAGGGATGAAGAAAGAGGTCCTCCTGGTTCTTCTGGCTACCCCATGGTTGAATGTTCTCCTCCATGTTCTTTCTCGTCATGCTGTATGAAACCATTGGAGGGGGTCATCTGTTGTGTAGGATGAAACTTGTTTATTTATTTTATTTGTATGTCCAATGTCTCTGATGACATTCAGGTATGCATTACCAAACTGAAAATGGCTTGAACCAACGTCTATCAGATAGAAAAGAAAGCCCAATTAAATGCCTCCAAATCAAGTCACTCATCAGTAAATATCCAGAAACATTGTGCCCCACAAAGGACTTGGGGCATGAGTTAGGGGTCTTCATGGAACTGTGGCTAGGGTTCGTATGGCAGTCATAACCTCTTTGGCCCAATATGGTCAAGATTGATTATTCATGCTTTGAGCATCACTTGGATGTAATGAACTCTAAGTAGGGCAGGCTTTGGAAACCACCTGGAAACCATCTGGTTTAGAATGCAGCTGCAAGATTAATGGTGAGTCAACCCTGCCATGGCAGGATAACACCTTTCTTGAAACCACTGCATTGGATCCCACTAGTCTTCAAGACCCAACTCAAAGTACTGGTAACCTATAAAGTTCTCTAAGACAGCACCATGTTACATTCAGTTCTACTTGCAACTATTGAATCCGCCTCTTCAGAAAAAAAAAAACCCTAGGAAAACCTGTTAAGAATCATCTCACACACACACATACACACACACACACACACACACACACACACACACACACACCTGAATTGAGGAGGAGGCATGGATGAAATGATAGGCTTTCTCTGCAGCAGTGCCCACACCTTGGAATTCTTAATTCACAAAGATCTGTAAAGCTCCATCTTTAATAATCTTAAGAAAACAAATGAATGAGTTTGGAAGTTCTAGCATGGGTGCGTATGTCCCATGGTTTGTGTTTGTGTTTTATTGCGCCTCAATGGTTTCTGTTTTAATGTAATTATTTTTGTTTGCGTTTTTTTGTCACCCCAGTTTCTTGGTTAGATGGCTGGCCATATAAATTGGATGACTGACTGACTGAATGAATGCTACCATTTAAAGATATTTTTATTACACTGTGCCTTAAATCTTAGCTTGATTTTCATAGATTTTATAGACATCCATCTTAGGACAGGTTGATTTATTATTACTGTTTTTTTTAAAGTTTGGCTCATTTCCATTATTGATTTTGTAATTTTAATCTGTTGCATTTTATCTAGTTCATGATCTGTTGAGTGGGCAAGATATAAAAAGTTGCAAAATAGACACATATATACATGTCATATTATAAAAACAATTTCTTAACCTTCATTTTTCTCCAGGCTCCTTTAACTTCTTTGTTTCTTAAAACATAGATAAGGGGGTTCAGCATGGGGATCACAACAGCATAAAACACAGAAATTACTTTGTCATAATTCAGAGAATGAGAAGAGCTTGGTTGCACATACATGAAGAAGAGGGTGCCATAGAAAATCACAATAGCAGTCAGGTGGGAGGCACAGGTAGAGAAGGCTTTGTGTCTTCCGCTAGTAGAATGGTTTCTAAATATGGCATTCAGAATATAGATAGAGGAGATGATGACTGTGAAGAGGGACCCAGTTAAATTGATTGTACTCAAGGCAAAAAGCTGGATTTCTTTTGTCTGAGTGTCCGAGCAGGATAAAGCTAGAAGTGGTGGGTCATTGCAGTAAAAGTGGTTAATTAAATTTGGACCACAGAAGGATAACTGGAATGTTAATGCTGTCTGGATTATGGAGTTCACAAATCCATAGCTATAGATACCAACTACCAGGGAAACACAACACTTTTTGGACATAATTCTAGAATAAAGCAATGGATGGCAAATGGCCACATATCGATCATATGCCATGACTGAGAGCAAAAATAATTCAGTGGTCACCAATGCAACAAACATAAAAAATTGTATAAGACATCCACCCCATGAAATGGTTTTCTTGTCAGCTAAAAAATCTGTTATTGCCTTGGGGGTTACAGTTGAAGAATAGCTGGCATCCAGGAAGGCCAAATGGCTGAGAAAGAAGTACATTGGAGTATGTAGCTGGGGATCCATCTTGATCAACAGGATCATCCCTAGATTTGCACTCAGTGTGATGATATAAATAATCAAGAATACATTAAAGAGAACAACTTGTAATTCTGGATGATCTGTGAATCCTGAAAAGATGAAATCCGTCACCTGGGTCTGATTTTGTCCCGTCATATAGTCCTGCCTTTTTTTCCTGCCAAGGATTTGAAGAAAGGAAGAAGAAATCAAGATTACTATATTGTTGTTCATTCACTTTTCACGTTTACTGGATTATTTTAAAATAAATATTTAATGTTTGTTGATCTGAAAAGTGGACCCTGAACATGTGGGAATAACATTAGGAAGATGAGGATGGTTTAAATATGCTTCACTGAAGTTTCATATTCAAGCTCACTCACTTTATTATTGAATTTGAGAGCCAGTTTGGTCTAGTGGTTAAGGTACGGTACCAGTCTAGAAACCAGGAGATTGTGAGTTCTAGTTCTGCCTTAGCCATGAAAGCCGGCTGGGTGACTTTGGGCCAGTCACTCTCTCTCAGCCCATCTCACCTCACAGTGTTGTTGTGGGGAAAATTGGAGGATGAAGGTGTGTTGGATATGTTTGCTGCTTTGAGTTATTTGTAAAATAATAAAGGCAGAATATAAAAACAAACAAATAATACAATTTCTCTAAATCAAATAAAATTCTTTTCATATATTCATACTCTTTTGAATTGAAAACTGAAAAGAAAACACTTGGCTGGCATAATCTTGTCCCAGTGTAGTCATATTGCCCTTCACAAATCTTGTTCATTATTCTTTCTTGTACCCTTTCAATGAGACTTCTGTTAACATTTTCCAAGGCATATTTAATAAACTTGTCTATAGTAGTTGCATCCATTCTTTCTATCTTTCCTTTGTATAAGAAATAATAATTCTTTCAATTTTCAGGCAGAGACACAGCCTCCACAAATGTTAATTAAGTCTCATAGTCATTTTGGAAACAATCGACATCCATATTTTAACAATTTTTGAATTATACCATTTACATTTGCAGTTGGTAGAACAATATTAGAACTGGCAGTGAAAATATTGGTGAATAGCTTCTGCCTTTTAGGATCACGCATCAACAGTAAACTAACAGTCAAGCATTAAAATGCAGACTAGCACTTGGTAGAGCATCCTAAAGGCTTTGGAAAAGAATATGCCTACAATATAATACCTAACTACCGTGGTAGGTAAGTAAGACCTACCCTGAAAATAAGCCCTAGCTTGATTTTGGGGGATGGGCCTAATATAAGTCCTACCCTCAAAATAAACTCTGGTTTTGGGGTGAGGCACACACCTAAAATTCAAACTAGGATGGGGGTGGGGGAGGTGGAGATGCCCTACATGCCCTGCACCCATTTACTTTGCAGCTAGGCGTCTCCTTGCCAGCCCACTTCTTCTCCGGTGTCCACAGGCCTGCATTTTGCAGTCAAGGCCTTTCTGGAAGGCCACTGCAGCCAAGAACCGATTTATGGATTGAATCCATTGCTTGGCTATTGGCTGCAGAGACCTTCTGGAAAGGCATGACTGTGAAATGCAGGCCCAAGCTCCATTCTGAGTTGCGGAATGAATCTGCTCCTTCAGCCACAGAAGAAATGGACCTGCTGGGAGAGGCTGTCGGTGCCAGAGGTGAGTGGAAAAGACACCCTCCCCTGAAAATAAGACCTGGTGCCTCTTTTGGAGGCAAATAAATAAATAAATAAATAAAAATAAGAGTTGGTTTTATTTTCGGGGAAACATGGTATATTCCAATAAAATATACAAGCCATATTATTCTCTTGTGACATCGTATGGAATGAAAGTTGGACTTTGAAGAAACAGGATAATCAGAATATTTGATACTTTAATTTTGATATTAGAAGTCTGAGAATGCCATGGACAGTCAAAAAAACCCCCAATGAATCAACAAATTAATCAAGAATTCTCATGTAAGGACAGATGATCAGTCTCAAATTATTGTATTCTGGATACAATCTTATACAAAGACCAAGTTGCATAGAGAAGGCTCTAATTCTGGGAAAGTTTAAAGGAAAGACAGAAGGCCTTCTTTACCTTGACATTGATTGCTGCCCTCCAGGACCAAAATGTTTTTACCGATTCACCTGTGAAACAATGAGCAGACAGGTTTTGTTTTTCCTCCAGATGTTCTGAGGGAAGGGTGTACGGATATACTGATGGCTGCTTAAAAAATAAAAAGGTGAAATTGACAAGGCTGTGCTATTTTCTCCTTCCAGGACTACATGCAACTAAAACGTACAAAAGAGTCATCACTAAATGTTAATTTTTGCTTTTGCTAGTATTATTAAAAATTCCTTAAATTATTGCAGCTTTTTTTAACTTTCTGATAATTTAAACACTACACACACACACACACACACACACTTCATAAGCTGGAGTAAGATGATTTCACATTTCATGTATATGAAATATAAAAATGAGCAAATCAGTGGTAGAAAGCAGCAATAGTATATGTATTTTAAAAATGCTCTTAAGAGCCTACCTGATTAGTCCAATGTCGCCTTGAAGCACAGTTGTTATCAAGAATTTATATAGGAAACACCATAATTATATACAGTATTGCAGTTGGTTTAATGATTTTCTCCCTTGATAGTGGTTAAGCATGTTTACTAACAAGCAGTGACTAGAGGAAAAATGGAAACAGAAAACAGCCAGACACCATTTTCCTATTAAGTCAAACCTATGATGATGTTCTCCTGCATCTAACTTATTTTTGAAAGATCTCTGCCTAGCTCAGTAAAACAGCAGCTACCTCCATTTGGGTTGCACATTAGTACACAGAATGCAGACACTGACAGAGATAACTAGTCTCATTAAATACTATTCTGTATAAAAAACCTCTCTGAACATAAAAATTTGAATAACAGGAAATGCCTTTTAACCTTGTTTTGACCCCATTATGCTAGAGTTGTACTTTCTGAGATGCCAAGATGTTCAGAAACAAACATTGTTCTTTGTTCTCTTTTCACATATTATTTGCTGATGTTGACAACTGCCTTCACTGGGATCTAAAGTTCAAGGAATGAATCTTTTTGCACACAAAAGTTTTACCTTTGATTCTCTTAGGAGCCATAGAAGAGCAGCTGCCTAATTAATGAAGAAGGGCAGATAAAGTGCAGGAAGATGGAATTAAATCTTTTGGAGAAGACCAGATCCTATACAGCAGGCTTGTCCAATCCATAGCCTGCAGGCCACATGCAGCTCTGGACAGCTAGTAATGTGGCCCCACAACTTTTAACATTATTGTGTGCTTTTTAGTGATTTTTTAAAAAGTGATACTATATTATATATTTTGTATGTGGTCCAAGACCTTCACTCTTCATTTAATGAGGCCCAGGCAAGCCAAAAAGTTGGACACCCATGCTATACAGCAGGGGTGTCAAACTTGATTTCATTGAGGCCGCATCAGCACTGTGGTTGTCCTTGGGAGGCCAAATGGGTGTGGTTGGGTGGGCATGGCTGACTGGGTGGGCGTGGCTGGCTCGATGTCGTTTGCATTGGGGGGCACCTGTGGGGGGGCCAGGTGGGGCTAGGGAGGGAATTTGAGGGTCTCTGGCAGAGGGGGATGGGACCAGGCAGGCGCCGGGGTCTGGTCCACCAGAGAAGCCTCACCATCCCTCTCAGTGTGGGCTACCCGGGACCCTGGGCAGTAGGGGGAGCAGGCATCTGGCCTGGCCCTCAAGCTTCCAGAAGCCAGGACCCTGCAATCCAGCCTAGCTCTGCTTCCCAGGGGATGCCCGGCCACACACAGGGCAGCTCCAGGGCTGGGCTCAAGCAAAGTGGGAAGGGGAGTCCTGGCTGCCTCTTGGGGATGGGGAGCTTTCCACCCTTCCCATTTGCTGGGGCTGTTGAGGGTGTGGTGGCAGGTGGGAGGCTCGTCCCATGTGTGCAGCAGAGCTGGAGGACGAAGTTGTATGGCGGGGGCCAAGTGGGCCCTACCATACATCTTTGCTTGCCTGTGCCTGCTGCAGCTGGGTGGGGCAGGTGGCTGGCTGACTGGGTGGCACATCTGGTGGGTTGGATCACGTGCCTTCTCCCCTGTACTTCTGCTTCTGCCTGCCGCTTGAATCTGGCCCACTGTTCTGTCCCAGCCTACGCAAATATGGGTTGAGGCAGTTTGGTGGAAGGATGGTCTTTACAAATGAGTAAAAAAAAGATGCTTTGTTATCTGTTGCCCTGGATATTCTTGATTATGCATGCTAAAAATTTCTAGATTACTGCAAACAGTGCACTGTGAAGAGAATTACTAGAGAGGTGGATAGAAAGAGTAGTCTGTTCTGAAATGCCACTATGATAAATAAGCGGAATGTTTGTGTTTTCTTATGAAGAATTGAGTAACATTTGTGGAAAATCTATTTAAATAGATTTTTTCATGTGCTTGTAAAAATACAGAATAGCCAAGTATTCCAATATGACAGATATTTTGATTTAGAGATAAGCTTTAACACTTCCCAGTGCTTCATTTGGAAGGAATCTATGCATTGCAATAATTAGTTAATATCTCATTTAATGTAGGACTTTTTCTGTAAGCAAAGGTCTGCTCCAAAGCACTGTGACTTGCAAGCCCATAATTACTCTATTCCATGTGATTGGGACATAGTTTTATCTATTATGTGTCTCCATTTTTCCTTGCTTTTTGCCTTTTGCCATCCTGACATGTTAGAAGACTGGGAGTTGCAATAATTTCTGCAGTCAGCATATCTGATTACAGAATGGGAATGCATCACAGAGCTTCCACAATTCAAAGCAAGCTTTCCTAATAAGCATTCATACATGACAGCCATGGCAGATAAGAGAAGGTCACCTCCTGTTTTTGGAGAAAAAACAATAAGAGATGAAACTGGAAGATAGCAATAAATCTCAATAACATTATGTATTCCTCCTGTGTATCATCCTATAAGGAATAAATTCATTAAAAATAGCAAAGGATTCAAATAACTTGTTTAAAAAAGTACATTCTAAGTGTACATAGCAGAAACAATTCTGTTGAACAGAAAGAATGACAATTTGTTTATGGAATATAAATTATAGGTAGTCCTCGATTTACAACCACAATTGAGCCAAAAATTTATGTTGCTAAGTGAGACATTTGTTAAGTAAGTTTTGCCCCATTTTACGACATTTCTTGCCACGGCTATTAAGTGAATCAATGCAGTTGCTAAGTTAGTAACATGGTTATTAAGTGAATCAGGCTTCCCCATTGACTTTGCTTGTCTGAAGGATTGCAAAAGCTGATCACATGATCCTGGGACACTGCAAGCGTCATAAATATGAACCAGTTGCCAAGAATCCCGATTTTGATCACATGGCCAGGGGATGCTGCAAAGTTCATAAATGTGAAAAATGATCATGTCATTTTTTTCCAGTGCTGTTGTAATTTTGAACAGTCACTAAATGAACTGTTGTCAGCCGAGGACTACCTATATCCTTTGAGAATCTTAAAATACTTCGAAAAACATGAGTTTGTGTGAGCAGTGACACAATATCAAAAGGGAATAAAACCTTCCGTCCACCTTCTTGCCAATCTTAACGCTCCCAAGAATGCTTCTGTGAGATACGGACTATTATAAAATTTGGAATTTATTTTATTCTTGGTTAGAGAAAAGAATGAAGGATTAGGAAGTGAACATGTATTAGCTTAGCAAACACCAGACAACTTGTTTGATTGGAAAAATTAACATATGTTGATGGGGAAAAAAATTAATAAAAAAGATTGTTGAAAAAAAAAAAGAATGCTTCTGTGCCCTACTGTACTAAATTCATCTTTCTCTTCATGCACCTTCTGACATGTTTTTGTTTGCAATCTGCATTAAGAACTTGTCTGTTTTAAATATTCTTTAAAATTTGAAAATTACATATTTTAAAGGTCACTATTCACAATATGTAGATCTACTTATAACCCCAAGCATACAGTATATTATTAATGCTCTTTTTATTTTATATACAATAATGCCAATGATGATTTGGGTCAAGACCTGTTCTTCTGAGTTTGATCATTCTTGAATCAGAATTCTTATACAATATTTAGAAAAACCAGCTATTTAGCAAATACCAAGAACCATGTTAGGGGTCAACTTAATCTAAAGAAGTTTCATCCTGATTGCAAATAAAACAATTGAATTTATTTTTCTTCAGAGTCTCTGCATTTCAATAGTACAAATTAATTGTGAGCTTGCAATTCCATTTCAGCTGCTTTACAGTTTACCTTCCCTTAATTTCAGAGACTGGAATATTAATAGTTGATAAGAAGAGGCAGCAGTTAGAAAAGGTTAGTGCCACATCACAGTGGCTGAAGGGGAGAGGTTCCATGCAGTATCTGATAGGGCTATTGAAATGCAAAGCTGTTAATTCTAGAAGTAGCTATGTGATCAAGCAGAAGCCACTGAAATTAATGGCTACAAACACTTGTTCCATCTTGTCAGCATTCAAGTACCTGAATGAACTTTGCTTCATTCCAGCTCTATCACGAAACATTTGAATGAAGATCACAGGGACTTCTTTCTTGATTGTGGCTTAGCAGATGCAGCAACCACAGGTTCTTAGTTATGGCTACTTCAGCACTTCATGATTCTTAGACCAGTAGCAAGTCAATGGCCTACCCATTCATCTCACAAGGACTAGAGATGTTAGTTTCTCTTCAGGGTTTCCTCTTATGTTAGACTTATTATTTTATGATGCAAAGGGTTTCTGAGCTGTGGCAAATATGCACAGAACATGGGCTGTTAAAGAAATTTTTCACAGCTAACCACAGAGTGAAGCAATTGAGGCCAGATTGCCTTTCTTATGAAGAATGAGCACATTGCATTTGAAATGGACAGTTTTTCACACTACGAAATTGTACAGTTTTCTTGTGGCTTATTTTTCTCTTGAATATTTGGCCCATGTGCCCATTATTGGATATGTCAAGGTCAAGCATTGTTAGCAAGGCATCTCACTGTTAAAAAACATTTCCTCCCCATCACCTTTTTCAAGGCTTCCTTCACTTCTTTGTTTCTCAAGCTATAGATAAGGGGGTTCAACATGGGGATAACAACAGCATAAAAAACTGACACCACTTTGTCATAACTGAGGGAGTGGGTGGAGCTTGGCTTCAGGTACATGAAGAAGAGAGTGCCATAGAATATGATGACGGCAGTCAGGTGGGAGGCACAGGTGGAGAAAGCTCTGTTCCTTCTCCCAGAAGAGTGTTTTCCAAAGATGGTGCACAGAATGTAGACATAAGAGACAATGATTGTAAAGAGAGAACTACTTAAATTGATACCAGACAAGACTAAAAGCTGGATTTCTTTAGGTCGTTTGTCAGAACAGGACAAGGCTAACAGTGGAGGGTCATTGCAGTAGAAATGATCAATCATGTTTGATGAGCAGAAAGAGAGTGTAAAAGTTAATGCTGTTTGAACCACTGAGCTCACAAAGCCATAGATATACACACTGGTCACTAATACGGTGCACAACTTCTTTGACATAACAACAGAATAAAGCAGTGGGTTGCAGATGGCTACATAACGGTCATATGCCATGACAGACAATAAGAATAATTCAGTCATCACCAAACCATCAAACATGTAAAACTGAATAGCACACTCAATCAAGGAAATGCTTTTCTTTTTGGCAAAAAAGCCTGCCATTGCTTTAGGAGTAACAGTGGAAGAATAGCCGGCATCCAGGAAAGACAAATGGCTGAGAAAGAAGTACATTGGAGTATTCAGCTGGGGATCAATTTTGATCAATAGGATCATCCCTATATTTGCACTCAGTGTGATGATGTAAATAATCAAGAACAGGGCAAACAGAACTACTTGCAATTGTGGATAATCTGTGAGTCCTGAGAAGATGAACTGTGTTACTTGGGTTTCATTTTTTGCATTCATTTATAGTGTTTTTTAATTTAAAAAAACCTGTCAGAGAAAGAAGGAAAAAAGAACAATCCAAAACAAACTGGAAAAAAGAAAAAAAATATAGTTATTTATTTTTTCATTAAATTACAGTACTCACAGAAATTATCATAAATGCAATAAATTGAAATAGAACAAATTCCAAATTCTACTTTATATTTTTAAACATTTAAGTTTACGTTCAGGATTGTGCATGTTCTGTAACTCTGAAAAAATCCAGTATTTTTGTTGTCCATGGTATATCCTAGGATTACCAGAATTTTAGAACTAGAATGCATGTTGGTGTGCATGAAAGAAATGTACCACTGATTTCTTTGAGATTGAAATATTGTGAAACAGCAACATTGCATGCTATCTATTAATCGTCATCAGTGATCAGTCAAAAATTTATACCAAAAATTTATACAGTACTCTTGAGCAAAGTTCATTACAAAAGAACATGTATTTTTTTTTAAAAAAAACCTCTTAATAATTAGACAGAAAAGGAATCAGGAACAGTGCTGATGTGGTAAACCCATCTTCTTGATCCTCCCCTTGCTCCAGAGCTTGTAAATGTAAAATTACATCAGTTTTATGGCTATTATGACTACTGTTAGATTACCCAGGCTTTACCCTTTTCAATTACAAAAGTTTGCTGTATACTAAGATCATCAAACAGATGTTCTGTCTTCAACTACTATAATTCTGTTAAATAAAATTCCTAATTTGGGAAAGGAAGAAAGTAAATAGTACAAATGTATTGCTTCGTACAAGTTAGAATAATAATGATCTCATTTTCCACTGATCACTGGCTCATACAAATATCTTAGCGAGACTTACTGTTTTTAAGCAGTGTAAGCTCCAAATGACACAATATAGTGGAATAAAGGCACAGCACAATAATATACTGCAATTATATCTCATGGGTGTGATCTTTTGAATCCTCAAGACTGATGAAACACAGCAATTAAACTACACTGGACATCAGGTTATTTTTCTTTACTCCCTTGGAATTTCCTATTTGTCTTTGTTGCTGTTAGATGAATCCCAGAACTTGATAGATGCTTCCTTGGTGGAAAAATAAATATTGGAGGTGACAATTTAAGTAAGTGGTACTATGTGTACTTAATCTTTTTCATGCTCTCTGTTGTTCCATTGGGAGTCCCTCACCAAATCAGCACTCCAATTTTAGGATGCCGAAAACACTGAGCATCCTTTTATTCAGAAATTAAATTATTACAGCTTCCCTGTGTGAGACTTTAAACACAGTCCTTATGTCTATCTTTTCAATAAAGCCAAGGGGCATTTCCATATGGTACTATTTTCAGTCCTTCTAAAAAGTTGAAAGTATGATTTCTAGCTAGAGAGGAGGAACATCCTCTGGCTCCCTTCAATTAAATAATGTTTTATAGGTCCTCAAATGTGTGGCTTTTCTGTTGCAGTGCCCGCTCTCTGGGACAGCATACTTAGTTTGATCTTGAAATTGACCCTGATCCTCTTTTCAGAAGACATAGTATGTCCAGAACCTAGGAGTCATAAGCTTTGCAGACTTTAACAATTAAAAATGAATGAATTAACACGTAAATATATCTTAAAGAACAAGTAAGAGTCAATTTGACATAGTGGTTATATCACCGGGCTAGAAACTAGGAGACCATGAGCTTTAATCCTATGTCAGACACAAAGCCAGCTCAATGACCGTGGGCCAGCCCCTCTCTCTCAGCCCTAGGGAGAAAGCATGGCAAGCCACTTCTGGAAAACCTTGCCAAGAAAACTGCATGGATTATCTAAGTAGTTGCCAGAAGTCAAAATTGACTCACAGGCACTGCCCCTGCAAAATCCCCCATCATCAATTAAAACATTTTGCTTTTCAGAAATCAAAGCATCAACAATGAAGTGCTCAGAGGTTTTCCCCAAAGAGGAATAAGTTTTTAACTGAAATAGAGCAAAATGGATCGCTAAAGCTGATTTTTTTTCAGAAATAATTATATCTGATGTATGTCTCTTCCAGTTCTAAAGTGAATGATATGGGTGACCAAGCTATTTTGGATCATGAGGACTAACCTTCAGTTAATCTATGTGAGACCTGAATTTATTATGCACCAGTTTTTCCCAGATCCATGAAATTCTGTCCTGTGCCATGTCCTAAGAGATAGAGTGCGAAGCGGCTGGAGATAACGGGTATTGTGTTATCGCAGTTAACATATCTGTCTCAAGGGTACAAACTGGGGAAGACCAATCAACTATAGTATGTTAACATGGGGAGAGGAAAGGCTCTTTCTTCTCAGTACAGAGAAAATTTCATTTAATTTTTAAATATGTAATTTTTTTCTACAGTTAATTCTTTCTTTTAAAAGTTTCCATAATATATTCCTGGTTTGTAACTACTGTTTAAAAAAAGAAAGAAAAAGAAACTTTTTGTAGAAGGTGGTTAAAATTGGTTCAGTATATCTCAGGCTAACATGAGTCATTGGTGGAAAGATAAATCAGTTAGCTGGTTGTGACTTTTCTAATGGCTTCTTTCACCTCCGTATTTCTCAAGCTATAGATTAGGGGATTCAACATGGGTATGATTAATGTGTAAATTACGGAAAGTACCATATTAGTATCCTGTCCAGATTTATTGTTGGGATGGACATATGTAAAGGTCCCGGTTCCATAAAATAAAGCCACTGATGTTAGGTGAGAGGCACAGGTGGAGAAAGCTTTATGTTTCCCCTCCATTGAGTTGATCTTCAGGATGGCAGATAAAATGTAGAGATATGAAATAATGATGGCTGAAATAGAGATCACTGCAACTATTCCCGATGCAAAGGCAGACAGAGATTCTGCAAGGTGAGATTCAGAGTAGGAAAGCTGAAGACGTTTAGGGATGTCACAGAAGAAATGTTTGAGGATGTTACATCTACAGTAGGATAATATGAATATACACACGGTCTGTAGCACTGCATTTACAACACTAGCTGCATATGATCCTGCAATCAGACAGTTGCATAGTTCTTGGGACATAAAAACAGAATATAAGAGAGGATAGCAAATCGCCATATATTGGTCAATTGCCATTACAGCCAAAATAAAGCACTCATTAGTCCCAAAGGCTGTTAATAAGCACAGCTGAACAACACGGTCTGTGTAAAAGATGCTTTTATGATCTGCCAAGAAGTTCACTAGCATCTTGGGGGCAATCACTGAGACGTAGCAGAGGTCTGTGAAGGATAAATGGAGGAGGAAAAAGTACATGGGAGTGTGAAAGTGGGAGTCAATCCTGATCAGCACAATTAGGCCAAGGCTTCCAGCCATAGTGAAAAGATACATGGCAAGAAACAAAAAGAAGAGAACCATTTGCAGGTTGGGTTCATCAGTGAATCCTAGTAGGATGAATGCTGTTACCATTGTGTAGTTATTCTGCTGATCCACCTTTATTAAATCAGGTCTCTGGAGAGAAAATGAATAATCAAATCAAACAAATAAAGAAACATAATTAAATATTTGTTGTAATCATGGTTACATTTTTTTTTTTTTTGCATTCTTAGGTCTACTTGGGTTGTGCTTTAATAAAATATATGACCAAGAAACCCTTGGCCTGTTTTTGCACATTAAGGGTCCTTCGCTTTATCTGTCCCATTAATACTAAAAATTCCGTATTGTAGAGGAGTAGTATTTCATCCAGCAGCATCATACATAGCCCATGGGGAAAGGGGCAAAGAAAGTAAGACTGGTAGCTTATTTCCAGAAAGTGAGAAAATACTGGAGAAAACCTTTATAAGTTACAGGTAATATGAACCTTTTGTTTGACGTGGCAGCTAGATACAAATACTTTGCTTCTCTAACTTCTGTGCTGGCTATATGTTACAGGACTTTATCATGAAATGTTTATTTGTTAGAAATAGTATTCAACTTACCAAAGTATTGTATAAAAATGATAGGCACAGGAAACACAAGGCGCCTCTCTACAGTTCTCTATGTCCAACAATTAGATTGATACAACTTCATTGCATGCAACATTTCAAAAGGGTAGGATCCATATATTTTATTCTCAGAAAATTAGTATATTTTGCTTGTAGAAAATCTAAGATACCCTGGGGGCACAGGAAGAGTCTTTCATGGATTATAATAAGACCCAGTGGCAATGCACATACTAGACAACAAAATTATGTATCTCTTGAGAAGTTAGTGTGAATTGTCTAGACATAGTTTACATATGAGATCCAGATGGATAAAGATATTACTTTTTGACTCAGCAAATGGGAGGTGTTTCATATATCCCATTAAAATATGATTTGTTTTAACCATGGGTTCCTGATCAAGCAATAGTGAGTGGTTCACATGTCATGTCATGACACTAGCTATGATTTCTAAGCCATGTTATCTGGGTTATTTGCAGGACAACATCTCTAATAATTTCTGCCTGTCCCACAAAAGCTTGCAAGGCAGGTATGATTCCTTCCATCCCTGACTCGGATTCATGCCTTTTTAGTCACACGAACAGCCCTCTTCACTCATCTCTCAGGATTTGGATAGACCCTGTTAGCCTTTGGAAAAGCCTTGAAACAGCTCTTTTCTTGGGACCAGGCAGAATGTGGAATGAACCTATGAGTACTGTAATGGTTGAGATTATGTTTGTGGTATGGCCTTGTTTTCATGGCATTTTTCTTTTGTTTTATTTAGTTGGTTATTATCTGTTTTCCATTTTTAATTCAATGTATGTCTCTCAAGGTCAGAACTATGAACTGAGCAGCTATTTAAATTGATTAAATAACTAAAGCTATTAAAATTGATTAATAACTAAACAAAGCAAAAACAAAACAAAAATACACATTATATGTGTAATGTGTATATTATGGTGCATGATATCAGCAATCATAAAATGTCTGGTCTGCAGAGAATGATTAGTAAATCTGCAATCCTGTTTTACTAGGAGTAATCTCTACTGGATTTTTTCTGAGTAGACATGTATACAAAGTAAAGGTCTCACTTATACAACAGACCTGCCTTGCCTAACAAGGTTAGCCCGAGGCGATATAATAATTACTGTTCTCCTGGTATTCTATCATATTCTTTTCCTTTCATAAACTAGGATTGAGAAACAAGGTGTAAGAAGTCAGCACCACCCCAGAGAAGGAAATATTTTTGGGAATATCAAAAAGACAGAATATTACATTTCCCCAAAGGAATAATAGAAAAATCTTAGGCAGAAGCCAAATCCCAGCCATGCCCCCATGCAGAGGCCAGCTTTTAGAAATGCAGATTTGAGGCCACCTATTCATAAACAAAATTCCTTCAGCCACAGGTCCAGAGAAGATTTGAGTTGATGGGATTAGAAAAACAAAGACTCCAAAAAACATGACTTTAGGAGGATTAACCCACTACCATTAGAATACCAAAAGGGCACACTCAAGCTCAGGTCAAAATTCAAATACAAAGCCCAAAGAAGGTATAAAAGCCCATCTATTCCCACTTCATTTTGTCAGCTTTCCCAGAACCACATGCTGTTGGTTCTTTTCTACAATAAACAGAACCTTCTTTCCTAAGCAGTCTCCATTTTGTTTATACCTGGCTTGCATTAGACCTGATGATTTTTATTTCAACAAGGAAGAAAAGGAGAAAAATGGCATTGTATTTTAATTGAGAGAAGCACAAGGGCATAAATCTTCTGCAGTAGCCCAAGCTTTTGAAAATATATCAGTAGATTGCAGCCTTCAAGATATAAACTGGGTCCAAAAAGGGGTGTTAAATAAGAAAATGTATTATTAGAAAAATCAGAAAGGAATATGGATTGATTGTTGGATTGAGTTTGGCACTAAAGAATCAATGTAAAGAGAGGGAGAGATGAGGAGGCACAGCCAAAATTGAGATTGAGCTTCATAGTAAATAGCTGTGGAAGATGTTGGCCAAGACATTGAGTATCTCCAAAATAAATGGACACACACATTGTCTCATGGTTTAACTGTATACAGAAGCCTGGTGTGCTGGATTTTCCTTGTTCAAGTCTTGGATAATTTTCTCCATCTCCATCAGGGATATATCAGAGTTAAGTCAGGTTTATATCAGGTTATAGCAAGTTATGCCAGAGATTTAGCCACTCTTTGTACCTTAGAAGGGATATGCTATTGTTTCAGTGTTCCAGAATGTTAGGTATTCAGAATTATACTGTTCCTTGATGCTCACTGAGTGTTGTTTGCTTGCTGATGTTTTTTTATTGAAAAGTTTTATACAAATTTATTATTACAATACAATAACCCTCCCTCCCCCCACCCCAACCCTCCCCCCTCACTTCCCAGAGCTGATTACAGGGTTAAAAATAAGCAAACAAATTCTAACTAAGCTTATCAAACTATACCAATAACCAAATCCCTAAAATACTTTAACTCAAATACAAGCAACTCCCAATTTAAACTATAAGTTAATCAAAAACTAAATGATACTTTCTAATCCCATATTTATTCTGTACAAAATTTATCCATCTTCTCCACACTGAGATGTATCTTTCTTGTGAATGATCCTTCAAATAAGCAGAAATTTTGGCCATTTCTGCTAAATTAGAAACTTTAAACGACCATTCTTCTATGGTAGGCAAAGAATCTTTCCTCCAATATTGCCCAACCAATAACCTTGCCGCTGTAATAAGATTCAACATTAAAATAGTTTTTTTAACATCACAATTTTTAATAATACCTAACAAAAATAATTGTGGTGTAAACTTTATCTTTCTATTAAAAATCTTCTGAATGTTCCACCAAATCTTAATCCAAAAAGCTTTTATATTTCTACACGTCCACCAAACATAATAATAGGTTGCATCTAAGCAACCACATCTCCAACACTTAGGCTGTAAATTAGGACACATGCGAGACAATTTTTGTGGATTCAAATGCCATCTATAAAACATTTTATAAAAATTTTCTCGTAAATTTTGAGCCTGAGTAAACTTCACATTCCCAACCCAAATTGCTTCCCATGTATCTAGTAAAATCAGCTCTTGAAAATTTTGGACCCATTTTATCATACAATCTTTGACTAATTCCGTCTCTGAATCCAATTCCACTAATACATTATAAACTCTATTTATATGAGCTCGACTTTGATCTCTAATTTGTTTTATCAAATTCTTATCTTCTAAAGTAATACCAACTTTTTGGTCTAAACTCCATCTATCTAACAATTGTCTATACTGAAACCAAGAATAAACAATATTATCTTGCCTTAATTCATCTAACGATCTTAACTGCCAATCCTTCCCTTCCAATTTAAGCAATTGGTTATAAGAAATCCTATCCCACTTCACATCTCTTGATATCCCCTCTACTGCATGTCTGGGAATCCCCCAAATTGGCGTTTTATAATTTAATCTATAATAATATTTCTTCCAGACACGCAATAAAGCAATTCTCAAAATACGCGATTTAAAAGCCCTATCTAGTTTCTTATTATAAATTAAATATGCATGCCATCCATATAATAAATCCCATCCCTCCAAAGAAAGTATATTTTGATTTGTTAAGTTAATCCAATTGCTAATTAATGTTAAGGCCGCAGCATCATAATACAGTTTCAAATTAGGCATCTTAAGTCCTCCTCTTTCCTGTACATCTTGTATAATCTTATGCTTAACTCTTGGTTTTTTCCTTGCCCAAATAAATTTATTAATACCCTTCTGCCATTCATCTAAATTGACATTTTTCTTCAAAATAGGTATCATCTGAAACAGAAAAAGAAATTTTGGTAGAACATTCATCTTAACAGCAGAAATTCTCCCAAACAAAGATAATTGTAATTTTTTCCAATCATTCAGATCCTTCTGCACTTTAGTCCATAATGTTTCATAATTATTTTTATACAATTTTACATTGGAAGCTGTTATATACACTCCCAAATATTTAACCTTTTTAACTATATCAGAACATGTCAAGTTAACTAACATTTCCTTATGCTAGTTGTTTCAGTGTTCCAGAATGTTAGGTATTCAGAATTATGTTGTTCCTTGATGCTCACTGAGTGTTGTTTGCTTGCTGATGTTTTGTTATCCAGCTAAATAACTTCATCAGTGCTATCCTAGCACTGATTATGTTACTTTGTCGGGTAATGAAATGTCTGCAAGCAAACAACTAAACTCAGAGAGCACCGAGAATTCTACAGTTCAACTCTGAGGTACATGTATTCTTTTCTATTGTGTTTAGATTTTGCTAATATTAGTCATTAATGCATTTTGTCTGCAATTTCACATTTTCATTCTGATTTAAGCTGTAGCCCTCATTACCACAACCTTGACCTAGTTTTTGAAATTCTGGGTTTCTTAGTTGTCCTAGTTTTAGTAGCATACATTTTGATAAAGAGTTCTGGAGATGTCAAAAGCTTACATGTTCTATTGGTAACTATAATTTACTAGTTTAAAATATTGGTCCATTTAGAATGAACCTAGCTATGATAGAATCTGAAAATGTTAACCTGTGATTCTGGAGTTGTGGGTCAAAATCTGGAAAAAAGCAGATGTGATATAGTGATCCGAGCCCTGCTTGTTGTGTACATGCTGGGCAAGTACGAAAGCAGTGAGGCTTGATTGTGACATTGTCCACAGTCCTGCTGATATCAATCATCCCTTTCACACTCTAGTCCAAATATTTATATCAAAGTTGTATAAAACTATATTTTATGATGTATGCTGCCCAGAGTGACTTGTTGAGATGGGTGAATATAGAAATCAAATCATATCAAATCAACTAATCAATCAATAAAATCACTGCTGAACGTCACATGGTAAAAGCCAAACTCTCTTAAAGCAAGGTGTGCTTGCTTTAAGAACATTATTTTATTTATTTATTAAACTTGTTTGCCACCCATCTCATTTCTAAGTGACTCTGGGTGACTTACTGCGTAAAATCATCACACATATATATATATATATATATATATACCCAATAAAATCACAATACAAAAAGAAGAAAATCATTGACACACAAGATGGAGAAAGAGGCAGTTGAATGCATGGGTGGGGGCTGGGATTATCTCTTACTTAATCCACCAGCTCCAGTTTGAAGCTCCCCCATTGGGGCCTTAAGCCATCTGGCAGAACCTTAATCTTAAGGCTCTTACAGAAAATCAGTAGGGTAGGATCCAATCTCTCCTCAGGATATTCCAAAGGATAGGAACCACGACAGAGAAGACTCTTCTCCTAAACCCTGCCAGCTGAAATTCCTTGACTGACAGGATCCACAGTATGCCCCCGTCTACCATAATATGCCTCTGAGGTGAGTAGGGCAGGCCAGTCCCATCAGGATGAGACAGTTCCTCAAGTAACCTGGACCCATGCAGGTAAAGGTAATAAGTAACACACTGAATTGCACCCAGGAGCAAACCAGCAACCAGTACAACTTGTGGAGCAATGGTATAACATGGGGCCACTTTAGGGTCCTTAAGAACTGCCTGCATTGCTGCACTTTGCTCAGTGGTGGGATTCAAATATGTGAACAACCGGTTCTCTGTGTGGATGCCACTTCTGGAAGTCTGTTCTGGGCCTGGGCAACAAAAAATTAGCTACCGGTTCTGCCAAAGTGGTGTGAACCGGCTGAATCCCACAACTGACTTTGCTCCAGCTATAGCTTCTGAATACTCTTCAAGGTAGCCCTATTGCAGTGGTCCAAACCTGAGATGACTAGGGCTTGCGTGACTGAGTGTAGGGACTCCTGATCCAGGAAAGGCTGCAACTGGTGCACAAGAGAAAATTGTGCAAAGGTTCTCCTAGCTGTGACTTCCACCTGTTCTTTGAACAGGAATTGCAAATCCAGAAGAAACCTCAAGTTGCAGATTCAGTCTTTCTTGGATAGCATCCCCCCATCCAGAACTAAAGATGTTAAAGTCCCAGATCTTGAAGATCCATGCACCATTTACGCAGGAAAAAACATTCAGATATAATTTTCTTTGTTTTGATTTAATGAAAAACAAATAACATTCTGTTAGATCAATTTAAAAATGCATTGTTCTCAATTTAAAAATGCATTGTGCTTTCATTTTTCATTTTTTCCCCCCTTAGGCTTTGGATAACTTATATAAAATTCCAGCTCTTTTCTCAACTGCTCAAAATAGTAACAAACATTTAAAATAATTTTTCACAGATAAATGAAAGTATGGCCTTCTTTTTTAAAATGAAGGAAGTAACAATTATACCATTTTTATTTGAGGAATATTATCTTGTTTAGCATTCTGCTAACGGCATCCTTCACCTCTCTGTTCCGCAGACTGTAGATGAGTGGATTAAGTGAGGAGATGACAACAGTATAAAAGACGGATATGATTTTGTCTTTATCCAATGAGAAATTGGAGCCAGGTCGTATGTACATGAAGATGATGGTTCCAAAGAAAATGGTTACAGTGGTGAGATGGGAGGCACAGGTGGAGAAGGCTTTGTATCTTCCCTGGGCAGAGCTGATCTTCAGGATGGCAATAACAATGGCAATGTAGGAAATCAAAACAGTCAGAAAGGTTGTCAGTGCAATTGCAGTGGATATAACAAAATGCACAAAGTGAGCAATGTGGGTATCTGAACAGGACAATTGAAGCATTGAAGGAACATCACAGAAAAAATGATTAATTGTATTGGAGCTGCAGAAATTCAAAGTGAAAATAAATATGGTCTGGACTACTGAACTTGCAAAGCCACAAGCATAGGCAGCTATGATTAAGAGGATGCAAAGCTTCTTTGACATAATAACAAAATATAGCAATGGGTTGCAGATTGCTGTGAAGCGATCATATGCCATCACAGCCAGAAGGCAACCTTCAGTGGTCACAAAGATGGCAAAAAAGAAGAATTGTGTGGTGCATCCTGTGAAGGAAATTGTTGAATGTTCTTTTACAAATGTTGTCAACAATTTAGGGGCAATAGTAGTAGAAAGACTAATATCTATAATGGAGAGATTTCTAAGAAAAAAATACATTGGGGTGTGAAACCTAGCATAAATTTTTGTTAGAATGGTTATCCCAATGTTTCCCACCAGTGTGATGAGATAGATGAGCAGAAAGATGATGAAGAGGGGGATCTGAAGCTCTGGGTGGTCCATGAATCCAACAAGGATGAACTCAGTCACAGTGGTTTGATTTGTCTGCATTGTTTATTTCCCTCTAATAGAATAAAAAAAGAGGGAAAACCATATAGCTGTATATTTACTGTTAGGTTGTTTGAGAATGCCCAAGGGAAGAGACTAAAAAAATCCCAAACTAAAAAGGAATAGTTTGCTTGATAAATATGCTCTTTTCAAAATACGGTGTTGTATTGGAGACTGTGCACAGTATTACTTAGCACTGCAGTGACAATTAGCAAAGAATGTATTCATACCTACCATCATCTCCTTGCATATTGGCTACCATGCATCAATATATATTGAACATGCATCTGAGATTAATTCTAATTTATGAACTATAATAATTATATTTACAACTCTTTTTAAGCATTTCAAAGTGGCTGATCATTTGTACTTTTTCCAAGTACAAATACTCTTTAACTGGAATGCCAGACTTATATCAAAATCTTCATTTAGATGAACTGGATTTGAAAGCTTCAAGACATTGACTAGCTCATGTGATATAACATTCCACTGGCAAGAATATTCATATGTGAGGTTGTGTTGATTGGAATTGACCAAGAGTGTGTATTTGTGGTCCTTCTGAAAATAAATATATTTGCTATATCATAAGTAATATAACTTGACTGAGGAGAACAACCCTTTCTGTCAATGCACAAATAATGAGATGTCCCACTTTAGTCTCTGCTAATAATCTGGAAGAAAGAAGGCATCGTTGACTCATGAACTCCATTCTGCATTTCTGCATCTCATGTATTATAAGAAGTTTAATTTTCACAAAGTATCATGAAGAAGCTTTTGGAGTTTGGGTAAAAGAAAATTCTAACTAAAACACAGACCAATATTTTCACATCAGAACTTTTGAGTATTCCTACATCTGTTTTGCAAAAATATAATAATGCTGATGAGGAGGAGAAGAAGATGTAGGAGGAGGAGGAAGAAGAGGACATGAGCTTTTAACAATATAGTTGGGTGATTAAAAATGTTAATTAAAGAACTTACCAGATTAGAAGTCAAGATTCATTTCCAAAGATGAAAGATCAAACATTTGGATAGAATTGCTCATTTTATACTTTGTTTACCAATTTTTGAAAACCAAGCCCATGAAACTCTCTGTTGAAGTAATTAACATATCATTAAAATGCTCAGTACAATTTTTGGCAAAATATACCTAAGGTCCTCCTGGGAATTCATATATCTGTTGTATAGTTGCTGTACATAATTACTTCTATTGCAGCTCACCAAGAAACATCATTATGTAGTTTGATCAATTTTATGTGAAATATTAACTTGCCAAAGAGGAATGTATAGATAAAAGAACCTTAATCATACTCAAAGCATGGGCCTAATCAACAATACAAAGTTGTGAAGATACCTGTTTTAAAATCATGCAGAACTGAAAGTTCCACATATTATTTTATTCATGGCCTATCCGAACACGAACTGGCAACTATTTTTTATCTTCCTTCCAAATATTCCTACTAACTATTTTTCTATCTGGGCATATCTCCTTTGGTTTCCGTCTTGGCCCTACTAGCAACAGCTATGGAATGATGGTTGTGAATGAACACTGTTGTATTAGTTGAGCAGAAGGGTCAGTGTTGGAGCCTTTGGGGGTCTACAGCCTTCCCCCCTTTTTAAACCTTATTCTTGGATTAATGTTCATTTTCAGACTATAAGCATGGCAGCAACTAGCAGGACAATTCATCAACATTAGAGATGTGTATATAATATTTTGACAGGTACTAGTCAATAAGATATTGAATTGCTGTGAAATCCTGTGGCCTAGATATTTCCCAACTATATTTGCTTTTTCCAATTCTTGATCCAATTTGCATTTTTATTGGAGAAACTGCTAAATAAACACCAGATTCCCTTTGTCTGTAGGCTTCTTGTTCTTCATCTGCTTATGATGAGTAGCTCCTCACTCTTTTGGGAGGTTGTGAAGTGAAGCCTTAAACATCTACAGTCTATGCATGCTTTCATATAGACTTTCTATTTTTAAAGTGATGTCCTTCAATATATTCACTGAATCATAGTGGTAGGGAATAAATGAGAACATTCAGCATCATCTGTAGAGCCAAGCAGGTCACCAGATTTTTTATGGCCCAGCAGCATGAGGAAAAGGAGAGGAAGACGCATAAGATGTATTTCAACCTTTTTCAGGTTGGGGTTCGATGATGATAATTTGGTCATTCAATCAGTTAAAATAAATAACTTCATCTTTGTATTAAATGACTCCATCAGAGTTTTGCAGAACCCTGTTAATATTGCAAGTGTTGCTCTGATAGTATATACTTTTTGATGTAGACTACAAAAAACTAAAGAGGGATCCCAGGCCACAACAGGTTTCTCTTTTGTTTTTTCTATTATTGCTTTTAAAATAATTAGGAAAGAAAAATAAAAATACATATAGAAAGTACATATAGGTACATATTTAAAAGAAAATTAAAAAAGGAAGTGGAAAAAATATAGGAAAGGAAAACTTAAAAAGCATAATATACATAATATGCAATTATTATTCAAGTACACACACACACACACACACACACACACACACACACACACACACACACACACATATATATATATATATATATATATATATATATATATATATATATATATTACATTTATGTAACTATCATGGCAATGTATCCATCCTTGTTCTTCTTGACTCTCAGTTGCCTTTGATAAAATTGACCATGGTATCCTTTGGGGCTAACTGAAGTGTTTGAGGCTGGGTGGCACAGACATGTGCTGGTTTGGCTGTTTTTCCAAGAATGATCCCAGTTAGTGAGTGAGAAGTCTAGTCCACAGTTGCTCATCTGTGGTGTGCCAAATGGGCAGATACTCTCTACCCTCTTTTTTTAGCATCTATATGTAGCCACTGGGTGAGACTATCCACCACTATGGGTGAGATACCATCAGTATGCTGATAATACTCAACTTTATATCTCCATCTTTGGTTATTATTTTGCTGCCTTCTTGCAGTGCCCAGAGACTGTGAAGGTTTGAAGGGGGATAGAAAACTTCAGCTGAAGCCTGGTAAGACCGAATCGCTTTGGGTGTAAGAAGCTTCAGGATCTGGGACTTCAATGTCTTTAGTTCAGGATGGGGTTGCATTGCCTCAGAGAAATCCAATGTGCAACTTGGGAGTTCTCAATTACCGCTTGAAGAGCAGGAGGTACTTTCCCATATTGGGAGTCCCTATTCTCAGTCATTCAAGGCCTGATCATCTTATGCTTGGATTATTGGGGCTACCCTTGAAGAGAATATGGAAGCTACAGCTAATGCAGAAGTAGCCCTGTGGACAGTTCTTGGAGCCCCTAGAGTGGCCCATGTTATATTGCTGGTCCATGAGCTGCATTGTGGCCTGGTTAGATCCAGGTCCAATTCAAGTTGCTTAGGTCCAGGTTAACTGTCAAGTTGCTTAGGTTAGATCTGGATCCAATTCATGGCTTAGTCCAGGTTAACTGTCTTACGCAATGGGAGCAGCTCTGCCAACTGGCCTAGGGCTCAAAAGGGGGTGTGTTATTCTGGAGGTGCTTAATGGACTAAGATAAGTTCCCACTTCCTCCTCCTCATGTGCATCTTGTTTCCTTTTCCCATCTGGTCAATTTTTATTGTTTTAGTGTTTACCTTGTTTTTATGATTGTAAGCTACTTAGAATCATAGGTGCAATATGCAGCATATAGATTTAAATAAGTAAGTAAATAAAAGTAGAGGACTACCCATAGGTAAGCATGATAATATAGCTCCAGATTTGGAAGACTGACTCCTCTATCTTTGGTTGATAATTGCATTTTATTAAATATATTCTTGGAATCAAAGAAACACATGGAAAAACTATGAAACCTATTTATACTGATTCTTTCCACCTCTATTATCTCTCCTTGTAGCCCACATCTCTCCTTTTTGGAGATAAAAAGTAGTTTCAGAAAGATAATTTTGAGGTGAAGAAAATGGGGCAAGGATGGAGAACAGAGAGAAAAAGGCATTCTCTTTCTGCTTACCTTTAGGAGGGCTTTAGTTTGAAAAAAGCTTTCAAGTCAACTTTTTAAGATTAATACATATTGCTAGTGGCAATCTATTGTGTTTGTAATTGGCAAGAGTTTTGCTTTCCCCATCAAATTTTTAATTCAAAGACCCTTAAAAATAGCATTCTGCCTTGATATTGTTACTTTGTGACCATTTCCCATTTTCGTTATAAGGTCCTTTGAAGGAATGTTGTTAAAATTGACTGAAGGGTGATTAAGCAAAACTGAACATACATGTTGCATTTTACCAATTATTTGACATAGACATTCTATCAGTTACATCCACTTCAATGCCAATAAAATAATAACAAATTTTACATCTGAATTACATGGAACTGCAGATTCCATCTAAACTTTCTTTTATAATCAATAGTCAACTTTGACTCACTCTTCTGTAGTTTACTGTTTCTGTCTATAATGTACATCTATTTACAGAGGAAGAAACATTCAAACATAATATTATTTGCTTTTATTAATAAAAACAATTCTTCTTCTTAAAGGTCAATTTAAAAATGCACTGTTCTTTCATTTTTCCCTTACATTTATTTAACATTTGGATAACCTATATGAAATTTCAAGTCTTTCCTCAACTGCTCAAAATATTATCAAGTAAACAATAGTATTTTTCTCATAGAAAGTAGGGGGGTATGACATGAAGGAAATCACATTTATACCATTTTTTACTTGAGGAATATTATTTTGTTTAGCATTTTGCTAAGAGCATCCTTTACCTCCCTGTTCCGCAGACTGTAGATAAGTGGATTAACTGAGGAGATGACAAGAGTGTAAAAGACGGATATGATTTTGTCTTTATCCAATGAGAAATTGGAGCCAGGTCGTATGTACATGAAGATGATGGTTCCAAAGAAAATGATCACAGTGGTGAGATGGGAGGCACAGGTGGAGAAGGCTTTGTATCTTCCCTGGGCAGAGCTGATCTTCAGGATGGCAATAACAATGGCAATGTAGGAAATCAAAACAGTCAGAAAAGTTGTCAGTGCAATTGCAGTGGATATAACAAAATGCACAAAGTGAACAATGTGGATATCTGAACAGGACAATTGAAGCATTGGAGGAACATCGCAGAAGAAATGATTAATTGTATTTGAGCTGCAGAAATTCAAGTTAAAAATAACTATAGTGTGTACTGTTGAACTTGCAAAGCCACAAGCAAAGGCAGCTATGACTAAGAGGATGCAAAGCTTCTTTGACATGATAAGAAAATACAGCAATGGATTGCAGATTGCTGTGAAGCGATCATACGCCATCACAGCCAGAAGGCAACCTTCAGTGGTCACAAAGACGACAAAAAAGAAGAATTGTGTGGTGCATCCTGTGAAGGAAATTGTTGAATGTTCTATCATAAATGTTGTCAACAATTTAGGGGCAATGGTGGTAGAAAGACCAAGATCTATAATAGATAGATTTCTAAGAAAAAAGTACATGGGAGTGTGAAGCCTAGCATCAATTTTTGTTAAAATGATTATCCCAATGTTTCCCACCAGTGTGATGAGATAGATGAGCAGAAAGATGATGAAGAGGGGGATTTGAAGCTCTGGATGGTCCATGAATCCAACAAGGATGAACTCAGTCACAGTGGTTTGATTTGTTTGCATTGTTTATCTCCCTCTAATAGAATAAAAAAGAGAGGGAAAACCTTATAGCAATGTAACTGTTGGATTGTTTGAGAATGCTCAAGGGAGAGAAAACCCAAAATTATACAGGAAGAGTTTGCTTGGGAAGCAGGAGTGCTCACTATTCTATTATGGGCTTTTGATAAATATGCTCTTTTCAAAATACAGTGTTGTATTGGAGACTGTGCACAACATTACATGGGACTGAATTAGCAAAGAATGGATCCACACATAACATGATCTCCTGGCATATTTCAGGGAGCATTTTTCTTTGCAAAAAAATGTAGAGTTCCTGCTAAAATGTATTTTCTTTTACAATCTTGTATTCTCCAAAGAAGCTCAGAGTGATCAATCAGTTGAACTATATGGATGTATAATTCTCATCCACAGTCCTCAGCCAGAAATGTAATCCACCTTGGCAGGAAGTGTTCTGGGGAATAATCACTGGTGTCTGTTGGCTACTATGCATCAATATTTATTGAATTTGCATCTGAAATAGATTCCAGTTTATGATCCATAATCTTTACATTTACAATTAGTTTTTAGAGCATTTCAAAATTATTACCACACGCTACAGACCTGTCCTGGAGCAGAGATCCATCTAGTATTTCTTTTTCCAAGTAGAAATACTCTTGAGTGGAATGCTATATCTAAATTTGCAGTTCAGATTAACTGGATTTTAAAACTGGCAAGATACTCTGCAGTATATTACTCCTGCAATATATTACCACTGGCTACAAGATATTTTCGTATTCATATGTGAAGTTGCAGTCACTTTGTTTGAGTACATGTGTTTGTATGTTGTCCATTTGAACATTCACATCTTTGCTATATCATAAATAATATAAATTGACTGAGAAGATACTGTAAGTAATTATTTGGCTCAAGGTACAAATATTACAATGTTTCACTATAGTTTCTACTAATAAGCTGGAAAAAAGAAGGAAAAACTCTTGACACATGAACTTCATTCTGCATTTCTGCATGTCATGTATCACAATAGATTTAATTTTCAGAAAGCATCATGAAGAAGCTTTTGGAGTGTGGGTAACAAGACAATTCTAAGAAAAACGCCAATTATTTTAACACCATAATATTTGAGTATTCATATTTGTCTGTAAAAATATGATGGTGATGAGGAGGAGGAAAATTTAAGCATTTGGTTAATTGCTTAATTGAAGAACTTACCAGATCAGAATCAAGATTCCATTTCCAAAGATGCAAGATGAAACATTGGGATAGAACTGCTCATTTTATATTTTGTTTATGATTAATTAAAAACCAAGTCCATGAAACTCTAAGTTGAAGTAATTAACATATTATTAAAATGTTTAATACAGTTCTTGGAAACTTAAAGGTGAAGACCTATGGGAATTCATATTTCCACTGTACAGTTGCTATGCATAATTAATTCACATTGCAAATCACAAAGAAACCTCATTATGGAGTTTGATCACTTTTATTTGAAGCATTAACTTGCAGATTGAGGGATATAAAGATTAAAGGACACAATCATACTATGAAGAACAGATAATGAAGCAAAACCAATGGCAAAGTAATGATGATACCTGTTTGTAAATCATGAAGAATTGACAATCCAACTTCGCATGTTAGACATCATCTATCCAAACTTGCACTGGCAACTTGGGAGTTTGTCTTCCTTCCAAATGTTCCTAATCATTATTTTTCTATCTGGACATATCTCCTTTGGCTTCCATCTTTATTGTCCTGGCCCCACTACAACAACTATGGATTGATGGTTGTGAATGAACACTGTTGTATTAGTTGGGCAGAAGGGTCAGTGCTGGGGTCTTTGGAGTCCATGTCCTTCCCTTTTTTGAAACCTTTTCCTGGATTAATGTTCATTTCCAGACTATAAGCATTACAGGATCTATCAAGACAACTCAACAGCATTAGACATGTGTATAGAAAGTTTGACTAGTACTTGTCAATAAGCTACTGAATTGCTGTGAAATCCTGAGGACTAGGTATTCCCTGTCTGTATATGTCTTTTCCCATCTTTCATCTGATTTGCATTATTATTAGAGAATCTTCTAAATACAGGAGAGATCTCTCTGTGTGTAGTTTTCTGGTCCTTTATTTGCTTATGATGAGTGGCTCCTCACTCTTTTGGGAGGTTGTGAAATAAATCCTTAAAATAATTCTGACATCCATAGTCTCTGCATACTTTCCCATTAGCTTTCTACTTTTAAAGTAATATCCTTCAATACATTCATTGAATCACCGTGGTGGTGGGTAAAAGAAAATATACAGTTGAGCCAAGTGGCTGATCAGTTTGCAATGGTCCAGCAGTATTCAGAAAAGGGAAGGAAGAACAATCAGATAAATTTTAATGTTTTCCAGCTTCTTTTGATGATGTCAACCATTGGTCAATCAGATAAATCACTCCATCACAGTTTTGCTGAACCCTCTTAATTTTTCAACTCTATATTCTTAATTTTCACTTTAATGTTTTAACATTTTTCCTTTGATCAGTATCTTTCTTGATCAGTATGTTTTGCTGAATCCGAGAGTTTTTCCATCTATTTTTCCCCAATCAATTATATAATTTGTTCCAGATTTCATAATAATCTGTTTCACTCTTAACCTTGAGTTCTAACGTCAACCTATCCATTTCAGCACAGGATAAAATCTTATTTATTACCTCTTCTTCTGAGGATGTCTCATTATCTTTCTATCTCTGTGCAAAGATTAATCTTGCTGCTGTTAGCATGTGTAGTAATAGGTATAGGGATCCTTTATTGTATTTATCCTTAGTAATACCCAGCAGAAAAAGTTCTGGCTTTAACTTGATGTTCTGCATTAATATCTCTTCTAACCACTGTTTTATCAAATGCCAAAATTTTTGTACTTTTGAACATTCCCACCACATATGGTAGTAGGTCCCTAGCGATTCTTTGCATTTCCAACATTTCAGTGAAGTCCTTCTGTCCATTTTAGCTAATCTCACAGGGGGAAGGTGCCACCTATAGAACATCTTATATAAGTTTTCTTTGTACGCACTAGCTAATGTGAGCTTCCTATTCCTTTCCCATAGTTCTTGCCAGTTATCTAAATCAATACCATAACCAAAATTTTTACTCCAAATTAACATTGTGTCTTTTACTTGCTCTTCCAACATATCCCGTTCCAATAAATATTGATATTTATTGAATTTTTGTTAGACATCCAATTCCATAATTTTCTAACTGATGTAATTGTTTCCAGAGATATCAGAGATTTAGAATATTTAGTTTCTAATACTGTCCATGTAACAAAAATGATATATATTTATATGCCAAGGTTGTCCAAATCAGAAAATTAATACCTACTGTTGGCTATCAGTACTTAACCATACATGTAGTTCTCAACTTACAATTGGTCATTTAACAGTTGTCATTGTTGACAGCCATGGAACAGGCTTTACACATAGAACTTCCAGCTTTTGTAAAATGTCATGTGGCCCCCGATCCCATGACCATATTTTAGTGCTTGGCAATCAGTTTACATTAACCTCTCCTTGCCAAATGCTGTATGATTATGTGATTGCTGTTTGCAATCTTATCTGCCAGCTTTCCAAGAAAGTCAATGAGGAAGCTGGCAGTGAATATTGCAAGTAGGGGGGACATGGATTTGAGGTCCACTCCTCTATTCTATTCTATTCTATTCTATTCTATTCTATTCTATTCTATTCTATTCTATTCTATTCTATTCTATTCTATTCTATTCTATTCTATTCATGATCTTCCACCCATTACTTCTTGTCCTGCTCTCACATGCTTTGGAGAACAGGTTGACAACCTCTTTCTGTGACAGCCCCTCAAATATTCAAAAACTGTTCATATCATCTCCTACTCCTTCTTTTTGTTAGTCTAGACATATCCAGTTTTTGCAACCATTCATTGTATGCTTTAGGCTTCAGTCCCCTAATCTTCTTTGTTGCTATTCCCAGCACTTTTTCTAGAGTCTTAACATCTTTTCTGTATCATGGTGAAACAAAACTGGACACAGTTGTTTCCTATAGTCCCCAGTCAGAAGGGTAATCCACCTTGGCAAGAAGTGTTCTGTGGAACAATCATTGGCATCTACTATGCATCAATATTTATCATACTGCCATTTGAAATTAATTCCAGTTTGTGATATATAATCATTACATTTACAATTCATTTTAGGGGATTTGAAAGTGGTTGATCAAATTACACCAAAGCCCTTTCCTGTAGCACAAATGCATCTAGTAGTTTGTTTCCAAGTAGAAATACTTTTAAGTGAATGCCAAATTTATATATAAATCTGCAGTTTGGATTTTAAAACTGTCAGGCCACTGGCTATATCCTTCAATATATTATTCCACTAACAAGAAGATACCTTCAGATATACATGTACGGCTGTGATGACTACAGTTGAGGAGGGGTGTGTATTTATTGTCCATCTGAACATAAATAGGTTTAATATATCATAATATCATGTATTTCTTGTAGTACAAGAAATTTAATTTTCACAAAGTATCATGGAGTTTTGGTAAAAAGAGACTTCTAAGAAAAACAGCGATAAGTATTTTTGACATCAAACCAATTGAATATCCCTACATCTGTCTGCAAACATATGATGATGAAGATGATGGTGATGATGATGAAGAGGAAGAGGAGGAGGAGGAGGAAGAGGAGGAAGAGGAGGAGAAGAGCGATATATGCATTCAACAGTATATTTTGAGTAATTAGAAATGCCAGATTCAGAAGCATAATTGTGAGGTGAAGAAAATGGGGGAAGGATGAAAAATAGAGACAGTAATGTTCTCTTTCTGCTTGCCTTTAGGTAAGTCTTAGTTTGAAAGCAGCTTCTAAGTCAGTGGTTCTCAATCTGTGGGTCGGGACCCCATTTGGGGTCAAACGACCATTTCACGGGGGTCGCCAAACAATGCAGTCCGCCATTTTTCCCCCTTTTCCTTAGCTGTGCTACTCCCTTTTATTCTATTGACTTTTGAAAGCCAATAAAATAGACTCTCTTGAATAGAGTCTAATTCTATTGGCTTTCAAAAGCCAATAGGAATTATCCAGGCTGTCTCTGCCCTGCTGAGCCCGCCAAAAGTCCCATTCTGCAAACAGTGTTGCACCAGTTGAGTAGTCCTTGAGTTACGACCAGTTGAGTAGTCCTCGACTTACGACTGGTTGGGGGTCGCGGCATTAAAAAGGTTGAGAACCATTGTTCTAAGTCAACATTTTAAGATGTGTGTTCTTAATCACAACAATTTTTGCAACAAATTTTTAATTCAAAGACACATTCATCTGCACATCAATGTTTCTGTCTATACTGCACATCCATTGACAAGGGAAAAGCATTCAGACATAATTGTATTTGTTTTGATTAATAAAATAATTATCCTTCTTTTAAGTCTACTTAAAAATGTATTGTCCTTTCAGTTTTTCCATAATTTCTATTTACCCTTTGGATAATTTATAGGACATTTCAAGTCTTTTCTCGCCTCCCCAAAATATTGTCAAGATTTCAATAGTATTTTTTCTCAGGGAAATGCAACTATGCCTTTTTAAAATGGAAATCATGTTTATACCATTTTTATTTGAGGAATATTATCTCTTTTAGCATTCTGCTAAGCGCATTCTTTACCTCCCTGTTCCACAGACTGTAGATGAGTGGATTAAGTGAGGAAGAATGATGGCATGAGGGAAAAAGCTGTCTTTCTGTCTAGTTGTTTTGGCATGCAATGCCCTATAGCAGCATCTTGAGGGGAGGAGTTGAAACAGTTTATGTTCAGGATGTGATGAGTCTGTAGATATTTTCTCAGCCCTCTTTCTGGTTCATGCGGTATACAGGTCTTCAATGGAATTGTTTTTTTTTTTTTTTCTGCAGTCCTAACTAACCATTGGAATTGTTACCTGTCCTGTTTGGCTGCTGTACCAAACCAGACAATTACAGAAGTACAAATTACAGACTCAATAATTCCTCTGTAGAACTGTATCAGGAACTCCTTGGGCAGTCTGAGTTTTCTGAGTTGGCGCAGGAAGAACATTCTTTGTTGTGCCTTTTAAATGATGTTTCTAATGTTAGGTGTCCATTTCAAATTTTGGGAAGTCTATATTGTGAAGTCTCTAGCTGTATTTGTTGTGCAAATTTTTTATCATTGAGTAGAGAGACATTAAAATACCAATTTTTTGATATCAATTTAAATAAAAAAAATATTATATGCAAAAGTTAAAATACAATGTCTAAAAAAGCAAAGAAGAACAAAATCAAACAAGACAAATAAATAAATAAATATGGTCCCCTCTAGCTGAATACTGGTAAATATATTTAAAGATAGTAGTTATCCCTCCTTACAAAACAGATCTACAATATATAAGCTTCTTCAATTCAATTTTGCAAAGCAATTTGAACAACCATTTATCTATTGTAAAAAAGAAAGCTGTTAAAAGGTAAGCCCAACTGCAAAAACTAGCTTCAACCTTTCTATTAACAATCTATTATTGTATTTAATTCTCAGAAAGTCTGCAATGGCTTCAGTTTTAGCTTATTTACTACAGTCATTGTCTCTGGTCCATCTAGGATCAAATACCCTTCACTGATTCTTAGTAATCAAACTTCTCCTTAAAATTATTACCAGAATCTTTCCATATAATAGCATTTCATTCCCCAAAGTCATTAATCACTGTTGTAGATAGCTCCACAGCATTTGTTTTTCAAATAGACCATGAGTTTTCTTAAGAGAGTCCAATTCATCACAGATCCATTCTGCTATCTCTGGATCTCTTGGATTCGTAGCCCTTTCTGCCTTATCTACCAAATTTATAATTTTCCAAGAAAGTTCTTTCTCCTCCAAGTCTATCAACAATGGATTAATTTCCAATCCATTTTATTGCAAATCTAGTTCTGTTGTTGCCTGTATCTGAATATCCATCTTTGGGTGATTTATGATTGTTGTTGCTTTATTGAACATTATCTAAATTTTCAAAAAGAGCTTATGTTAAGAAGTAGTCTTCCTTCAAAGGCTTCCAAGAAAGCTTTTGTTGTTTCCACTTTTAATGTAACCCCAAAACATAGATAATTCCTCACAGGGACAGTCTGTTCTTCAATCTGCTAACCATAGGAAGGCTTGGGATAGTTTTTCCCAGTGTAGAGAATAAATAGAAGAAGGAAAAGGGAAGGTTTCTGTCTCTTTAAGAAAAAAAAGGTCCAAAGAAATATTCAGAAATAAAACATGGTAAAATAGCAAAGTTGTTATAAAAAATGGTAAAACAAATTCCTTATTATAAGAATCCAATGTAAATCAGATCACTTTCAGTACCTAAAAAAATCTTCATGTATTGACTTCCATGCAGTAAAAGTGTTTTGTTATTCCTGAAAAAGAAAGCAGTAGTAAAGAGTAAAAACTTCACGTTTATAATCCAGCAAGGGGGTAAGGATAGTTCAGCATTCAACCAGATGTTTAACATTTAAAATGTTAAACAAAAGAAAACAAATTAAAAAAATGTTTAAATGCGAGCTTAAAAACCCGAACAGCTGATAGGAAGAGATGGAGATCCAGCTCTCGGGTCATTCTTACAGTGAATTGCAATTATCAAGAGTCTTCTTCATTGGTAAGTAAGCCATTGTCCAAGGTCATTTAGGGCATTCCTAGTTGCTCCAGTTCCATGTAGGGACACTTTGCCACCAAAGAGCTGGTTTTGGTGGTAAAATCAACTTTTTTTTCGGCAAGGCAAAAAAACCTCCCAGCCACTCATGATGTCATTTTTGGAGGGTGTTTACCGTTTCATGATATCTTAACCTGTTGCTGAAACACACAACTTCAAATAATTGCAGTATAATCAGACACATAACAAAGGTCAACATTATACTCTTGAAATTGGTGATATAAAGTCAATGATATTAAAATTATATATTTTATTAAATATTCCTGATATAATAAAAGTATATCAGGAATATAACAGATTTATATCAAAGATATAGTCACTCTTTTTGCGACAAGAAGGGAAGGAACATACATAATATAAGTTTGCCTGCAATCTTCACATAGAAATGATTGAAGCTGCAGCCCTTATCATCACAATCCTGGCTTAATTTTTGAACTGTGTTTGTTGTTCTGCTTTTGGTAGCATTCATTTCGATCAACAGTTCTGGAAATATCAAAAACTTGCATGTTGTTATGAGACTATGATTGGCTAGTTTAAAGATATTGCTTCATATAGATGAACATAGCTAACATTGTTGTCTATGATAGCACCTGTAAATATTAACCTGTGTGTGTGAGGTTGTGGATTAGAATCTGCAAGATGGCAGATGAGTTATTGTGATCCAAGCCCTGCTGGGTTTATATATATTTTGAGTGCCATATATGCAATTTCAGCTCTTTTCTCAACTGCTCAAAATACTATCAAGCAGTCAATGGAATTTTCCATAGAGAAATGCAACTATGGCTTTCTTTTTTTAACATGAAGGAAGTAACATTTATACCATTTTTATTTGAGGAATATTATCTTGTTTAGCATTCTGCTAATGGCATCCTTCACCTCCCTGTTCCGCAGACTGTAGATGAGTGGATTAAGTGAGGAGATGACAACAGTATAAAAGACGGATATGATTTTGTCTTTATCCAATGAGAAATTGGAGCCAGGTCGTATGTACATGAAGATGATGGTTCCAAAGAAAATGGTTACAGTGGTGAGATGGGAGGCACAGGTGGAGAAGGCTTTGTATCTTCCCTGGGCAGAGCTGATCTTCAGGATGGCAATAACGATGGCAATGTAGGAGATCAAAACAGCCAGAAAGGTTGTCCCTCCAAATGCAGTGGATAAAATTAAATTCACAAAGTGAGCAATGTGGGTATCTGAACAGGACAATGGAAGAAGTGGAGGAACATCACAGAAAAAATGATTAATAGTATTTGGGTTGCAGAAATTCAAGCTAAAAATAACTATGGTGTGCATTGTTGAATTTACCAAGCCACAAACATAGGTAGCTATGACTAAGAGGATGCAACATTTCTTTGACATGATAACAAAATACAGCAATGGATTGCAGATTGCTATGAACCGATCATACGCCATCACAGCCAGAAGGCAAGCTTCAGTGGTGACAAAACTGGCAAAAAAGAAGAACTGTGTGGTGCATCCTGTGAAGGAAATGGTTGAATGTTCAATCACCAAAGTTGTCAACAATTTTGGGGCAATGGTGGTAGAAAGACCAAGATCTACAGTGGAGAGATTTCTAAGAAAAAAGTACATGGGTGTGTGAAGCCTAGCATCAGTTTTGGTTAGAATGATTATCCCAATGTTTCCCACCAGTGTGATGAGATAGATGAGCAGAAAAAAGATGAAGAGAGGGATCTGAAGTTCTGGGTAGTCCATGAATCCAACAAGGATGAACTCAGTCACAGTGGTTTGATTTGTCTGCATTGTTTATTTCCCTCTAATAGAATAAAAAAAGAGGGAAAACCATATAGCTGTATATTTACTGTTAGGTTGTTTGAGAATGCCCAAGGGAAAAGACTAAGAAAATCCTACATTCAAAAGGAACAGTTTACTTGGGAAGCACTCACTGTTATATTATGGGCTCTTGATAAATATCCTGTTTTGAAATTGCAATGCTGTTTTGGAGATCATGCACACCATTACATAGACCTGCAGTGTTAATTGGCAAAGAATGGATTCATACTTACCATCATCTTACAAATTCCAGCAAGAATTTCTCTGCGTGAAAGAATGTAGACTTCTTGCTCAAATATATTTTCTATTACATTCTAGTACTCTCCAAAGAAGCACAGAATGCTCAGTCAGTTGAAATGCATGAATTTATTTACAGAATACAGACTAACAGATTTGGAAAGAAACTTGGCGGTCTTCTAGTCCAATCCACTGCTCGAGCAGAAGATCCTGAACTATTCCAGACAAATGACTGTCTAAACTCTTCTTGAAAACCTCCAGTGATGGAGCACACACAACTTCTTGAGGCAAGCCTCTGATTAATTGTTCTCACTGTCAGGAAATTTCTCCTTAGTTCTAGGTTAGTTGCTTCTTTACTGATCTTCCACCCATTACTTCTTGTCCTGCTCTTAGGTGCTTTGGACATCTCTTCTCTGTGACCCCCCTCTTCTCTGTGACAACCCCTCAGATATCAGAAGATTGCTGTCATGTCATTTCCTACTCCTTTTCCTCATTAACCTAGACATATCCAGTTCCTGCAACCATTCATTGTATGTTTTAGTCTCCAGTCCTCTAATCATCTTTGTTTATCCCCTCTGCATTCTTTCTAGAGTTTGAACATCTTTTATTGTATCATGATGACCAAAACTGGACATAATTGTTTCCTATAGTCCTGAGCAAGAAGTGTAATCCACTTTGGCAGGAAGTGGAACAATCATTGGTATCTACTATGGATCAATATTTGTCAAACTGCCATCTGAAATTAATTACTGTTTGTGAGATATAATCATTACATTTACAATTCGTTTTAGGACATTTGAAAGTAGCTGATCAAATTACACTAAAGTCCTTTCCTGCAGCAGAGATCCTTCTAATATTTTGTTTCCAAGTAGAAATACTTTTAAGTGAATGCCAAATTTATATCTGAATCTGCAGTTTAGATTAATTGTATTTTAAAACTGGCAGAACAATGGCAAAGTCCTGCAATATACTACTCCACTAGCAACAAGATATTTTCATATCAACAGGTAAGGTTCTAATCACTACAGCTAAGCAGGAGTTTGCATTTGTTGTCCATTTCAAGATAAATATGTCAATATATCATAAAGTAATAAAAAATAAACTGAGGAGATAGTGTACGGTAACCATTAGGCTCAATATACAAATAATAAGATATGCCAGAACAGTCTCTACTTGTAAGTTGGAAGAAGGAAGGAACCAACTGTTAACTCATGAACTTCATTCTGTATTTCTGCATCTCATGTAGCATAAGAGATTTAATTTTCACAAAGCATCATGAAGAAGCTTCTGGAGTTTGGGAGAATGAGAATGAGGGTGAGGATAAGGAAGATATTAAACATTTAACAGTATATTTGGGTATTAAAAGTGCTTAATTAACTTACCAAATAAGAAGTCAAGATTGCATTTCCAAAGATGAAAGATGAAACATTGGGATAGAATTGCTCATTTTATACTTTATCATTAGTTAAAAACCAGGTCCATGAAAATCTCAGTTGACATAATTAACATATCATTAAAATGCTCAATACGACCCTTGGCAAAATACACATGAGGACTTACTGGGAATTCCTATTTCCACTGTATAGGTGTGATACATAATTAGTTCTCACTTCCATTGCAATTCACAAATAAACTTCATTATGTAGTCTGATCACTTTTATTTGACACATTAACTTGCAGATTTAGTGATGTATAGTTTAAAGGACCTCAACCATACTCTGAAAGCATGAGCAGTGAAGCTAAACAAACAATGGTGCAACAGTGAAGATATCTGTTTTCAAATCATGCAGAAATGACAGTCCAGTGTTGCATGTGTTAAATATAGTCTATCTAAACATGGACTGGAAACATGGGGGTTTTGTCTTCCTCCCAAATATTCCTATTAACTATTTTTCTATCTGTTCATATCTTCTTTAGCTTCCATCTTTATTCTGCTAGCTATAAGAGATGACCAGCTTATTTTTCAGCCTGTTTGTCTTTGTTTTTATTATCCTGTACCATCTACCAGATGGTAATAGTTCAAAAAAAAAAAAGAATGTCCAGGACGAGATGAATCTTTAAGAATGTTTTGTACAGTTCTAATGACCCTCTGGAGCACTTTCCTATCTGCTACTGTGCAGTTGGCAAAGCACACACAAATACAATAGGTTAGAATGCTCTCTGTGGAGCAATGGTAGAAGATCACCAGCAATTCAGTTGTTGTTTCCTGAGAAGTCTCAAGAAATATAATCTCTGCTGGGCCTTCTTAAACAATGTTGTAATGTGAGCACTCCAAATCAGATCCTCCTTTATGGTAACACTCAGAAACCTAAAGCTGCCCACCTGCTCCACACAGTCTGTGCTAATGATCAGGGGCTGAATGTCTGATCTATTCCTCTTATAATCTACTATAAGCTCCTTGGTTTTAGCAATGTTGAGAACCAGATTATTGTCTCTGCACCACAAGAGCAACCGCTCCACCTCATCCAGTAGGTAGACTCATCCCCTTTGGAGATAAGCCCCACCACTGTTGTATCATCCGCAAATTTAATAATAATATTGCTGGGATGAATGGAGATGCAGTCATAAGTTTAGAGCAGTGATGGCGAACCTTTTAGAGACTGAGTGCCCAAACTGCAACCCAAAACCCACTTATGCATTGCTGGGTGCCAGGTGGGTGTGACTCACTGGGTGGGCAGGGCTGTGGCGGTCATGGCAGATTGGGTGGGCATGGCCAGGGTGGGCATGGCCAGCTTGATGTTGCTTGTGGGGAGGAATGCCTGTGGGGGGTGGGCAGGGTTGGGGGAGATCCAGGGGGTCTCTGGCAGGTGGGGTGGTGGACAGGAAGCTCGTGAGGCAAGGGGAGGCAGGGCAAGGGTGCCATTGTCACAGGGCATAGCGAGTCAGGGGCTGGGGCGTCTGCTGCCTGACACCATTGCCCCCTGCACACAGATGCCAGCAAGTGCATGGGTGCTGGGATGCATCCGGCCATGTGGGACCTTGGCAGGTTAACAGGCGGCTGATTGAAGAGGGAGAGTTGCTATCTCCGGGGCACAGTGCGCGGGCTCTGAGTGCTGCCTCTGGCATGCGTGCCATAGTTTCGCCACCACTGGTATAGAAGGTATAAAGTAGGGAGTTCAACACAAAGCCCTGAGGGCTGAAGAGATATAGTTGCCTAATCTAATCCTCTGAGAGTAGCCAGACAGGAAATTCATAATCCAAAAGCAGATTGAATGTGAAAGACTGAGGTTGACAAGTTTAGACACCAATGTGCTTGGCAGAATCATATTAAATGCAGAGCTAAAATCTACAAAGAGCATCCGTACATAGGTCCCATTCTGCTCCAGATGAATCAGAGCAGTATAGAGAGTGATGGCTTTGGTATCCTCTGTAGATCTTTTTGCTCTGTATGCAAACTGATGACTGTCGAGTGTGTATGGGAGGCAGGACACAATGTGCTTACAGATCAGTTTTTCAAAACACTTCATGATAATAGGGGTAAGTGCCACTGGTCTGTAATTACTAAGACTGTTAATAAGGACTTCTTTGGCAATGGAATGATAGAGGCTTTCAGACAGGATGGAATAGTGGACTGGGATAGAAACTGATTAAAAATCTTGGTAAAGACCCCAGCCAATTAATCTGTGCAGTCTTTAAACACCCATCCAGAAATGCTGTCAGGTCCAACAGCTTTCCTTGAGTCCACAGCCCTCAAAGTACTCCTCACCCCATGTTCCTCCATGGTAAGGTGAGGGCTGTGGTGGACAGGTGGCTGTGGTACAGCTGCCTCTGATGGCTTCATTTCAAAGTAGGCAAATAAATGATTCAGCTCTTCTGCTAACAAAGCATTCCTGTAAAACAAGTGATGTTATTGGGTCTATAGTTGGTAATTTGTTGGATACCTTGCCATACCTGCCTCGCATCATTGTTATGAAAATGATCTTCAATCTTCCTCTTAAGATCCCCACTCTGAAATCTCCATTGCCAGTAACCAAATTTTAAAAACAGGCCCTGCCAGTCACACCACAAGGCCTTTGCAATTGACAATAAATCAACATTCTGAAATGTTAACCTTTTTCATGGCTGACCACATTTATCTTCCACTGGTGCTGAGGATCACTTGGTTACAATGCCATGATCCCACCAGTAAGCAGAGGAACTGGTCTATTGCTTTCAACAGCCCTCAATGCCTTTCTTGCTGCAATTGGCCTTCTGAAATCTCCCCCCCCCAACTTTCCCCTATTGAAACCTAACAGAAAGATCCCCAATCTGCCAAGTAAATACATGGACTTTGCTGATGTTTTTGGAGAGGAAAAAGTCTCAGTTCTCCCCTGGCACAGAACCTGTGATTGCCATAAATCTGGTCCCTGACATTAAGATCCCCTCCAAGAGACAATACCAAAAGTCTACTAAATAATTAGAAACGCTGAAATAATATTTGGACTCTCATTTGCAAATTAGACCTTCCCAGTCTCCTGCCTTGGCTACCATCCTCTCTGTACCCAAGAAGTAAGATTCCAGTGGGCCTAATAACAGTGGGTATCCCCCCCTGAGAATGGTCCATAATTACAAAGTTTTGAATTCAGTGACAATAAGAAACCATCTTCAACTGCCATTAATACCAGACCACTTAGACAGACTGCAGAAAGCATGCATTTGTACAAGACTGGACCTTTGCAATGTTTACAACTTTATAACCACCTTTGACACCAAATACGGCAAATTTAAAAACAAAAAGGTCCTCTACAGGCTCGTTAATGCAGGAGCTGTATTTTCCAGATCTTTGAATCAAGTATTCTCAGACCTCATAGATAAATTCATGGAACTCTATCTGATTGACATTTTGGTCTACTCTGAGGATGAGGCTCAGCCCACAGACCACATGCACATAGATCTCCATAGACTAAGAGGTAACCATCTCTTTGCCAATACAATCCTGGGTTGTATAAACAGAGGCATAGAATCAAAATCACGTGGAGTACTGCATTAAAAAAAACCTTAGTAAGGCCACATCTGGAATACTGCATCCAATTTTGGTCACCACATTACAAAAAAAGATGTTGAGACTTTGGAAAAAGTGTAAAGAAGAGCAATGAAAATGATTAAGGGCCTGGAGACAAAAACATATGAAGAATGGTTGCAGGAACTGGGTAGGGCTAATCTAGAGAAAAGAAGGACTAGGGGTGACATAATAGCAGTATTCCAGGATTTGAGAGACTACCACAAGGAGGAGGGGGTTAGCTTATTTTCCAAAGCACCAGAAGGCAAGACAAAAAAACAATGGATGGAAACTAATCAAGGAGTGAAGCAACCTGGAACAGCACCAGTGGAACAGCTTGCCTTCAGAAGTTGTGGGTGCTTCATTAATGGAAGATTTTTTTTTTTTAGAAAAGACTGGACAGCCACCTGTCTGAAATGGTATAGGGTCTCCTGTTTGAGCAAGGAGTTGACCTAGAAGACCCCCAAGGTCCCTTCCAGCTCTCTTCTGATTGATTGACATTTCATTTTGGGAATAGTTTGGGATAGATAAGATGCCATGGTAAATTTTCAGTGAGTGGTTTACAGTAATAGTTTGTTAACAGAGAGGTTTGAAACCTTAATCTTTTTTATTATTATCTTTCTCCCTGTTAAGTATATAGAGACAGACCAGTAATTTACTAGTTTTTTAAAAAATGGGGGAGCTATTTCAAAAGGGGTGGGAATTAATTTTGTAGTAATTTATTGATCAGTATTCAATTAAGGGGGATAATATGTGTACATATATTCATTTTTAATGCACCTTTTTAATGGTTAGTAATAATAATAATAATAATAATAATAATAATAATAATAATAATAATAATAATAATAACAATATACTACAAGGAGGAGAAATTGAAAAGTGGCTAACAACTGGGAAAACCTACCTAATAATAAAAAATCCAGCAAAAGGGGCAACACCAGGTAACTACAGGCCAATTACCTGCTTACCAACAACTTTCAAATTACTAACTGGTGTAGTAGCTGATGCAGTGCAACAGCATCTAGTTGAAAACAATCTCTTTCCACCTGAGCAGAAAGGAAACCGCCCCAATAGCAGAGGAACAAAAGATCAACTCCTAATAGACAAAATGATCTTGGAAAACTGCAAGAGAAGGAAGACCAACCTGAATGTGGCATGGATTGACTACAAAAAGGCATTTGACTCTCTGCCACATGATTGGATAATAAAGTGCCTAGAAATAACAGGAGTCAGTAGAAACATCAGAAAATTTGTGCAAAGATCCATGGCACAATGGAAGACACAGTTGCAGATCAATGGTGAGAGGCTGGGAGAGGTTAATATCAAGAGAGGAATATTTCAAGGAGATTCATTATCACCATTACTATTTGTTATTGCACTGTTTCCTCTGTCAACAATACTGAATAACTCAGGACATGGCTATCAAACATCAAAAACATCTGCCAGACTATCCCACCTCCTTTATATGGATGATCTGAAGCTGTATGGAAAAACATCATCTGAAATAGAATCGCTGCTCAACACTGTCCGTATATATAGCCGAAGATATTGTAATGGAGTTTGGCTTGGACAAATGTGCCACACTTACTATCAAACAAGGAAAAATAATGAAAACTGAAGGAATCAAGATGCCCCACGAAAATAACATTAAGAGTCTGGATGAGGAAGAGTACTACAAATACTTGGGTATCCTTCAAGCTGACAACATCAAGCACACTGAAGTCAAGAAAAAGATTAGAGGTGAATACATCAAGAGAGTGAAGAAGATCTTAAAATCCAAACTCAATAGAGGAAATACCATAAAGGCAATCAACACCTGGGCAATCCCGGTCATTAGGTACACAGCTGGAATAGTGGACTGGACTCAAGCAGAACTAAAAGCAATGGATAGGCAGACCAGAAAAATAATGACAATGAATCATGCCCTTCATCCACGCAGTGACATTGATAGACTTTATCTACCAAGGCAAATAGGTGGGCGTGGAATGCTACAAGTACATCAGATGGTTGAAGAAGAAAAAATGGCTTTGGAAGAATATCTGAAGAACAATGATGAAGATGCACTGAAATTAGTATATCAGGAAGGCTTACTAACTACTGGAGAGACCAAACTGGCCTACAAGAAAGACCAAATGAAGAACAGAATAGAGGCATGGGAAGACAAAGCACTACATGGCCAATACATGAAAAAAATAGCTGGGAAAGCAGATAATAATAAAACCTGGCAATGGCTAAGAGCAGGAAAATTGAAGAAAGAGACCGAGGGACTAATTCTGGCTGCACAAGACCAAGCCTTAAGGACAAATGCATACAAAGTCAAAATTGAGAAGACAGCAACAGACAGTAAGTGCCGCCTATGCAAAGAAGCTGAAGAAACAGTGGACCACTTGGTAAGCTGTTGCAAGAAGATTGCACAAACTGATTACAAGCAGCGGCATGACAAAGTAGCAACAATGGTGCATTGGAAGATCTGCAAAAAACATCATTTGCCTGTAAGCAAAAACTGGTGGGATCATAAAATAGAGAAAGTCATAGAAAATGATAAAATTAAACTGCTCTGGGACTTCAGAATTCAAACAGACAAGCACCTGCAACATAATACCCCAGACTTAACAATTGTCGATAAGAAAGACAAAAAAGTCTGGATAGTGGATGTGGCAGTGCCTGGAGATAGCAGAATAGAAGAGAAAGAACTGGAGAAGATAACAAAATACAAAGACCTACAAATAGAAATAGAAAGACTGTGGCAAAAGCAAGCAAGGGTAGTACCAATAGTCATAGGCTCCTTGGGTGCAATCCCAAAACAACTGGAGCACCACTTGAACACCATTGGCATTGACAAATTCGCTATTAGTCAATTGCAAAAGGCAGCCTTATTAGGAACTGCTTCCATCCTGCGACGATATCTGTAATACCATCAAACATCCACATCTGCCTATCCCAGGTCCTGGGTAAGGACTCGATAGGTAGACAAAATGCCAAATCCAGTCTGAACATCTGGCTGACTGTGCGATGATCGATAATAATAATAGTCAATTGCAAAAGACGCCTTACTAGGAACTGCTTCCATCCTGCGACAATATCTGTAATACCATCACACATTCACATCTGCCTATCCTAGGTCCTTGGGAAGGACTCGATTTGTTGTTGCTAATTGCGAAGTCATGTCTGACCCATCACCACCCCAGGACAATGTTCCTCCAGGTCTTCCTGTCCTCTACCATCTTCTGGAGTCCATTTAAGCTCACGCGTACTGCTTCAGTGACTCCATCCAGCCACCTCATTCTATGTCGTCCCATTCTTCTATTGCCCTAGCATTAGGCCCTTCTCCAGGGAGTCCTTCCTTCTCATTAGGTGGCCAAAGTATTTGAGTTTCAACTTCAGGATCTGGCCTTCTAAAGAGCAGTCGGGGTTGATCTCTTCTAGGACTGACTGGTTTGAACGCCTTCCAGTCTAACGGACTCACAGGAGTCTTCTCCAGCACCATAGTTCAAAGGCCTCAATTCTTTGTCGCTCAGCCTTTCTTATGGTCCAACTTTCACATCCATACATTGCAACTGGGAAAACCATGGCCTTGACTATACGCATTTTTGTTGGCAGGGTGATGTCTCTGCTTTTTAGTATGCTGTTTAGATTTGCCATAGCTTTCCTCCCCAGGAGCAAGCGTCCTTTAATTTCTTGGCTGCAGTCCTCATCTGAGGTGATCTTGGAGCCCAGGAAAATAAAATCTGGCACTACCTCCATTTCTTCTCCATCTATTTGCCAGGAATTGAGAGGGCCGGATGCCATGATTTTGGTTTTCTTAATATTGAGTTTCAAGCCAACTTTTGCACTCTCCTTCTTCACCTGCATCAAGAGGCTCTTTAGTTCCTCTTTACTTTCTGCCATTAGAGTGGTATCATCTGCATATCTTAGGTTGTTGATATTTCTCCTGGCAATCTTAATTCCAACTTTTGATTCATCTAGCCCTGCCTTTCTCATGATGTGCTCTGCATATAAATTAAATAGGCAGGGCGACAGTATACAGTCTTGCCGGACTCTTTTTCCAATTTTGAAGCAATGAGTGGTTCTGTGTCCAGTTCTCACTATTGCTTCTTGACCCGCATATAGGTTTCCCAAGAAGGACTCGATAGGTAGACAAAAATGCCAAATACAATCTGAACATGTAGCTGACTGTGCAATGATCAATAATAATAATAATAATAATGTTGGAAGGGACCTTGGAGGTCATCTAGTCCAACCCCCTGCTCAGGCAGGAAACCCTATACTATTTCAGAAAAATGGCTGTCCTGTTTCTTCTAAAAACTTTCAGTGTTGGAGCATTCACAGCTTCTGGAGGCAGGTTGTTCCACTGATTAATGGTTCTAACTGTCAGGAAATTTCTCCTTAGTTCTAGGTTGCTTCTCTCTTTGATTAGTTTCCATCCATTGCTTCTTGTCTTGCCTTCAGGTGCTTTGGAGAATAGCTTGACTCCCTCTTCTTTGTGGCAACCCCTGATATATTGGAATATTGCTATCGTTTCACCCCTCATCCTTCTCTTCATTAAACTAGACATACCCAATTGTTTCTGTTTCTTGTATGTTTTAGTCTCCAGTCCCCTAATCATCTTTGTTGCTCTTCTCTGTACTCCTTCTAGAGTCTTAACATCTTTTTTACATTGTGGTGATCAAAACTGGATACAGTATTCCAAGTGTGGCCTTACCAAGGCACTGTAAAGTGATATTAACACTTCACGTGATCTTGATTCTATCACTCTGTTAATGCAACCTAGCACTGTGTTGGCCTTTTTGGCAGCTGCAGCACACTACTGGCTCATATTTAAGTGATTATCCACTAGGACTCTGAGATCCCTCTCACAGTTTCTAATATTGAGCAAGATACCACCAATATTATACCTGTATATTTAGTTTTTCTTGCCTAAATGTAGAACCTTACTTTTTTCACCATTGAATTTCATTTTGTTAGATAGTGCCCAATGTTCAAGTCTGTCAAGGTCCTTCTGTATCTTAAGCCTATCTTCTGAAGTGTTGGCTATTCCTGCCAGCTTGGGGCCATCTGCAAATTTGATGAGTTCCCCATCTATCCCCTCATCCAAATCATTGATGAAGATGTTGAAGAGCACTGGGCCAAGAATAGAGTCCTGGGGCACCCCACTACACATTTCCTTCGATGTAGATGCAGTCCATTGCGGATCACATGCTAAGTACAGCTGGTCAGCCAGCTATGAATCCATCTGGTGGTGATAATTTCTAACCCACATTTTTCTATCTTATCAAGTAGTATGTTATGATCTACTTTATTAAATGCTTTACTGAAGTCCAAGTAAATTATATCCACAGCATTCTTCTGGTCCACTAATGTTTTAAATATTTTAAATGTTTAAATGTTTTGTGTTTTGTATTTGTATTTGTTTCTTTTGTTTTTTGTTTTGGAGTTTTTGGAGCTTTGTACTTTTGAATATAATAAAAAAAATTGAAAAAAAAGAAAAAGAAAATTAGCACCAATTGTTGGTTTCCAATATTTAATACTTCGCCATAAATGCAATCCTTGACTTATGATTGATTATTGAACAACTGTATTCAGTCCTGATAGGCTTGGAACAGATGTTCTACAATCCATAAAGCAGTTTCATTTTCATTATAAAGTATTCTGAAAGAATGTTGCTAAAATTGACTGAAGCAGTTTAACTGAGAGCAATTAAGCGACACTGAACATACATGTTGCATTGTACCAATACCTGATATAAACATTCTATAAGTTCCATCCACTTCAGTGCCATAAACTAATTAGGAATTTTAAATCTGAATTACATGGAAACACATTGTATCTAAATTTTGTTATATCAGTGGTTCTCAACCTTTCTAATGCCGTGACCCCATAATACAGTTCCCCATGTTGTGGTGACCCCCAAGTGGGTGTGGCCACCAATAAGAGAGAGTAGGACAGCTAGGGAAAAGGGAAAAAGTGGCGGATAGTGTGGTTTAGCGACCCCCGTGAAATGGTCGTTTGACCCCAAATGGGGTCCCGACCCACAGGTTGAGAACCACTGTGTTATATGATCAAATGGTTGACTTTCATAATTTCTTTTGCACTTTAATGTTTCTGTCTATACTGTACATGCATTTACACAGGAAAAACATTCAAACATAATTTTATTTGTTTTGATTAATAAAAAACAATTATTCTTCTTTTGATCTATTTAAAAACATATTGTCTTTTTTAAATTTTCATTTATTCTTTTGAGTAACCTATATATAATTTCAGATATTTTCCCATCTGTTCAAAACACTGTTAAGCATTTAGTAGCATTTTTCACAGAGAAATGCAACTATGCTTTCTTTTTTAACATGAAGGAAATAATATTTATACCATTTTTTACTTGAGGAATATTATTTTGTTTAGCATTTTGCTAAGAGCATCCTTTACCTCCCTGTTACGTAGGCTGTAGATAAGTGGATTAAGTGAGGAGATGACAAGTGTATAAAAGACGGATATGATTTTATCTTCCTCCAATGAGAAATTGGAGCCAGGTCGTATGTACATGAAGATGATGGTTCCAAAGAAAATTGACACAGTGGTGAGATGGGAGGCACAAGTGGAGAAGGCTTTGTATCTTCCCTGGGCAGAGCTGATCTTCAGGATGGCAATAACAATGGCAATGTAGGAAATCAAAACAGCCAGAAAAGTTGTCAGTGTAATTGCAGTGGATAAAATAAAATGCACAAAGTGAGCAATGTGGGTATCTGAACAGGACAACTGGAGCATTGGAGGAGCATCACAGAAAAAATGATTAATAGTATTTGAGTTGCAGAAATTTAAATTAAAAATAAATATGGTCTGGACTGTTGAACTTGCAAAGCCACAGGCATATACAATTATAACTAAGAAGATGCAACACTTCTTTGACATAATAACAAAATATAGCAATGGGTTGCATATTGCTGTGAAGCGATCATACGCCATCACAGCCAGAAGACAACCTTCAATGGTCACAAAGACGGCAAAAAAGAAGAATTGTGTGGTGCATCCTATGAAGGAAATTGTTGAATGTTCTATCACAAATGTTGTCAACAATTTGGGGGCAATGGCAGTAGAATAACCAACATCTACAATTGAGAGATTTCTAAGAAAAAAGTACATGGGGGTGTGAAGCCTAACATCAATTTTTGTTAGAATGATTATCCCCATGTTTCCCACCAATGTGATGAGATAGATGAGCAGAAAGAACATGAAGAGGGGGATCTGAAGCTCTGGGTGGTCCATGAATCCAACAAGGATGAACTCAGTCACAATGGTTTGATTTGTCTGCATTGTTTATTTCCCTCTAATAGAATAAAAAAAGAGGGAAAACTTTATAGCAATATATCTGCTGGATTGTCTTATAATATCCAAGGGAGAAGACTAAGGAAATCCCAAACTAAAAAGGAGCTGTTGCTTGGAAAGCAGAATTACTCCTTTTTGTATATATGAGCTCTGTTGTATTATGGGCTCTTGATAAATATGTTCTTTTCAATTATTGTGTGGAGATTGTGCACAATATTAATAATGCCAATTAACAAACAATAGTTTCATACCTATCGTCATCTCCATGCATATTGCAGAAAGCCTTTCTCTGTGTGAAAGAATGTGGACCTTGCTAAAATATGTTTTCTATCGCATTCTAGTATTCTCCAAAGAAGTCAGAGTGATCAGTCACTGTCTGATATATAATTCTTGCCAAGAGACCTCAACCAGAAAATAATCCACTTCTGCAGGAAATGCTCTGTGTAACAATCATTGGCACGAATTGGCTACTATGCACCAACTTCCATTCCATCTGCATCTGAATTTGTGAATGATAAACTTTATATTTACAATTCATTTTACAACATTTCAAAGTGGCTGATCAATGTGCATTATAGCCTTGTCCTGCAGTACAGTTCCATCTAGTATTTCTTTTTCTAAGACAAAATACTTTTTAGAAGAACACCATAGATTAATTGGATTTTAACATGGATGTGTGTACTTCATTATAAGTAATATAAATGAGCAGATACTATAAGCACCCTTTGCCTCAATGCACAACTAATAGAATTAACCACTATAGACTCTACCAGTAAGCTAAAAAAAAGAAAGAACCAATTTTTGACTCAGGAACTTCATTCTTCATGCATAATAAGAGATTTAATTCACACAAAGCATCATGAAGAAGCTTTTGGAGTTTGGATCACAAGAGAATTCTAAGTAAAACACACAACAATATTTTTATATCAGACCAGTTGAGTATTCCTACATCTGTCTGTAAATATATGGTGAAGAGTAGAAGTAGTAGTGGTAGGAGAAAGATATAAGCAATTAACAATTTATTTGGCCAAGTAGAAGTGCTCAGTTAAAGAACTTACCAGATTTGAAATAAAGATTCCATTTCAAAAGATGAAAGATGGATATAATTTCTCATTATATACTTTGTTTTCCTTTGGTTAAGAACCAATTTATTAAAATCTCAGTATAATCTCTTGGCAAAATACACTTGAGGGTCTCCTAGGAATTCATATTTCCACTTTATAGCATCTGTGTATAATTAGTTCAAACTTACATTAGAATTCACTAAAAAAACCTTGTTATGCCATTTGAACACTTTTATTTGAAACATTAACTTGCCGATGGAGGGACCTTAAGATTAAAGGGTGTCAATCATACCCAGAAAGCACAAGTAGTGAAGCTAAACTAATAATGTATTTACATGAAGAAACGTAATTTTTTAAAAAGGGGAAAAAATGCAACAAAGGAAAAAGTGTAATGTATCATTATATCAACCCAAGCTTCTAATATTCAAACACATTTCAGACAGTTTCATGTCACTGATCATACACCATGTTAAAACTGAGCACAGGAACAAGACAAAAGGTAGTTATACTACATCAGCAAAGTCTCTCCCAGGCAAAGATTGCAAAGCAGATTCGGGCTTCAAAATATGCTGTTCAAGGTCTTTTGAAGAAGCACAAAGAAACAGGCAACATTGAGGATGGTAGACACAGTGGTTGGCCAAGGAAACATAATGCACATCATGCTTACTTCCCTTCAACATTGGAAGATGTCCAGCAGTGCCATCAACACAGAACTAGTGGAAACCAGTGGGACCCAAGTACACCCATTTACTGTCTGGAGACATCTGGTCAGAAGTGGTCTTCATGGAAGAATTGTGGTCAAAAAGCTATATCCTCAATGTAGAAACAAGGCTAAGCAACTCAGCTGTGCACAAAAACATAGGAACTGGGGTGCAGAAAAATGGCAGCAGGTGCTCTGGGCTGATGAGTACCAAAATTTGAAATATTTGACTGTAGCAGGAGACAGTTTGTTTGCCGAAGAGCTGGATAGTGGTACAATAATAAATGTCTGCAGGCAAAAGTGGAGGTTTTTACATGGTGGAAGTTCCTTACAAGTTTGGGGCTGCATTTCTGTAAATAAAATTCGAGATTTTGTCAGGATCAACAGTGTCCTCAATGCTGAGAAATACAGGTAGATACTTTTACTTTCATGCCCTACCACAGTGATGGCGAACCTTTTAGAGAGTGAGTGCCCAAAAACTGGCCACTCCACCCCCTGCCCTGCCCCCGCTCCATTCCCACCCTGTCTACCCATAGGGCCACTCACCGTCTCCAGGGCCTGCCACAGATTGCCCAGCAATGCCATGGCAGCCACGCCCTCTGCCTGCGCCCTGCAGCATCAACTGTGCGCGATGTGGCGTGAGGGCAGAGTCTTGTCTATGCTGCCTGGCTGCCATGTCCTTGGCTGCACTGCTCCTTGTGGGCCACGCTTGGGGGCAACTCTTCTCCAGGAGGGCTGCTGGTGAGGAGTGGGTCATGGGGGGAGGCAAGGCTGGGGCAATGGCACGTATGCCCATAGAGAGGGCTCTGAGTGCTGCCTTTGGCACCCATGCCATAGGTTCTCCACCACTGCCCTACCATCAGGAAAGTGTGTAATTGGCCCCAAATTTATTCTGCAGCAGTACAACAGCACCAAACATCATTAAGAACTATTTTCAGTGTAAAAAAGAACAAGAAGTCCACAGGCATGGTAAGGGATGGTAAGACCTTCTTCTTCTTCTTCTTCTTCTTCTTCTTCTTCTTCTTCTTCTTCTTCTTCTTCTTCTTCTTCTTCTTCTTCTTCTTCTTCTTCTTCTTCTTCTTCTTCTTCTTTTCTCTCTCTCTCTCTCTCTCTCTCTCTCTCTCTCTCATCTGAAATCCTTCCTCGCCCTGTGCTGTATTCTTCCACCTCTCTCTCCCCTTGCCTCTTTGTCTGCTTACTTTGCCTCCTTTCTTGCTTGTCTCCTTTTCCTTTCCGCTGTTTCTCCACTTGTTTCACTCTCCATCTCCCTTCCTCCACCTCTATCCTTCTTTTGTTCTCCTCCCTTCACACCATGTGCTTTCCCTTTTATCTGGTCACCCATCTTCTGCCTAGTGGTCATCCACCAGCCAAGTCCTGCCCACCAACCATCCCAAGCAGATATATGAGATCTTTTTATGTTTAGGCTTTTGGTCCTTCATCTGCTTATGATGAGTGGCTCCCTACTCTTGGGAAGCCTTAAAATTACTTTGACAGCCACAGTCTCTGCATGCTTTCCCTTAGACTTTCTATTATGATCAGACCCTGGGATGTCCACAGCCCAGCTGCTCAGGAGACCAATTGGGTGAGTGCTGCACTGCCAACCATCCCTGTTACACAAATGTTCCTTGTACCTATTTTTCTATCTGGGGATTTGTCCTTTGGTTTCCAACTTTATTTTCCTGGCCCTACTAACAAACACTATGAATTCATCATTGTGAATGAATCCTATTCATTCAGGCTGTGCAGAAGATTCAATGCTTGGTTCTTTGGAGTCCATGTCCTTCCCCCTTTTTTGTTGGATTAATGTTCCTTTACAGACTATAAGCATTAGAGCAGTTAGCAGGACAATTCATCAACATTAAAGAGGTACACACAACATTTTGACTGTAGAGGTAGATATAAGTTTGGCATTGCACTTAAGAGTGTTTCTACTTGGAAGAAGACATACCAAACAGAACTCTGCTGCAGGACAGAGCCATAGTGTGTGGAATGAAATGTAATGCTAATCAGTCAATTTGAAATGCTCTTAAACTAGTTGTAAAAATAAAAATTATGAATCACAAACTGAAACTCATTTCTGATGTTATTTAGATACATAGCATTTTCATTTCCAGACTATAAACCTGTGGTGGCAAATCTATGGCACAGGTGCCACAAGTGGCACACAGAGCCCTTTCTGTTGACACGCGCGCCGTCGCCCCAGTGCTAGAGCTTCAGCTGGGTTTTATAAAACCTTTTCGCTTTAGGCCTCTGCCGCTGTGTGCAAAAAAAAAAAAAAGTTTCGATCACTCAATAAATTTCAACTTCTCTCAGGAAAAAAAAAGATCTCTCAAAGTTGGAATTGATTGATTGAACTTTTTAGTCCCACCCAGCCTGCCATTACCACTGCAGCCACGCCCATCCAATGGGCCACACCCACCTAATGGGCCACGCCTACCCGGCACCCGATGATACATAAGTGGGTTTTGGTTGCAGTTTGGGCACTTGGTCTCTAAAAGGTTCTCCATCACTGCTATAAGCATTAAAGTAACGATCAGGACAATTTATAAACATTAGAGATGTGTATACAAATGTTGACAGGTACTACTCAATAAAATACCGAATTGCTGTGAAATCCTGTAGCCTAGTTGTTACCTCACTGTATTTGCCTTTTCCAATTCTTTATCTGATTTGCATTTTTATTAGAGAATCTGAATAAAAGTGAGATCTCATCATGTGCAGGCTTCTGATCCTTCATGCATATGATGAGTGGATCCTCACACTTTTTAGAAATTCTAAACTTAATCTTGAAATATCTCCAGCATCCATAGTCTGCATATTTTCTGAAAAGCTTTCTACTTATAAAATAATGTCCATTGTATTCACTAAATCATAGTGGTGATGGATAAATGAGAACATACAGCCCTCTCTGTTGAGGCGGGTGGCCATCCCTTTGCCCAAGGGGGCAGTTTGCAGTAGCCCAGCAGCATGAAGGAATCAGACAAATATCTTGTAAAAAAAGCAACCCAGTAGTGGTTTTAATATATTTGTTAATAAGATTTATATGGCCATCCATCTCATTAGAAGTGACTCTGGGTAGTATACAATAATTAATACAATAATATAAAAAACAATCCCATATAACTGGGCAAGAATCACTCCCAGGCATCTCCTCTAGACCTGCATCAAGGCCAGTGTACATTTAAGCATTTGAATGCATTTGGGTCAATATAAAAAGGGAAAAAATGACATTCCCATAGGTGTATACTACAGGCCACCCAGCCAAACAGAGGAAATAGATGAACTTTTTGCTAGTCAGCTAACTAAAGTATGTAGGAAACACATCACAATAGTAATGGGTGACTTTAACTACCCTGACATCAACTGGGAGACAAACTCTGCACCAAGTGGAAGATCAGATAGGTTCCTGACAAACCTAGCAGACAACTTTGTCTCCCAAAAAGTAGAGAAGGGAACTAGGGGAATAGCCATTTTGGACCTAATTCTCACTAACAGAGATGAAATGATAGAAGGTGTTGAAGCCATAGGAACCCTGGGAGGAAGTGATCATGCAATATTGGAATTCAACGTTATGGAAGCACAAGCAATAGAACATAGTCAAACTAGCATCTTGGACTTCAAGAGAGCTAATTTCAATAAACTTAGAGATGGCTTGGGAAGGATTCCATGGATGAGAATCCTCAAGGGGAAAACAACTCAAGAAGCTTGGGAAATTTTGAAAAATGAGATAATAAAAGCCCAGTCTAGCACAATACCAACAAAGAGGAAAAATAACAGCTCTCAAAAAAACCCAGCATGACTGCATAAATAACTCTCTGACAAATTGAAAGATAAAAAGGACAAGTATAGAAAGTGGAAAGAGGGGCACATAACTAAGTCAAAATATCAGCAAATAGCCCAAGCCTCCAAAGATGAAGTGAGGAAAGCCAAGGCTCAAAATGAACTAAGGCTTGCGACCAAAGTCAAAGATAACAAAAAAAAAGCTTCTTTCAACATGTAAAAAGTGAAGGAAATGATTGGTCCATTAGTGGGTCAAAGTGGCAAGAAGGTGGCAAGCAACAGGGAGAAAGCAGAACTATTTAACTCATTTTTTGCATCTGTCTTTACACAAAGGGAAAAAACAGACCAACCTATCGAAAATAGTGCCATAAAAAACAGAATAAAAATGCAAGTTAAGATAGGCAAAAAAATGGTAAGTGAGCACCTGTCCAGCCTAGATGAGTTCAGATTGCCAGGACCAGATGGATTACACCCCAAGGTTCTCAAGGAACTGGCAGATGTGATCTCAGAACCACTGAACTATATTTTTAAAAGATCCTGGAGCACAGGGGAACTACCAGAGGACTGAAAAAGAGCTGATGTAGTTCCCATCTACAAAAAAGGGAAAAAAATGGATCCAGGAAATTACAGACCTATCAGCCTGACCTCAATATCTGGGAAGATCCTGAAAAAGATAATCAAACAATGAATCAACGAACACCTAGAGGCAAACAAAGTCATTACTAAAAGCCAACATGGGTTTGTCAAAAATAGATCACGCCAGATAAATCTTATTGCATTTTTTGACCAAGTGACAAAATTAGTGGATCAGAGGAATGCTGTGGACATAATTTACTTGGACTTCAGTAAGGGATTTGATAAAGTAGATCACAACCTACTACTTGATAAGATAGAAAAATGTGGGGTAGAAAGCACCACCACCAGATGGATTCGTAGCTGGCTAACTGGCCGTACTCAGCATGTAGTCCTCAATGGAACTGCATCTAAATGGAGGGAAGTGTGTAATGGGGTGACCCAGGGCTCTGTTCTGGGCCCAGTGCTTTTCAATATCTATATCAATGATTCGGATGAGGGGATAGATGGGGAACTCATCAAATTTGCAGACGACACCAAGCTGGCAGGAATAGCCAACACTCCAGAAGACAGGCTTAAGATACAGAAGGATCTGGACAGACTTGAACACTGGGCGCTATCTAATAAAATGAAATTCAATGGTGAAAAAAGTAAGGTTCTACATTTAGGCAAGAAAAACCAAATGCACAGGTATAGTATAGGGGGTACCTTGCTCAATAGTAATAACTGTGAGAGGGACCTCGGAGTCCTAGTGGACAATCACCTAAATATGAGCCAGTAGTGTGCTGCAGCTGCCAAAAAGGCCAACACAGTGCTAGGCTGCATTAACAGAGGGATAGAATCAAGATCATGTGAAGTGTTAATACCACTTTACAATGCCTTGGTAAGGCCACTCTTGGAATATTGCATCCAGTTTTGGTCACCGTGATGTAAAAAGATGTTGAGACTCTAGAAAGAGTACAGAGAAGAGCAACAAAGATGATTAGGGGACTGGAGGCTAAAACATACAAGAAACAGTTACTGGAATTGGGTATGTCTAGTTTAATGAAGAGAAGGTTGAGGGGGGACATGATAGCAGTGTTCCAATATCTCAGGGGCTGCCGCAAAGAAGAGGAAGTCAAGCTATTTTCCAAGGCACCTGAAGGCAGGACAAGAAGCAATGGGTGGAAAATAACCAAAGAGAGAAGTAACCTAAAACTAAGGAGAAACTTCCTGACAGAAGTTTTAATTGTTCCTGAGAACAATTAACCAGTGGAACAACCTGCTCCAGAAGCGGTGAATGCTCCAACACTGGAAGTTTTTAAGAAGAGACTGGAAAGCCATTTGTCCGAAATGGTATAGGGTTTCCTGCCTGAGCAGGGGGTTGGACTAGATGACCTCCAAGGTCCCTTCCAACTTTACTATTATTATTATTATTAAGTGTGATTTGAGTGATTTTGTTTAATCAATGCTGAGAAATTCCTCCACATGTCTTTGCAAAATGTTTCTCAGGTCTCCTTTTCTCATGAGGACTTATGTCACTAAAAACAGGCCTCAGGGGCAGCAATTTGTGAATGCAATAAGAGTGGAGAAGTACTACTGTTTCACTTCCCTACCATCAGAAGGTAGCCCTTGATAGAGACTCTGACCCATTTTCTATTGAGTTTGCCTTGGCTGAGTTCCAACTAGGCTCTAGACACCTCTGCTCTCATTAGGCAGGATCCCTAAGAGGGACAAGGATTCCCCAGAGAAATGAGGTTGCATGGGTGCTATCTGCTCCAATGCCCCTTATTCCAAGCAGCAACCAAGGCTTCAGATGAACCCTGCAACAGACTAACAGCAACAATCTCCAGCACCTTCTGAAACTCATCCAGGTTCTTCAACTGTTAGAGGCAGACCCATCTAATGGTTCCAGCTTTCCTACAGTGGAGTATTTAGTGGGTACTAGAGAATCCCATGGAAGCCAGGGCATGATCTCGCCATGATAAAGGGAGATGCCAAGAGCATCCTCAGTTTCAGATCACATAATTTAGGCTTTGACAGGAACCAGTTCTGTAATGTGACCACTGCCCTGTGTCTGTTTCTGGATGATATGAGATAGGTGCATGATTGTTAGGATGGCCATTAACTCATGCACCAGCTCAAAACTCATTCCTAGAGAAGGCAGGTTGGCTTCTGGCTTCATTAGGGATATACTCTGAGAATCTCTAGGGAGGAACTGTCTTAACTCTCTTTCCCCCAACCAAAGTATTTAAACTTCACTGCCTTTTGGTTTTTTGGAATGCAGTCCCTCCCTTCTGGGAATTCAGACTACCATATTAGAGCATTTTTTAAAAAAAACAACAACCCAGAGACTTTGAATCAGAGACGTACTGAGAAGATGAATAAATAAAGGAGAAAAAATAGTGTGACGTGATGAACAATAGGTACATAGTCAAATATTTTAAACACTGTCTATCATGTTTACTAATTGGAATAAAATTGGATCCTGAAATATCAGTATCATGTATCCCTAACTATGGAAGAAACATTTTATATGATGCTGAATTCAATACATTCTGAAGCTTCAATGGCTGCTTAGAATTGTCATTTTAGATACTGTAGTTTAAAAGTAAAGTTTCTGCTTCATCCAGAGAGTTTTTGTTAGACTTTTTAAACATGGTCTTGGTTATGTTTGTAGAAGAGGATTAGCATAGACATTCAAGAGAGCCAAGAGAGTTGCTGATTCTTTCTCTGGCTCGTGCATTAAACCTTTCATGCTGTTTCTGAGACAAAGACTTTTGCCTGGCTGTTCTCTTTCACATTTTTATTACCTTGGAAGGCACCATGTTGTCAATCTATTGATTCCTTCTGGGTGCTGTGGGTGACATTTACTTGCTGATAGTCCAGCCATTCCCTTGCGCCATTGTGTTGATTTTTTAAAAATATATACATGAAGAGAGTCTTTCAGCTTAAATGATCATATCATGGTGGACAGTAATAAAATTTATTTCTCAAGTACAAAATTATGAACAGTTCAGCTGGTGAGCAAAAGTATTTGTCTAATCAGCATCTAATGAAAGTAAAGGCCAGTAGAAGATTTTATTAGGAGGTGTTGTTCCTGTCTTCCTGTGTGCAATTTTACAGGCTGTATTTCCAGGCTAAGTAGCAGTACCAGTGCATGAATACTTCCGTTTATGTTTGTATGCTTGTTGTTTGAGACAGAAAGAATGGGATTATTTGTTAATCTCTTGGCAGAGAAAGAAAGTGTTAATCATAACACTGAGCCTGGTGGCACAGTGGTTAGAATGCAGTATTGCAGGTTGACTCTGCTCACTGCCAGCAGATCGATCCTGACTGGCTGAAGGTTGACTCAGCCTTCCATCCTTTCGAGGTTAGTAAAATGAGAACCCAGATTGTTGGGGGCAATATGCTGACTCTGCAAACTGCTTAAAGAGGGCTGTAAAACACCATGAAGCTGTATATACTATAAGTCTAAGTGCTATGCTCAACACTACCTTTTGCTCTAAAGACTGCACTTAAATATTGCATAATATTTGTCTATCTTTTCAGTGGTCTGTATTAAAACTATTCCAATATATGCTAGTGTCTTGGCTCTGAGCTTCCTCAGACTTTAAGATGCATACACACACACCCCATTAAATTACATCAAAATCACCTCTTTTGGTTAGAGATTCTGAGAACAAAACAAATTCCTTAGCAATTTTTGAATGGCTAATTTAACTTCCTTGTTTCTCAAGGTATAAACCAAAGGGTTCAGCAGAGGGGTTATAAAGACAAAAACGGTTGAGATCCATGTGTCTTGACCTAGTGAAGAAGCTGCTTTTGGTCTCAAATACACAAAACAAGCACAACTGAAGTGGGTGATCACCACAATGAGATGGGACGCACAGGTGGAGAACATTTTTTTTCTTCCCAAACTGGAGCAGATCCTTAGGATAGCAGAAATAATATAGGCGTATGAAACAGAGATCAATAGGACTGTGCCCAGCAAAACAACAGCACATAAAAGAACCACCACCAGACGAGTCAGGGAAGTGTCAGTACAAGTCAGGCTCAGCACAGGTGAAATGTCACATAAGAAATGTTGGATTTCTTTTGGCCCACAAAAAGGCAACCTGAAAATAAGGATGCAAATAACCAGAGATATATAGCACCCTGTTAGACATGATGCAGCTACTAGTTTGATGCAAACCCTTTTCTCCATCAGCACTTGGTACTGAAGTGGGTAGCAAATTGCTGCATACCGATCATAAGACATAGCGACTAAAAGGAAACAGTTGTTGGCTCCCAAACTAAAAAAGCAAAACATCTGCATGGCACATCCAACAAAGGAAATGGACTGTCTGCCGGTCAACAGAAGGAATAGAAGTTTGGGGACAGTGACAAAGGTAGCACAGGTTTCTGAGACAGATAATGCAAAAAGTAAAAAGTACATTGGACAATGCAGAGTCCGGTCGAGCCATAGGACTGACATGATAGTGATGTTGAAGGCCAGGATGGTGCCATAGGTGAGGGAGAAAATCCCCAAAAGTAAAGTTGATTTCTTTCCAAGAATGGAAAAGCCCAGCAAGAGAAAATCATTCACAGAACTGTCATTACTATTTTTCATACCAGATATAAAATTGTCAAAATTGTCAAGAAAAAGGCGGGGAAGATATTTATAAATTGTAAGATGATCCTTCAGTCATTTCAAATGAAACTAAATGTGATCTTTGCTTCAGTTTTTAGGGTTTTCACAGAAAAGACAAGCATGCATGAAGCAGGCAATCCACTATATGTCAGCAGGGACACCAGGTAAAATAGCTTTCCTTGTCTATAATGTAGACAAATATAATAATAATATAAGGCAAAATAATATAAGATACTGAGCAACATTCAGATAGCTAATGCCATCTCACCCAAATTGTTAATATTTCTTCTTCGTGTGGCTACTAGTCCTAGCCATCCATGTATAACATTCCTGCTTCAATTAATTATGCAAAAAAAAAAATTACTACCACAGAGACAAGCTTTCCCCCATTTTTTTTTCTGAAATTGAGTAGCACAGTAAAAAAAAAAAACATGAAACTGAGCCCAAATTATACTAATTTCTTTCTTTTTAGGCTTTTAAAATATAAATCTGGTGATAGAATGTTTCATATTGATTGCCATCAGTGCCACAAACCTCCATCCTGAAAAAAATCTCAGGTTCTTCACTGTTTCTCTATCGGGTTTTAAGAAAGAACTCTTCTTAATTTGTCGATGACATTTGTGACTTGATCACTGAAGCAGGGATAAGGGGAGGATCCAGCCACAAGAGCATATAGAGGCTGATGCTGATACTGCCAAGCTATCCTCAAAGAAGCAGCTTCATTTACAACAGATCTGTATTCAGTTTTATTAAGATTCACAAAGGTACTGATTTACTCTTTGGGAATATGTTCCCCTGATAATGTAGGTGATTCACATTAGGAAAAAGTAATTTATCTTTAGAAGCATGAAGACTTTTTCTTTGTTGGGCAAAATACTATGGTGTATTCTCTCAGTTTCTCCTTTTTAAATGAGCAAAAGAGTTGAGCTTTCTCCCAGTATAGCAAATAAGCCTTTTTAGGAAACAGAACAGATGCTATAAAGTAACCAGAACCGATGCCGAGTTCATTATTTGGTATTGAAAAGATGGATCCAATCCCAAGGCCTTGACAACAAATATATGACAAGCAAATAACAAACCAAATAAAATTGTATCAGTAATACAACAAAACATTAAAACATTAAAAATTAACAATCTATATCAAGCCAAGACAGCTCTTTTTCGAAAATAGACTCCAGTTCATTGTGACTGGAAACAGAATGCTTTGGAGCATTGAAGAACATGAATGCATCACTTTTCTGCAATCCTCAAAGCTACTGCATTTTTTCCTGAGACCACATGGCAGGTGCAGAGAGCAGCCACGCAACCTAGGAGAACCTGCAGCAACAACTTTCAGAGATTGCAGAAAAGTGCTACAGTTTGTATGCCCATGTGTGCTCTAAGCCATTTTTGCAGAATGGATCTGAAGCTCCTGGATGTGAGGATTAAAGCAAGCTCTGAAGATTCTGAATAGAATCTGGCCTTTGGCAAGGGAGGGTGAGACTCCTTGCTTCATTGCACTTGACATCTTTTAACTTTAATGTTTTATTCTTTTGTGTGTGTGTGAAATGCCTAGATTAGAATCTTTCTGAGAGTCTGATTGCATACAAATTTAATAAATAATAATAATTCTGCAAGGATACCTTTTAACATCATCAAACAGTAACACCTGCCTATTCAAGGTTGTTGGGAAAGACTTGATAGGTGGATAACATGCTAAACCCAGGCTAAACATTTGATCGTAAAAAAAAAAAAATCAACTTCAGATCCTTGTAGGTCACTTGAAGGACCTACAGCATATACATGCCAAGTGTACAGGATCATAATTATTTTTATTTGGTGTTTTGAATGATGACGATGTTGATGCAAGGCATACTGTTTGGCATAGTGGGGAAGGTGCCGGACTAGAAACGAGGCGACAGAGAGTTCTAGGTCAGTCATAGCCATGAAAACCAGTTAGATATCTGAGACAGTCACTCACTCTCAGCCCAACTCACCTCAAAGGGTGGGAAACTAAGAGGAGGAAGCTGTCTTGACTTATTTGTAAAAATGAATAAATGTTAATACATGAAAAACAAACAAACAAACAAACAAACAAACAAATAAATAAATAAATAAATTTCTCCCTGTGTACCATATGTATCAACAATTATATGGAGAATATGGCAAACTTTTTCTAGGTCAGGCAATAGCCATCTAAAGGCAATAATACAATTTTTTTACTTATGAAAGGCACATTGGATTTTTTTTTAAAAAAACTTCTTTTATCCCTGTTAAGTGTCAGAAACTGTTCATTGGGGTTTTATTTACTTTAAATCATCTCAAATAGAGTATGGCTACTACACTCATTTGAATATCTGAATTTAAAGAATCAACCTAATATGTTTTTAAAAGATACAGTAGCTTAATAATTTTCCAATTTACTTGCTTCAAAATTGCTCAAAATAGGCTTTTGCTTGTTAGGTTCATTATATTTTAAACCCTCAAAAACAGTGAAACAAAACAAGTCCCAGAAAGTCTGAATGATTTAGGCTTATTTATAATCAATAGCGACAAAATTGGGGTTAGGGTTACTCAATTAGGTTTGTTAATCATTGAAAGTGGAGTTAGTAAATAGGCTTTCTGAAATCATAGCAATATCATTTTGGGAGAAGGTTCATGACCAAATAAGGTCTGCACTGGGTAGACCAATAACTCATCAAAACTATTGAATCCAAAGGCATATAAAATTCCTGCTGTCCAGACCTTCAGGGAAATGCTGGTATATCATCTTGCATGGTTTTCCCTGTTCTCAAAATGCTACAATATTCTATCCACTTATATGGACGTAAGCTGCAATGAAATAAAAATGGCTTTATGACTGCACTGTAAGTAATGCCTTGTGAGACCTGACAAGCAACTTTACTTGATGTTAATTTCCTCTCAATCCCCTGATTCAAAACTTGTATTTCTATCTAGAACATTCTTTAATGGCCAATTTCCCCAAGTATTTTAAATCAAACATGTCAAACTCGTGACGTCACGTGACATCACGCAATGTATCGGGATGGTTTTGCCATTGCCGGCAATGGGGTGGGCGCGGCTTCCGGATGATGCGTCCAGCCTGTGGGCCGGCAGTTTGACACCCCTGTTTTAAATCATTAATGCAGACATATATGATCTGTTAGGCAGCAGTTCTATGATCATTTAGAACAGTGGTTCTCAACCTTCCTAATGCTGCGACCCTTTAATACAGTTCCTCATGTTGTGGTGACCCCAAACCCCCCATCCAGCTGGCCGGGAGGTATCAAAAACTTGACCAAAAAAAAAGAGGAAAAAATGGGAAAGTATAGGCAGTCCTCGACTTACAACAATTCGCTTAGTGACTGTTAGAAGTTACAACAGCACTGAAAAAGCGAATTATGATCAATTTTCACACTTATGATTGTTGCAGCATCCCCAGGGTCATGTGATTTACATTTGGATGCTTGACAACTGATTCATACTTATGACATTCACAGTGTCCCAGGGTCACGTGATCAATGGCCACGGGGAGTGGCCAGCTGATCACTCAGGTTGCAGAGTGCCTGTGGGGGGAATCTGTGGGTCTCTGGGATGGGACTGGGGTGGGTGCCTTGTCCCTTCCTTCCTTCTTTTCTTCCTTTCTTTCACCTCCCTTAGTCTCTTCCTCCTTCCCTCCTTCCCTCCTTCCCTCCCTCTCTCCCATTGTCCCTTCCTTCCTTCTTTCCTTCCTTTCCTTCACCTCCTTCTTAGTCTCTTCCTCTTTCCTTTCCTCTCTCCCACTGTCCCTTTCTTCCTTCTTTCCTTCCTTTCCTTCCCCTCCTTTAGTCTCTTCCTCCTTCCCTCCCTCTCTCTCATTGTCCCTTCCTTCCTTTCCCTTTCCTTCCCCTCCCTCTTAGTCTCTTCCTCTTTCCCTCCCTCTCTCCCCTTGTCCCTTCCTTCCTTCCTTCCTTCCTTCCTTCCTTCCTTCCTTCCTTCCTTCCTTCCTTCCTTCCTTCCTTCCCTCTTTGTTCCTTCCTTCCTTCCCTCCCTTCCATTGTTCCTTTCTTCCTTCCCTCTCTCATGGTTCCTTACTTCCCTCCCTCTTTGTCCCTTCCTTCCTCCCCCCTCCATGCCCAGGAAGGGACAAGGGGAGGGGGATAGGCTGCCAGTGTGACTGGGGGCTTTGCTGCCAGCAAACCTGCCTGTGCACAGGCAGAGACAGAGAAAAGCTCTGCCCAGCTCACTTGCTCAGCTTCGCTAAAAGGCATGCCGCTTGCTAAGTTAGCAGAAGCTCCAGGATCAGCGCTTCTGATTCGCGCTTCTGCTAAATTAGCAAAGCTCGAGCAAGTTTCAAATTGTTTTTTTTTAATTAAGAGAATCATATGTGTAAATTGAATAAACTATCAGTTTCCTTCCAATTTTGCAATGAGACTCCCCCATAGGATTAAAAAAATATTCCAAACTCTTCCAGGGCAGCAAAAACTTTATTCTTTTTGACAATTAATCACTTTCTTCAAGGCATCTTTTACCTCTTTGTTCCTCAAACTGTAGATCACTGGATTCAGCATTGGGACTATCAGAGTGTAGAACACAGCCGAGATCTTCTCTTGTTGCTGAATGTGCATGGAGCTGAGTTGCAAATGGGTTAAACTAACTGGCCCATAGAACATGGTGACTGCTGTTAGGTGGGAAGCACAGGTGGAAAAAGCTTTGTATCTATTCTCAGAAGAATGCATCTTTATGATGCTAGTCAAGATACACAGGTAGGAGATTATAATTATCAGAAGAGTAGAAAGAGCAATTATTCCAGAGAAGGTGACCAATATAAGTTCATTAATATGGGTAGCACTGCATGAAACTTTCAACATAGCTGGTGTATCACAGAAGAAGTGGTTAATTACACCTGGGGCACAGAATGACACCATAAGCAAGCCAGAAGTGTGGGTGAGGGAATTCACTATTCCACCTAGATATGAACCTGCTACTAGCAGGACATAGACCCTTTTGGTCATCATAGTGGTATAGAGCAATGGCTTACAAATGGCTACATAGCGGTCATATGCCATTACTGCAAGCAGAAAGCCCTCAGTACTCACAAAGATGACAAAAAAGCAATGTTGGGTGATGCATCCAGCATATGAAATAGTTTTAAATTGTGCTAAATTCATCAAGAGTCTTGGTGCAAAGATGGAAGAGTAGCAGACATCAACTACAGACAGATTGCTGAGGAAGAAGTACATTGGGGTATGAAGCCGGGGACTGATTTTGATCAATACAACCATCCACATGTTCCCAGCCAATGTCAGAAAATAAATCAGAAAAAATATCATGAAGAGAGGGCCTTCAAATGCCACCTTGTCTGTTAGCCCAAGAAGAATGAATTCAGTTACCATGGTGTAATTGTTCATGATTAGTTAGAGAGACACTGCACCTGGTAAGCAGAAAGAAAGGCTGTCAGAATGGCATCACTTAACTAATCTTTAAGGAACCAGTTTGGATTTGGCATCTTTGATTTGATTTTTAAGTGAGATCAGAATTTTTGGAAGATCTTTTTTGTGTGAGAGGTATTTTTTCATACAAAAATACCTCTCATACAAACAGGATGAATATCAATCAAAAGTGCTTGATGGAGGGACAAGACAGCTTATGCAAAAGATCTTATTTTTCCCTTTCTCCTCCTGGAACTCCCATCCTTCAGACAGCCTCAGATGAACCACAAATTGTTGATTGTGTCTTACATGATTGTAGTAGGAAACAAAAATTAACCAACAATTATGTAGAATAATGTTGCATTATTTCTTATACTGGCTGTATGCTTGTCCCTGTTGCTCCCTTGAAAAAAGACACAACTCACAATGTTGACAAGGTCCATCTGAATCATTTGAAGAGTTTTTCAAGAAACATGGAGCGCTTCAAAGAGAGGACACAAAGGGAAAAATGCAAGTCATGAGTTTCCCTTTGTTCAATTGGCATAGGATACAATTTGAGCACTTTCCCTAATGACCCCGGCAATTTTACTAAAGGATTGTTCCCATACCTGCATGATTTTTGTGGTGAAAAAATGAAAATCACCTGAAAATTTTAACTGCAGTTGCTTTTAGCATTATAGCTACATCAAGCTAAGACAAAGTACAAATGATTAATGATTACCTGTATCTTTTGCATATTGTGCAGCTTCAATGAAAATAAAGGTATAAGCTTCCTCGGCTTCTTTTGAAGATTTGTCCTTCATTGTAAATGTATCAGATGCATTGTTTGGAGTTTTTTTTCCTGATTAACACCAACATATTGTTTCACATTAACAAGATTAATTAAATTATATAAATCATTCCAATTATTCCAAGTGAATTACATCTCCCCCAATCCCAAATAAACTATGCCTAGAAATCCTAAATCACTACTCTGTTGCTGTGTGAGTCAAAGAGCATTCTGGGATTCAAGCAAAAATGTATGAGCTAAGCAAGAAAGTCAAATGCTCAGAGCATTTGCTTGCCCTTAACTTTTCCTGAGATTCCTGCACAGAAATAGAATTGCATAAACTATTCATAGAGTAGATGGACTCCTTTATGTAGGGCCTTCATCTCTTAGTCAAATACTCGAATGCTAACCAAAGTAAACTATTTTTTTAGGCACTTTCAGAAGGATCACATTTAGCAGAATAACTTAGAAGAGACAATCATTACTGAAGGTGGCCAAACAACCATAGAGTGAGGGTGCAAATTTGGAGGACAGAGATTAAAGAAAAAGATGGATTTAATGGCTGCCTTGTGGCTATCACAATCTTCTGCCTACATTTGTTAAATGTAATTATAACCCATTGCACAAAGTGATCTAGACTGTGCAACTTTTATACTCCAAAGTGGTGGGATCAAGAACAATATTCTCTCTCCTTTCTAAATGTTCCTCTTCCCCCTTTTCAAAATAAATATATCACATTTCTACTAAACTTCTTCTAGTCTCTTTTCTTACAAATTGGGCTCTAAGTTTAATTCATGATGGAAAGGGCAATACTTAAGGAGCATTTGAAGGATGTGCCAGATGCAGAACAGTTAAGAATCCTTTTTGTCTGCTAATTTGGTTCTGAAAATTATTCTTTTTGCATGATTATAAATCACTTAAAAATCTTAATTCTTAAAAATAAGAAAATAAATAAATACCAACCTTTACAAAGGTAGCCTTGGGCATTTGCAACAGCCAAAATGATGTTCATTTCAGCCTTTAGATGCTATTCGCTGCCACACAAGAAATGTTTTTAATTGAAAAATACCAGTAGCTTTGCTGAATTTTTTAGTTTCTGCTCTTAATCACAGGCATTTGATTCAACTCCATAGACCATCATACTGGAAATATTCAATTACTTTTTTTCCTATGTTCTTGTACTTCTCTATGTTCTTTGAGCAATGTAGAGGCAATCCAAAAATGATTTTAATCACTGACACTATCTCGAATGAATGTAAGAAACCAATCAACCTTGACCTTGGAATGACTGTATCACTTTTCAGTATAAATTTATACAGGAGAGGTGAGTTGGTCACAGACTTGATGATTTATGATAGAAAGAATCTATTCCTTTATATAAACTGAATTATTAGCATCCCTGAAGTAACTTCAGAGTCTTAAGGGAATCAATTTCAGGCTATCTTCTGGGAGCTTTAATGTTGCGCTACTTCCAAAATTATTCATAACTGATGCTTATTTTTGTTAAATAGACAAACCAATACCACTTTCTAATATCTAATTAATTTAATTTTGCCCCATTCTTAGGACTTTATATGCCAGACCCATGAAGAAAAATAACACACTGTTCCAAAATCTGATCCTGCAATGTGATTTCTATACATATGGATTGCTAGTGTGTTTGTGTGTGAAAGACAATAGATAATAGATAATATAAAGGAAAAAAAATGAATGAAATTTACACATGAAATAAGACTGTAGTTCACTTGGATTTTGTGCAAATTAGATAAAAGTTGGATTTATGCAGATCCTCAGAGATCCTCATGAACTTATGTGGGTTTCATTTGATGCCATCATCAAATCAAAGCTCATACCCATCTGTAAGATATTACAATGATAAAACTAATATTGTTTGGCATCATTGAATGTGCAAAAGCACAAATCCAAGTGATGGATTCTCATATGCCCTCACTATTTTTATATGAAATTTAACTAATGTTACCATCAAAACAAATACAACATTCATCTGCATGGAGTGATACATGATCATCACGTACCCCAAAGGACTGAAATGGATTCAGAGCCAGAAAGTTGAACCAGAAACCTTGGGTCATATGTCACCTGCTGAAATAAAATTCATTATTTTGCTTTGCGAGCACAGGAAAAGAACATTTTTTTTATGGAGTAGCCAACAAATGTGAAGGGAATGTACATATTTTCTCCTCAGAATCTGGATTATTAAATCCCAATATCCAATAATATTTCAAGGAATGGTTTAGGACAACTCACTGTGGCCAACTCACCATGACCATTTTGCCCTGGCCTTTTCACTGCAGCCATTTTGCCACAGCCAACTTGCCACAGCCATTTTGCCGTGGCCATCTTACTGCAACCAGCTTGCCACAGGATAACTCACCATGTCCAACTCATCTCGGGACAACTCATCATGGACAATTCCATGCAGGATAACTCAACACGATAAATGTTATGTGCCACTATTTCTTTGACATTATTTCCACAAAAGTGGAATTGTCTGTGGTGAGTTATCCTGTGGCATGTTGGTCTCATGGTGAGTTGTCCCACAGTGAGTTGTCTGCGGTGAGTTGTTCCACATTTGGCCATTGCAAGTTATCCCACGGCGAGATGGCTGTGATGAGTTTGCAGTGGTAAATTGTCCCAATCTGTTCTAGGAATCCTCTAAAAAACCTTGCAGGAATGCATTATGCTTGCCTCGGATCTATCTTTTAAATTGTTCTGATGTTATATTCTTTTAATTGTGAATGGGCTGCATGTCATAATGTGATAAATGTCTAGTTCTCATTAAAGAGTTCAAATGAACAAATAATCAAAAAGTCAACACTGATGACATGCTGCCAAAGTGTCACCCTCCCCCCCCCAAAAAAACCCTGAGTTATATAGTTTCTTTTACTAGTTACATGCAAAACAATTCTGTCTGGGGTGGGAAACTGAATGATATGGAGAATAGTGGATGCCAATCCAATTCAGATGCTGCTGGTAATAGTTTTTTTCTGCTTTAAGTCACTCCAATCTTTTACTCCTCTGATACAGGTTTGTAGAAGTTTAAAAGAAAAAGCAAGAACTCAGGTTCTATTTAACTGTGGGACCTCTCTTTATAACTTTTGCTTTTCAGCACAAACCAGAAAAATGTCCAAAGCCTTGTATCAGACAGTTAACGTATGTAATGCAAAGCAACTCAATGCAGACAGTAAGGTAAATAGACTACTATACTTCTCCAAGCTCGTAACTGGACATTTGATAACAATCCTCCAATCCAAGTTAGTGGACTGTCCAGATGGTGTGAAAATTGCAACACATGAGAGACCAGGATAAGTGCAATGGTGGGAGGAAGAAGATAGCAATATTGAGGAACACTTTTTTTTTTAGTAATTTCTCAGTTTATTTACATATGGCTTTATTCAACAAATTATATGCTGTTTATTATGAAAAGGCAATTGCATTGAATGTGCTTCATTACAGTACAAATACTTGTTTTCTTCCATGGGAAAGCATGTAGAGAGGAATACACCCTTTGTGTACTGTTGTTAGAGCCATATCTTCATAATGCATTTCCAAGGACTGGAGATCTCCTTTATCGGCAGTTTCTGTGTGGGTGGGAGAAATTAAGGTGGAATATGGGAAACTTTTAAAAGAGATAGAATATAAAATCTTGCATTGTGTACGTGAGTGTGTTTGTACAATTGGGAGGAGGGCAGAAGGGAAACTAGAGTGAGATTTAAAATGATTGAGGGCCATGAAGAGGTTTCCATTCTCCCTTAGATTACTTTAAGCAAAATCAAGGAGCAGAGAAGAGCATTACCAATCCCCCTGATTGCTGGAGCATACTTCGCAAATTAGGTCCCGAAAAGATTCCTCTACAAAAGAAACGTTATCAAATTTACACACTTGCTGTGTTTTTTATTTATTAGAGGGTCAATTTTAAGGTATATTTAGCAATATGGAAGAATTGCTAGGATTCCATTAATAATCTATTATATTTAAGAAATTCTTTGTTAAGACTTCACACGTTTTCTGAAATGTGGGCACTTTTGTTCATTTACTCTGAAAATAAAGTAAAAGAGATATTTACTAGGAGCCCAGTTCTCTTCCAAACACTTTTTTCACGGCATATTTTACATCCTTATTCCTCAGGCTGTAGATCAATGGATTCAACAGGGGTATTATTACTGTGTAAAACACAGATGCTGTTTTGTCAGTGTCGAGGGAATAGCTAGAACTGGGCCGGAAGTACATGAAGAGAATAGTTCCATGATATATGGACACTGCTGTGAGATGTGACGCACAGGTAGAAAATGCTTTATGCCTCCCCTCTGTGGAGTGAATCCTTAGAACTGCAGTAATAATGAATATATAAGAGGTAATAATGATCAGCAAGGTGCTCATTTCAAACAAGCTGCCAAAAATGAATATCAGCATCTCATTCACAGAGACGTCATTGCAAGCCAGTTTCAGAAGGGAGGTGATATCACAGAAAAAGTGATTGATGCTGCTGGAGCCACAAAAGGACAACCTTAACAAACCACAAGTTTGAATCATAGCATTCACAACTCCCCATAAATATGAGCCAGCTATCAATCCTATACAAAGCTTCTTTGTCATCACTGAAGTGTAGAGTAAAGGGTTGCAGATGGCCACATAGCGATCATATGCCATTGCAGCCAATAGGAAGAACTCTGTTGTGGCAAATATTGCAAAGAAATAATACTGTGCAATACAGGAAGCATAAGATATGGTTTTCTTTTCCACTAAGAAAGTCATCAGCATTATAGGTGTGATGGTGGTGGAATAACAGGCATCTAAAAAGGACAGGCTGCTAATAAAGAAGTACATGGGGGTATGCAACTGGGGAACAACCCAAATTAATAAAATCATTCCAAGATTCCCCAGCAGAGTAGCAATATAGATGATTAAAAATGTTGCAAAGAGCAATGGCTGCATTTCCAGATGTTCTGTGAGTCCAAAAAGAATGAAGTTGGTCACCAAAGTGTAATTTGTTCCAGACATTGGCTTCATTCCCTTTTTCCTGTGGGGAAAAAAAACAACAAAAATGTTTCTTAAAAAACACAGATTACAGAATTCTGAGCAGGTAGCTTCATTTTCCCTTTCTCCTGAACATAGGATTTGTGATGAGAGAGTGTTTAATACCATAGATGGATTTGGGTGGAGAAAGGAGATTGTAGTTTTCCTCTCTTTACTTCTTTGCTATATCTTTATTCTCCTTGCAAGGAGAGGAATCTCATTTTTTGAAGAAGAAGACATCTCTGAGAGAACATTTTAATTTTGACCCTGCCAACAACAGTCAAGAGGACAATATAATTATTTTAATCTTAGGATTATTTTGCCTGTAATATGTACCCTAAATGTTTTTTAAAATTATTTTCCAATAAATAGATTTGTTGAAGAATATTTTACTGACAATGAGATTATTTGAACTGCCCTATTTTGTTTCAAAAGTTTAAAGTGATCACACAATGATTTTTGCAGATATTATAAATATAAGTGTCCATACTGCTGGCTTGATTTACAGGACTGAATGTGTGATATATAGTATTTTTGTCACTGGAGATAATGGTTTAGGGTTTCCTGCCTAAGCAGGGGGTTGGACTAGAAGACCTCCAAGGTCCCTTCCAACTCTGTTATTCTATTCTAATTAAAAATTCCCTGGATTGCAAAAACAATGTCCATGAAGTTCCTCCTGTACATGTGATGAAACATATAATGTTCTATGTGGACTTTATCAATTGCCTTCATACCTGACTCTGTGGAAGAACAACTGTTTCCTCAAATCTGTGAGGTGATCATCTCACTAAAACCATAGACAGCATTGCTCAGAGCATTCTTAAGGTTTAGGAAAGAGGGAAAAAACTAGCAGCTAAAAAGTTTTGTATTACCAAGTAAAGGAGTTGAGGTTTTATTCATTTAGTTAAAATTCTTTTAGTATCCCTTAAATTTAGACTTCATTAGTGCACATATTTAGGTATACACTTGATTCTCCCTCTCCCTCTGCCTCCCTCCCTCCCTCTTTTTCTCTCTTACACACATACCCACACCCACCCAACCACCCACCCACACACAAACCTATGTCTAGAACTATTGTAATATCTAAAATTACATAGTAATAAACAGCACTGTATTCACTTGTTAGCGATGTGTATGTCCATACTCAATCTGTGATGGACGAAATCTAGGTTTCTCTGGAAATATTAATATTACTATTATTGCAAGTATTAATACCAAGTTATTAAATCAAAGAAAGCTGTATACTTGGTAATGTATGAAAAATCTTGCAAGTATAATGTTTATCATATCTTGTGCGAATGGGGTTTTGGGGGCATGTGTGGTGGGGGAATAATTAGATATAAAGATTTCACTAATGTGCCATGTGTGTTAGCCAAGTGACATCATAAAATTACATTTACTTGAGGAAATATAAACATATTTAAGAAAAGAGAGATGAGCTTGAAAACACATATACATTTTCTTGTGATCTCCAAAAGCAATCAAACTGAATCCAGTTCTTGAAGACTGTCTTATCTGAGACATTTGCACCATTTGTGAGTTCTAAACAGAATCAGCTTGCTCATCTCCAACTATTTATTTTTGCATTATGTAATATCCCCATTACTTTTGCAATCCAATATTTATTTAGAAACTTTTATGGTGCATACATTATATAAAATAATCCTCAGCAGCTCACTTTAATATTACATAAAAAAAGAATAAATAAAATCAATCAACCCTATGACACCACATATCTCAAGCACAGCATCACATCACATAGATTCCTCCTGCTCTTACATTTCTTGGCCTTCCTAGGCCAATGCCTGGGTGACGAGGCAGGTCTTTTCAGCACTCTGAAATGCTAGGGCTGGAGTACCTTGGAATCCCAGTGTGGAAACCTCAAGACACAAATGTTCAGGCTCAAATTATCCTACATGATGTGAAGATCCAGCTCTCTAGAGAAGGCTCTAATGCTGAGAAAGATGGAAGGAAAGGAAAGAAGAGGACAATCAGCAATAAAGTGGATGGACTCAGTTACAGTGGTGATGGATGCACTGTCGGAAGACCTAAAGGAAGAAATTAGGATATATCATCATTAACAAATGCGTGATTACTGAAAGTGGACATTGACTTCATGGCATATTAACAATAATTATCAATAGACAAAAGGAGTTCTTAATAGAAAACGAAGCCCCACATAGCAGCTGGGCTCTCTTCCAAGCTATTTCTTTCCTTCTGTGAATATGGAAATATGAGTATAGCAGTATTCACTTAGGGGGTCTCTCTTGCCTACCCTAAGTGGGAAAGAAATCAAGCCAACTCAAAGGATGTCCTTCATTTGGAAGCTACGCATTCAAATGCACCAATTCAGTTTTGTAGCTCGAGCATGAAAAAATGATGCCCATCTAAATAAGAAGATGACCTTGTCAGTATAATCTGTGCAAACTTCTTAAAGAACAAGTCATATATGGTACATTGTAGGTTTAGTAGATCAGATATTGTAGCGGCCAAATTATTTAGCAGGTTCTTCTATAGATCACATATGACTAAGAACTTTGAATCTGAATATATCATTTTATGGGAAATAGTCAATACTGAGTCAAGAGTAATAATAATAAATAATAATAAAAGAGGTGTTGCTTACCTTTAAGCAGGAATGTAGTATTTTAAAACTCAAGCAATAAATTGAAGGCTGGGTTTTCTGAAGTATTTATATCAAAGCTTATGAATGCTCAGTAACATCCCTAAAGCAGGGTAATTAAAGTTTTTCCCAGATGTACATATTTAGAGGATTGTAATTAATCTCAAAATGATCCCGATTGTTGCATTATATCCTTTTTTAAAAAAAAAAAAACTTTCTTTTTAATGAGAAACAACTCTCTTCATACATGTTCCTGTGAAGGTTCTCAATACTAGATGGTCATATCTGTAAAGAGACAGGCAGGTTTACATGGAAAGAGATAATCTGTGAAATAACACATCCTGTAGGTTTTTTTTGGGGGGGGGATTGAAAGATAACAACAAGTGCCTGAAAATTAATTGATAGCATCTGGAAAGGAACTATAGTAATATAGTTGACTGTACACAGGTACAGTATAGCTGGTGCCTTGCTCAATACCATGTTTCTCCGAAAGTAAGACCCGGTCTTATATTATTTTAGCCTCCAAAAGAGACATTAGGTCTTAATTTTGGGGGTGTCTTATATTTTTGTGACACCTACCTCGCCTCGCGGTGGCGGCACCAACAACCCTATCCAGCAGCTCGCGTGGCTGCCAGCCACTTCTGCTGTGGCCGCTTGAGGTAGGAGGCCGTGTGGCATATTGTGCCACTGCTGCTACAACAAGGCGAGGCAGGAGGGGGAGGGGTAGAGTTGCCCCATACGCCCCGCACCCACTTACCAGTATTTCAGGTTCCCCCCCCCCCGCTAGACCATTCTTTAATGGGCAACCTTTCACTCTTCTTCTGAGCTGGATTGCCATGCTATGGTGGATGGGATGGGCGGGGTAGGCCTGGTCTCCCTCTGCAAGGAAATGGAGTTTGTGGGACTAAAAAAAGTTCAATCAGACCTTCCAACTTCTCTTGAAATCTTTTTTTTCCACGAGACAGGCGACAAAGTGTTCCAATATTTCAGGGGCTGCCAAACGAAGAGGGAGTGAAGCTATTCTCCAAAGTGCCTGAAGGCAGGACAAGAAGCAATGGATGGAAACTAATCAAGGAGAGAAGAAACCTAGAACTAAGGAGAAACTTCCTGACTGTTAGAACAATTAAGCAATGGAAAAACCTGCCTCCAGAAGCCATTTGTCCAAAATGTTATAGGGTTTCCTGCCTGAGCAGGGGTTGGACTAGAAGACCTCCAAGGTCCCTGCCAATGCTGTTGTTGTTGTTATTGTTGTTTATGATATTATAGTCCATTTTCCTTTAAGTTATCAGAGCAGAAAAGTACAAATGTTACATTAGGTAATTTAGATGTTTCACATGATTTCTACCCTATCTTCCTTTGTGAGGAGAAGGTGGGGAATTCTGTTTTTAACAGTGTATATTCTATGTTGACCACCAGGGAGCAGTATGTGACTAGTTTTGTCCTGTTTGAGACACTTCAGTGTGTTTGCCTTCAAACTGTGGTCTTCAAAGTTGAGAAGAAGGAGAAAGGAGGAATCACCTGTATACGGTAGCTACAGTACTTGGAGCTAAAACCTAAGAACAGTCAAAAGCTGAATTCTTACTGAACAAGAGAAAGTGGCAGGGAAATTAACACAAAAAGAAAATTACACCGAGGAACTTATCATTGTAATAGCTCCTGTTCATGATTTGTAGGCTTTTAAAACTATTGAATTCATATAGATAAAAACTTCAGAGGATGAGACAGAACTGAACATTTTGGTGATAAAGCAGAGATCTGATTTTCTGGTGTAAACATGGAAGTGCTGTCATAGTAAATGATTCACATGACAAAAATACTGATATCAGCCTGAAAATACTGCTCAACGTGGGGAATCAGTGGCTTATATGCTCCAAAGGACTTTCTCTCTCCCCCACAAGCAATGGACCACTATACTACTTATGTTCAAAGCTTCCGAGTTATCTTCAAAACCAATTCTTCACAGAATGCTTTGCAGTTGTGTACTCTGGAATTAACAAGTGCATTAACGATTTGGGGGTTTTCATTATGCTACAACATACAGTGATTATCCTGTGTAGAGCAATATATTGCATAACCTCCTAGTTAGGGGAATACTGGGTAAAAGCATACTGGCTTGCAAGTTTCTAGGTCAGAGATCTTCCATTACACAGAATAGCCTGAGCACAATTGGGAAAAGGCAAAACAAAACTAGGCGTGTGTCATGCTGGCCCAAATGTACCATACTGGTGGTAATGTTCTTATCGTAAGCAGAATTCAAAAGCAGTCTTGCAGAATCTTTTATTATCTTTTATTACTCAAATTTCTAGGCCAACTCCCAGGATGACAGAAAATTAACAACAGCAATAACAACAAAAACAATCTCAGTGAGGAAACAAATCTCTCATATCATCACCTATCTAAAGGGATCTTCCAAACACTCTAACCCAAGCCATGAGTGAATCATCACATTTTAGAGTTTACTAGAAGGTGCTTAGCTGAACAAATCTGGGTAGATACTCTTTCTAAGGGCTGGCACTGCATCAGGGAAGACCTATTTCTACACATTTGATAGCATTGTTTAATTGACAGGACACAAGGTAAGCCAACTTTGTCTGGTTAGACAGGGTAGACAGATAAAACAGGAGACAGATGGTCCTTCAGAGAACTAGGTTATATGCCACACAGAGGTAAAAGCCAGCTTCTTGAATTGTATATGGAAGCTTACTATTACCTAGTTCAGCTCACATGGAAGAGGTATGACATGGCCTGTCTATGACGGTTCATATCATTGCATTATGGACCAGCTGTAGTTTTGGAGTGATCTTAAAGAGCAACTCCATGTACAGTGTGTTGCAAGGTGAACAAGGCATGAATGCCCATTAAGAGGCATTCCCAATCTACAAACAGGCACAATTGGCATACAAACTGGACTTGTGCAAAAGCATTTCTGGTCAGAACTGTCACCTGCTTCTAAAGCAGGAGCTGAGAGTCTAGGAAGTTCCCCAGATTGTGTATTAGTCCTAAATAAAGTTTGTGTGTGTGTGTACGTGTGTGTGTGTCTATCCACACACACTACATATTCATAATGGAAGGAAAGTCCCCATAACTGGGAGGTCCATAACCCACAGCCACTTGGACTTGCTATGGTTGAGGTGAGCCAGTTTCTTGCCATGCACATCTCAATGTCCTCTATGCAGTGAGACAAGAATTTGACAGCATTGTTTGGCCAGACAAGGACTGAGAAGTACAACTGAGTATTATCCACATATTGATGATTCCAAACTGACAAATGATGTCCCTGGTGGTCTCATGTAGCTATTAAACAATAAAATCAGCTCAGCCATTTCATGCATCTGATAAAGCAAATGATATTTCATAAAAGTTAGATTTTTAATAAAATATATTAATTTGGAAAGATATTACCAGATTTCTCTGGAATTTGGGCTGCCCTTGACTACCATGGTTTTTTTCTTACAATGTTTACCATAAGCTGGAGATGCTACTGTACATGTGGCAAACCGAGGCAAGTAATCTGGTCTATACCCTCACTAGAAAGCATACTATGAAATTCTTAATTGACCAAACCATAATAAGCAATGGTGGTTGATATTTGTCCAGTGATTGACCCACTTTTTTCAATTAACACCTGGAAGAGATGCTAGTTAGATAAGCTAGCTTTTCTTATTTACACTTTCAGATTATGAGGTAGCAAACTTCCAGCTCTAACTCCAACCAATAACTCTGGCCCTTCCTAAACCTGATGGCTATACCAGCAGTTATTAGTATCCTAACTACAGCTTATCTTATTTACTGCACTGTGTTGAACACGAGACTATGCTTGAAAACTGTCCAGAAACTGCAGTTGCTACAAAATGTAGTAGATAAGAAGCTGATAAGGGCAACATACGGGGACATATGATTCCTGATGTATGTACTGGTTATGAACTGCCCACCAGACACAATTCAGAGTATTGATTTTGAGTTGTAAAGGCTTATCAGTTTAAGACTAACTATTTGTGGATCTACCTTAGTTATTGTGAATCTGGATGAGTAGCTTGGCTATTCAGGTACTCCGCTCTTAGCAACTCAACTATTGGGTACACAGGATAAGGTTTTCTCCTGTGTGGCTCCAGGCTGTGGAATATACTCCCAAGAGAAATGGACATGGCCTATTCTGTATAGGAAACTGAATTTCTGTTAAGAACAATTAAAGCAATGAATTTGTGATTGTTACAAATTTCCTTCCAGATTCTAGAAGATGACAACCCAACCCAAATTTGCTCTTTCACCAAATTTATTTCCTACCCACCTTGCTAGCAACAAAATTAAGGTGATTAGATTAAATTATAAACAGGGATTCATTACTGTTCCTCATTGCTGAAATACAATTTCCTTGTGTTTTGTGAAAAAAAAAGTACCCGGATTTTGAAATTGCTAATAAAAGTTTGAGAAAATATTAGAAACTTCATTCAGTTCTTCAGGACTACTTTTCTACATGTCATTAAGCTCCACCCCAGGAGACACAAAGGGCATTTTAATTATCCTAACTGTACCTTTTTTGAAAGGCAGATCTTTGAAGTTTTTTTTCCTTTTCCAAAGTGAGAATATGTTAGAAAGAAACTCAACATTCTCTTGTCCATCATCAGCAATGAAATTGAATAACCATGCTTCTCATCTGAAAGGTATGATTATTATTCTCTGATAAACTAAAAGAGACAGTCTGATGAAGCTTCGAAAGAACTCACAATCTGCAATGTAAGATTTTGCAATGACTTTTTTTGCACTCTCTTTTGAAATTTATTATCATAGCACTGCTACACTTTTATATTCTCATTTGATGTTTGCCAAAAGCAACTCAAAAGTGAATTTCAATAAGACTGAAGTGCTAGATTAATCAACTAGCAAAGTTTAGTTTTTAGGTACCAGTGTATTTCAGTAATTCTTTAAAATGTTAAGGATAAAGGGATTAAATTATAATTTATCCTATAGCGAGCTGCTAGTTGGATTATATTAATTAAATGAAAAACAAGTGGGATAAAAATGAATTAACAAATAAAGAAGAGCATTTAAAACACTTAGGCACGTATGGTTTCTTTTTCTTCTATCATTGCTATGTATTTATTTATTAAACAGGCCACATCTGGAATGTTTTCTTCTTTCGTGAAAATGAAAGAAAGTCTATTTTGAAGTACAGCATTAATTATTAACACTATAGGTCTTGTAACCTGCATAATACTTTTCACTCTTTGTCTAGTCATAGTATTCTAACAGTTCTTCCCATTTTCAGTCTGAAAAACTGTCTTGTCTGAGACCTTAGCTGAAATCAAATATGAACCCCAGGCTCCCAAGCCAAGTTGGCCTATTGAACTTGGACTGACTTTTCTAATTTTTTGATGGTAAAAAGATTTCACTTTTTAAATGCATAGTGGTTCAGTAAGAATGTGAATTTGTCTCATTGACAGAGAATAGAAGGTGGAGGATGTGTGCTCTCCACACATTTGTGCTCTCCACACAAGAGTTGGCACTGGAAAGGATATACTTGAAAAAGGAGTCCCTAACTTACCCAAATCCACCTTATTGTCATTGTGTCTTTTTTTTTACAAAAGTATATCAAATAGCTGACAATGTTATCAGCCTGGAATGAATGAGCTAAACATTCAGCCTGAAAAGTCAAAGTGCAGAGCTCCTTAGTTAACACTGATGAGGGCTAAGAGATAAACACCTTTTAGAAACTCCAGGCTGCTTTCTAAATCTTATTCTAGAACTGAGATAAATTGTACCTCTAATTTGAGTATTGGACAGCCCGTTTGCCTGACTGATTATGTGCCATCAAGTTGCTGTTGACTCTCAGTGATCATATAGATAGAGTTTATAGATTATCTATATCTAACCTGGTCCTTCATCACTCATCGTCACTGTAACAGAGTCCATCCATCTTGCTGCTTGACACCATCTTCTTCTTTTTCCTTCCATCTTTCTTAGCATCTGAGATTTTTACAGAGAAATCGGTCTTCACATAATATGTCCAAAGTAGGATAATTTGAGCCTGGTCATTCGTGTCTTGAGTGAGAACTCTGGGTTGAGGAAAGTCTTTTTAGAGGAATCTTATTTAGTAGCAGCAGAATGAGTATGAAAACTTATCACTCTCTACATTGTGTTTTTGATAGCCATGTCATAATAATGAATATTGTTGCTTTATCACATTTGATTTGTTAGATGTTTTGGATTTTGTCATTATCATCATCATCTGAATTCTATATATAAGCAAAATATGCAGCCTATTTTTGTGTGTGCTTGTCCTTCTTCCAATTATTTTAATTTTAATTACTTTAATTTTAAACATAAAATAGTTTTGCACACATAGATATGCATACATAAACTCATCTCTTTTTAGTAGTAGTTTAGTTAGGTGTTATCAAATGAAGCCTGGTGACTACTCTTGGAAAACAAGTTTAAAATTTAATTCTATGTTTCTTGAGCAAGTATTTCAGAAGCCATATGATGTCTGGCTCTCCTCTATGAGACTGTGCTAAGGTTCAAAGCTAATGAATCCATTTATATGAATTTGATGCTGGAGAAGATACAAAAGACATGAATGTCTATAATTAGGGCAGCATTTACATTCTGTGAAATATATAGACAGGGAGACAGATAGAAACAACTGCAGATCCTCAATTCAAATTTCCCTACCTTTTGATATTCCTTCAGAATGTGAGAAAAAAATGACAGTCTTGGGTCTGGCAAATTTTTGATCCTTTCCATGGAAAGGAAAGGAAGAGGAATCTAAACCAAACAGAAGGTCATCTGAAATACCTTGGGATTTTTTTCCTTTATTCACCCCAACAACCAAGTTCTGCTACTGTATTTTTATAAGAGGGGAAATGAATCAGAAATGTGTCCAGATTGAATACATTTAGTTCATACCAGCCTTGCTTTAGCGTTTTATAGTTATAGATTTCTAAGAAGATGTAATGTGTAATTCTTCCCAAGTGATGTGTAATTCTCATATTCCTGGCTTTAATTTAAAGACAAAAGCAAGTATCTGGTCCTTGCCATATTTCATATATGCTGCAAAATAGGCAACTTATTTTCTATGTGCTTGTCCTTCCTTCAATATTTTTAGCCTATCAACAAAGTCATAGCAATAATTGGCACACCTTCTACCCGGAGAAGAAATTGAAGGAAAGAGTTACTCCTCTTGCAATATGGCATCGGTCTAAGTAACCTGTGGAATACCAATAGGATAAAGATAATGGAGAAACAAGGATTGGTCTAAATTTTCTCCTGAAGGGAAGGTAACATAGTGGAAGAGAAGGGCTTTTGGTTTATTAGATCCAAAGCTTCACTTATTCACTCTGGTCACAGGGTTTCTCAGCAATAGAAAAAGCAGAGGATAGATACTGGAGAGAAAGCTGAAGGGAGAATTTGATATAAGATTTTTCTCTAATCTAATCAGATTGTCTTCATATTCACCCTCATCTATATACTAGAGTGGAGGTTCAAGTGGGCTAGAGATCAAGATATAATGAATATACATGATTAGAGTAGAGAAAAATCTTATATCAAATTCTCCCTTCAGCTTTCTCTCCTGTATCTATCCTCAGCATAATTTAAGAACTAAGGGGTCCCCAGATCATCTAGAACAGGGGTGTCAAACTGCCGGCTTGCAGGCCGGTTTCATCATACCATTTGCCGGCAATGCAAAAAGAGTCATGATATGTCACGACACATCATGTGACGTGACGAGTTTGACACCCATGATCTACAGTACCAAGACCAGAAATTAGTAGTTACAGACAGATGGTGGGTTTAATCATTAGCAACCCTCAATTTAAAGATGTAAAAATGTCCAGATTTTAAAGCTATGGCCAATGTCCAATTGTAGATGGTCTGCAGTGTCTCTGAAGGGTACAACTTGCAAAGAAAGGAATTTACTTATTTTATTTATTTATATATTCAACTTATTAACTGCCAGTCTCCCTCACAAGGAGGCTCTGGGCAGAGTTGCTCTTGAATAAACCTTGTATTGGGCGGTGCCTTACACAATCATCATCATTACTTTGGGAGAAGTAATGCAATGTTGTGATGTCATGAGATGAAAATCCCATGCCTCTTATATCAGTATGACATGAATGGATGGGACGTTCATTGTGAAGTTATGACACATATATTGGAATATTAGTGAGTCATTCACTGGCCCCAATTTATGCCGTCGTCATTGGCTCTGTTAAAAGTTAAGTTATTTTCAGTCTGTCATTGCTGTCCTGGAAGTGATGGCTTTCTTTTAGCAGTAGTTGCTCTCTAGGGATGAAAAGATCTGTTTGGTACTCAAATAGGGTTCCTCATATCCCAAAGATTCATCAGTAAAAAATCCTTTCAAGGACTGAAATCTTTCTAGTTTGGTCTCAAAGCAGCTGCTATGAATTTTAATAAGTTTCCAAATCATCTTGAAAGAAAAATAGGCCAGAATGGACAGAATAGTCCCAAGGATTAAACAATTTCAGATTTTTCTTTAAAAAAAAAAGAATGTATCTTCCTTTATAGGAACATATTAAAACATGTTAAAATAGCACATTAAACATGTTCAAAACAACAACATAGATGTTCATATTGTAATGTAAATGCAGTTAAGCATCATTTAACACCTTAAACAATTACAACAAAATCACCATTCATGATTTTTGTAAGTCAGGGCTCCTCCTCCTCCTCCTCCTCCTCCTCCTCCTTCTTCTTCTTCTTCTTCTTCTTCTTCTCCTCCTCCTCCTTCCTCCTCTTCCTCCTCCTCTTTTTTTTAATTCTCTTTTACTTTGTAAATGTTCAGTAATATAGTCAGCCAATATGGATATAATCATTTATCACATTATTACATCTATTATCTTCTTTTCGATATACCTAATTAATATGTTACACGTAGGACCATTAATGCTACTATGGGAACATTAAAGAAAATTCTTAAATTGATAGATTGAAGCAATTTAATTGAGAATTTAAAGCAGGTGATTGATTACAGTATTAATTATCTCTTTCAGAAAGTTCCTGAAGTCTGAAGGAAGCAAGTTTTTACAGCAACTGATCAGTTATCTCAGCCTCCACTAGTGGAAGCTTCAGAATAAATGAATAAAGAAACAGAAAAAATGGGCAAATGGAACCAAACAACAGTGACTGAGTTTGTTCTTCTTGGTTTCACTGACCATGAAAAGATCAAGGCTGTCTTCTTTGTTCTCTTCTTAGCCATCTATCTACTCACTTTGGTAGGAAATATTGGTATCATCATATTAATCTGGATCAGCTCATGCCTCCACAGTCCAATGTATTTTTTCCTCAGCAACTTGGCCTTCTTAGACTTCTGTTATTCTTCTGCCATTACACCCAAAATGCTTCTCAATTTCATAACTGGAAAGAAGACAATCTCACTGGCAGGATGCATTACACAAATGTATCTATTTGCTTCTTTTGCAGATGCTGAATGCCTTCTTCTGGCTGCCATGGCATATGACCGTTACATGGCTATTTGTAACCCGCTAATTTATCCCACTCTTATGTCCCATCGAGTTTGTTTCGGGTTAGTAGCTGGCTCTTATCTTATTGGTAGTATAACTTCACTAATTCACACTTATTATACATTTCACTTGTCATTTTGTGGATCCAATGTCATCAATCATTTCTTCTGTGATATCCCTCCACTGTTAGCTCTCTCCTGCTCCAATACTCACATTAATGAAATTCTTCTTTTTGCCTTGTGTGGTTTCATCCAAATGAGCACTTTTTTGTTGATTGTTATCTCCTATACTTATATCATTTACACTATCATGCGGATCCATTCAGTTGAAGGCCGCCAGAAGGCCTTTTCAACTTGTACCTCCCACTTGACAGCTGTTGCTTTGTATTATGGAACCCTTCTGTTTACTTATTTGCGACCAAGCTCCAGCTATATCCTGAATACAGACAAAGTAATCTCTGTTTTTTATACTGTGCTTTTTCCCATGCTAAACCCCTTGATCTATACTTTGAGAAATGAAGAAGTAAAGGATACCTTCAATAAATTATTGCAAAGAAAACTGATTGCACTCAGAAGGATTAGGAGATTTTTTTCAGTGTTTGCACTAGCAAAATGCCACTTGTAGACTTGAAGCTGGGAATACACATATACACAAACCTCTGTGATTACACTTCATTGACTAAATTTCAACTGTATTCATTTTACTTCATATAAAACCTTTTGTTCAACTAGTGCTCTTCAAATATTTAGTGGGTGTATGCAATAAAGTACTTTTATATGGGGATTCATAAATCACTTAAGATGGAGAACTTTTATTTTGAAATTTCAAATAGATGCATGAGTGAAAGAGTTATGGATCACTGCCATGAAGCTTCATCTTGTGTAGATAAATTCTACTTGGTAAAAAAAAAATCTCATAAAGATATTTGTTGTGTTATAAACTATTTCTTAGCTACTTTTTTTCATCAAAGACAAATTAACAAATTGTCCTCCATGCAGGAAAGTAACCTTGAAATTTGTTCCTCCATAAAATGGAATATGATCTTCACAAGTCTCTATATGTTGAAGATTCCCAAATATGGTAGTTCTCTATCACTCTGTGGTCTGGGGTAGGCAACTGCATTAACTTTTGAACGCTTAACATTTAACTTCAGGAATTAGAGAAAGTGCTATCTTGGCATTCAACCCAAGCAATGTGGCCCAAGTGATGAAAATTATCAAGGGAATTTGGTCCTCTACATAAGAAATCCATTATATTATAGTCTGATAAATCAAGGTTTCATAAGATAAATATATATGAGAAAGAAGACAGTGTAAACTATAAATGATTGATATGTTATCTGATCCCAAATAAGCATCTTTAAATATATAGATTTCAATAATGTACTACATAATGTTATTATTATTATATACATTTCTAGTTCTCTTCTCATTACAAAAAAGAGGTATAATAGTATTATAAAATTCATATTGGAAGAGTGCAAAGATTTAACAGGGCACTGCACTTTTATAAATTCTTCTATTGGTAAAACATCCTTTCAAGGCTGCTTTGCACAACAATACAAGTTTTGCAAAAACAAAAGCAAAGTGATTGGATTGTTTCATTTTGTATTATTCCAAGGTCTTGTCCAGCAGTTCTGGCTGCTGGAAGAAGCTTCTGCATGTGCACTGCAGCCTCTTCCAGCTATAATGGTAGCACAGATAGATCTTGCTTATCAACTGCCCATGCAGTGACCATCCAAAGTTATAATGATGTTGAAAAAAACCATTTTTTTGATCAAGATACACATTTACAATCATGTCCTGTGGTCATGTGATCACCATTACAATCAGTATGTATGGCCCTGTGCCTGATTTGTTGTTTTTCTTTTTCTTTTTACACAGAGCAGAGAGATTGGAGAGGAAGTGATTATAGAGAATAAGCAGCACACAATATGTAGGAAATACATATTGAAAGTAATGCTGTGGCATGGACTCAGAACCATTACACAAACATCCAGTATATTTCCCATTGTGTGTCTCCTTACTCTCTTGTAATCACTTTTTTTCAAAGGATTACACTCTCTACCTTCTAAGTGATAGGGGAAAAAATGGGTCAGATAAATAAGTTAAATAAAAGTTTAGTGATCAAATAGTATAACAGTAGACTATTTCAAACATACATATAACCAAAGAAAATCCAGTACAATAAAAAAATAGATAACTCAAGGAAAGAAAAATAATAATGGGAGGGATCTCTAGATGTGGAACTGGGGACATTCTGTATGTAAGACAAGCCTTATAGTTATTATACTAGTAAAAAAGACTCTCTAAGAGAATCTTCAGAGATATTATTCACGAAAAACAGGGAAAGTGTGTAAAAGAAGATTCCTGCTTCTCTTCTAGAAGAAAGCAAAATACTGCAGGCAACTGAACAGTAGTGCTTGAATGGACAGAAACAGGTAAACATTACCTTGAAACCATGCTACACAGAGAAGTTACATTCAGAGTGACATTGTTCATTCCTGTCTTCCAAAAATAACCCCACTGTTGGTAATGAGGCAACTGGACAGCAAAAATAAATCTCAGAACTTGTCCAAGTCAGAGGTCTGAGGGCGTACAAGTGATTGAGTTTTATATTGTTGAAGTGTTAAAGTGGTATGTGAGGCCTCACCAATGCCTGATCGACTGTGTTTCACTTTCTGCCCTCATTTGGTACTTCCAGTAATTAGGAGAGGCTTCTGTGCATTTTGTCATTAATTTTGGCTACTGGAACTGGTGGATGAGTCCTCAGCGAAGTGAAAAACCTCGAACAAGCTAATTCTATCACTTCTTCTATAGTGGTATATGAGGATGATCTGGGAGACAGGAGGAAGAGCTCAGACAAGGCAACGGCCATGCAAAAGGTATCTCAAGCCATAGAAGGAAAAGAGAAGGGATCCTCTCTAGTTTTCTGGAAAGTGAAAATAAAGAGGCTTTCGGACTTGCAAAATTCCGTTACTGTAACCTCACAATAAAGATAATATTAGTACACAAGATTTGTGCTTCTTGTTTGTATTAGTTTGAAGAGCTGACATGTTCCACCTTGACCAGGTGGATTACATTATGTCTGTAGCATAAAGCTCAGGTTAAAATAATTTACAGAAGCCTATTTTTCCTTTGATTTATTTTTGCTTAGGTCAAAGATACAAAAACTATGTGGTGACCACATTTTCTTCCATACCACTTTGGACAACATTTAGGTCAAAAATAGTGAAGCTATCTTTGTTCCTCTATCTATACTTCACTTGATTAACTACTGTTTTAAGATAGCTGGTGATAGCATATTGTATTTTCTTTAGAAACATTACCATTGTCCCATTATAGAGCATAAGCAGATATGGATCAAATTAGTATGACGATTTCAAAGAACACAAGAACTAGAAGCAGATGCTAACAGGCTGTATTCAAGAAATGTGATTGAGCAAGTCAAGTCAGTGAGCTGGAAGCAAGTAATCCAAACCCAGCAGCAAAGATCAACATGACTTTTCTCTCAGTTTTAGTTATTTCTGCTTCATTCTCCAGAGTTGTCTTCCAATGTGACCTGATGTTCATCATAGATTAACTAATCAGGTGGATTTACAAGTAAGGATTTAATTTTAAGTAATGTGCTATATTCCCAAGGAAATTTCCTTGTTATGTGTGCTGTTTTAATATTTTGCATTTTCTTTTTCTTGTGTTGTATGAACTGATTTAAGCTTGACAGTAGTACATTTAAATACATTTAAAAATCAAAACTAATTGAGTATCCTATTTCTCAGCTTTCTGCTCTAAAATGTTTTGTGTTTTCAGCCACAAGTCTCACAATTTAAATTGAGCTTAAATTGAGTTAATATGAACTTGGAGCTGAGCCTACATTTCATCTCTTGAGGGCTCTTCATTGTCAAGGCCCATGACCAGGGACATATAAGGAAGAGACAGACTTTATCATTCTTTTAAAAATGCCTTTTTAACTAGCAGCCAAGAAGAAAAACATTATCACTGAGAATATGTCATTCTTTGAAAAATATGAAACACTACTACTGTGCATAGCAATATCATAAAGAATGGTGGCTTTTTAGTATAATCTGCCAAAAAGTTTGAATTCACATTAGTATTTTGATTTGGCAGTTTAATGTTCGGATGTCTGCTTTCCAATCCTCCTTTTCTCTTTGCATGCCATCATGAATGTCAGGAAACTTTTCTTGCCAATGTTTTCTTCCAGGCATCCTTCACTTCTTTGTTCCTCAGGCTGTAGACCAAGGGGTTTATCATGGGAAACACCACAGTATAAAAAACAGAGATTATTTTATCAGTGTCTGGGGCATAACTGGAAGCAGTTAAGTGAAAAGGAGGGCACCATAGAAAAGGGCAACAGCAATTAAATGGGAGCTGCAAGTTGAAAAAGCTTTCTGGCAGCCTTTGTTGGCAGGAATTGTCAAAACAGTGCAAAGGATAGAGGAATAGGAGATGAGGATGAACAAGAAAGTGCTCATCTGTATAAAACCACACAGAGCGAAGAGGATCATCTCATTTATGTAGGTATTAGAACAGGAGAGGGCCAAGAGTGGAGGGATGTCACAGAAGAAGTGATTGACGACATTCGATCCACAGAAGGAGATGTGAAAAGTAAAACAAGTGTGCACCAATGAGGTCACGCTACTAATCAGATAAGAACCTGCTATCAAAGAGATGCACACTTTGTGAGACATAAGGACAGGGTAGAGTAGCGGGTTGCAAATGGCCATGTAACGGTCATATGCCATGGCAGCCAGAAGAAGGCACTCAGCATCTGCAAAGGAAGCAAATAGGTACATTTGAACAATGCATCCTGCAAATGAAATGGCCTTCTTCTCTCTTAAGAAATTGGCCAGCATCCTGGGAGTAATGGTGGAAGAATAACTAATATCTAGGAAAGCCAAATTGCTGAGGAAAAAGTACATTGGACTGTGTAAAGTGGGGCAGATCAAGGTTAATAAGATAATACCAATGTTCCCCACCAGAGTGATCACATAGATGGCTATGAAGAGGACAAAGAGGCCTGCATTGATTTCTTGACGATCAGTGAAGCCAAGGAGAAGGAACTCATGCACTGTTGTGTGGTTCCACTTGGCCATTTTCTTCAGTCTTTGGTTCCTTGACTTAGGATCTGAAATCAAGGAGAGATATGAACCGTGGGGAAAATGACAAACACATGGTTTACAAAAGATGCTTCCTCTCTCCCACTGAAACTAGAAGAAAAAAATATTTTCATTGGCCTTCTTTGATATTTTATAAATAAAATGCTGAGAAATGATAAATAGGCAAACCAATGACCAAGGAAACCTGACATTGGTTTGCTTGGTTTGGTTGAGTTTGCATTCTCTTTGAGGGGATATATTCAATAGATATACTTCATATCTATTCAAACATTTTTTTTCACATACAGTATGTTGGCTGGTGCACATTCTCTAGAATAGGGGTGGGGAACTATGGCCGTTTTATGATTTGTGGACTTGAACTCCCAGAATTCCTGAGCCAGCCATAGTTCCCCATCTCTGCTCTAAAAAAAGGCCAATGAGGCCAATTTCACACAAATTTTGTTTGTAGCCAGGCTGATCTATGCATTGTTGGATTGATTTTCATATTTATTTATTGATAGGTTGGTAGATTTATATATGTATAACTCCCATTTCTAAAACTGCCCAATTTCTCGACAGTTTTGGGTGGCATACAAAAGGAAAAGCAAAGAACAAGAACATCATGACACAGTGGTAAAAGGAAACAAATGTCTCCTCTATCTTCTTTATATCTAACTAGCAAGAAAGACCAAAGCTAGATAGTGACCATCTAATGTCTTTAAAAAATTGAATGGTTTACAATTTAAAAGAGAGAAAAACATCATAGACCTGCTTTGAACCAAAATATGAGTGAGTATCAAGGGCAATTATGTTTGCAGTCTTCTTTGAAAATCTCTGCATTAGAATGGGACATAAATGTTAATAAACAAAGAAATAAATTAAATTTAAAAATACAAGAGATAACCCAGAAGAGATATAGCATATAATTTAATGCTAAAATACTGTTTATTAATATTAGTATTAGTATTGTTTAGCTTTGCTTGAAAGGATGGATATGATAGAAAAGGAATTTACAGCTATTCATAATTACTGTATCTGATTTGGGACAGACCTTTCATCTTAAATTCATGTATAGAGGGGGGAAGGTAGGAAGGAAGGAAAGAAGGAAGGAAGGAAAGAAAGAAGGAAGGAAGGAAGGAAAGAAGGAAGGAAGGAAAGAAGGAAGGAAGGCGATTTCTTTCCATTCAAATTTCTCAGCAAATCTAAAACAGATCTCCTATTTAAAGCCTTCCTTTAAATATATATATATATAGTACCCTAATATAATATTTTCTGGCACATATTTTCACAAATGTATACATTTATATGCACTGTGCTATTTTTCCTTCTATTTTTGCTGCCTTTTGCTTGGAAAATGGTGTTGCAAAAGTAAAAAAGGTGAAAAATTTGAAATTCAATGCCATTTTGGTGTGGGAATTAGTTCACAATGTTTAACTAAGTACATTTTAAATGTATGTCCAGTCAACCTCCTCTTCTTCAATGCCTAAACCTATTATTGCTTACCTTCCAGAATTTTAATTCCAGCATTAAAAAGTAAAGGAAATTATACAGATAATATTATCCCCTAATGATTGTTTTCCTTGCAGTGATAAATACTGTTTCTATTTTCCCCAGGGCTCAAAACATTTGCCTCTAAATTATTATCAATTTGTATCCTGCTTTTCTGTCCAGAGTGTACAAGTCATCTAATCATAAAAATCCAGTCAAATGCCAGTCTGAGTCACCAACATCATCACCAATTCCTGCTATATCACTGCCATATTACATTCAGAGCACCATCTTCAGGTTCAGTTTCTGCTCTAATGGTTTTGACTTACCACGGAGGCAGGGTGGAAATATTGGATGCTTTGTTACAAAAACTGCTGCTTTTAAAGGTTTTGAATTCATCATTCTGACACCAGAGACCAAGATCCCTGGAGCAGCTTAAAATGGTTAAGCAAGGAATGATTCTTAAATGTGCAGAACATTCAATTAAACTATGTTTTGGGGCAAAAGATATGGATTATCTAGTTTGTAAAAACTTGCAGTTTTATTTTTCCAGAGGCAGTGTGTGTACCTACATTCTCATAACAATGTAGAACGGCATAAATTGTTGCTTGATTTTGGCTACTGTTAAAAACAATATTGTCGAAAAAAAACCATTCACAAATATATGGAGAGAATGCTGGCCTATGCTCCGACACATCAGGCTGCAGGCTTTGCAAAATTTCAGAAGGTTGGCTCAGTTGGAAGAGGATTCACTTGAAATGTACACATCCCTGAATTAAATGATCAAATTCAATCTTTGAATTATTTTAACTTTCAAGTTCTGCAACATCCACGGGAGGGCAAGTGGGATAACATTGACACAAGCATAACTGCAATATTGTAATGCAGGCCTCACCCCCTTTCTCTGAGTCTCTGCAAGGGAGAGAGCTTTGCCTTTGGTGCCTCCCCATTGAAAGAATGCCCTTCCCAGAGAGACTTGGCTGTAGCCATATTAGACTATAAAGACTCTATGGGAAGAAAAACCAGGTCCAGTTCCAAGCTGGGAGTAAACAAAATGGAGGCTAAGACACTGGAAATAAAAATGGAGGCTGCTTAGAAAGAAAGTTCCAGTTTATTGATGAGCAGAACTACCAGCAGCATGTGGTTCTCGGACAGCTGACCAATGGAGTTGAGAGTGGATGGATCTTTATAGGGCTCTGAGACTTTGAAGCGGAAATGTTTCTGGGTTTCTGTGTAATGAGGTGGGCTTTTGTGTCTTTTGCAGTCTGAAGAGGATGTTGGGTTAATCCTGGTATGTCCTAAAGGTCATGTGCTGTTCTTAGATTTTGGGTGGGGGGAATGTAAATTCTTAATCCCATCAGCTGTGGAGGCTGAAGGTGTTTTGCTTATGAATGGTGTGCCCCAAATCTGCATTTCTAAAAGCTGTCCTCTTGAGTTTCTGCTTGGGGCAGGGGCCGCCTTTAAGATTTATCTCCATTATTCCTTTGGGGTAATATAATATTCTGCCTTTTTTAAAATATCCCCCCAAAATATTCCCTTCTCTAGGAGGGTGGGTGGGTGCTGACTTTCTGCAACCTCTTCATTTTTCCAGCTCTTCAGTCATATTTTAATTGCCTTCTAATTCATATAATTTCAAATTCCAATGGCTGTCTTGCTGCTACCTAATTTGTATGGCTTCTTTGTTTTGTATTTTATTGATTTTATTTGTTTTAAATTGCCTTTTTAGCAAGTTTTCTTGTAAACTGGCTAGAAAACTGCAACTATTGGAGAGCTATAGAACTTTAATAAATAAATGTGTTGAATGTTGGAAAATACATAAACGTACTTGTAGCAGAAAGCTTCCAGACTGCTTATCAAGACTGCTAGTCAATTCTAATTAGGTACCTCCAAGTCTCTTTGGAGAGATTTGTTGAAGAAAATAATAATAATATTTGAACATAGCTACAGGTGAAGGCAGTTTTATTTACTTGGAAAGACATAAGATTAGTTGTATCTTTCTTAATTAAAATATCATATATTCAAAAGGTGATTTATGTACATCTCTCAGACAGACAGATGTAAGAGAATCACAGTCAAAAAACAGAATGTACCTGATAAGAATACAATGCTTCCTCCTTCAGCAGTTAAGATGCTAAGGAATTGCTGCTCTCAGGAAACTAATATTGATTGATCAAGTGATTATGCATCATCAGGTTGATGTCCACTCACTTAACCACTTAAATAGATTTTCTGCAGGATGATCTGTCCCTAGCCAGGTTCTTCAGGTCTTCAAATAGCACACCGATTACCACTGCAACTGACTCCATCTATCTTGCACTGGTTATCCTCTTCTGTTTTTTCTTTCTACCTTTTCCAGAGAGCTAGTTCTTTGCATAAAGTTCCAAAAGTAGGATAATCTGAGTCTGATCATCTGATCAGCAATTGAGAATCACTGGGTTGATTTTCTCAATGAGCCATTTGTTTGTTTTCTTGGCTGTCTTTTGGCTGTCCTATCATGGTTAACTTAACTGGTTTTTGGCACATTGCAGAGGGTTGGCTAGGTGATCTTTATGGACTCCTTCCAACTCTACAGTTCTATCATTCCAACAATTAAGTGTGATTTAAGAATTATTTGTCAACCATGGTATCCAGAATTTCCCCCTCCTTCTTTTTCACTCCCAGCCATTTGTGGAAACAAATGTTTTACAATAGTAACAGACAAATTTAGGGCAGAGTTCTAATAAGGGATTTTTAAGACAGGAAGACTGGATTGGAGCTGTTTGTCCAGTCCCATTTGAATACAACTATCCCAAATTGTCTTTCCTTGCCTGAATTTGGGGTTCACTCTCAATCAGAACAGAATTCTAATAAAGGGGTTGAATACCAGTGTTGGCTGGTAATCATGGGAGTTAAACTCCTATGAATCTGAAGGGTCCCAGGTGACCTGGCCTATTGCCCGCTGGCCATTCTGGTGAATATGAAATAGATGGCATTCTTCATTCTCTGTTGAATGAAGAAAGGACAAGTGCTTGCTCATGAAGAAACCGAACATGAACAGCTGGTGGTTTCTATGAAATCTTTGGAGTGATGCATTACAATACGTCAGCTCTAAGGACATAACTCATGATTGGATGATAAAAAAAATAAAAAATAATTATCAAATCATTTATAGTGCTTGAAATGGGTTAAAAGGAAGTGGCCACATCCCATCTAGAAAGAATTCTCTGAAAAAGGAAAAAAAAGAGAGATCTCAAGCTTAGCAGGTACAAGTTCCACTTAACACATATGCAGTATGTCTTAGGAGTCTCCTTGCCTAATGCCTTCAATAAAGAACATCTTGAAAACATTTTTTTATAATAAATAAGTTCAGCCTGGCAATTTCTTAGGATCAGGAGATTTAGAACGGAGCTGGAACAAATTAGATTTTAGAAATATAAAAAGTTCCGTAGTAGAAGACAATTTGGAAATTGTTTTTTGGTTGATGCCAATTATGCTGCAAAACAACCTTAAACATTCTTGGTATGGAATAATTATGCCCAAGAGAAGGTTCCTCATTTATACATTTCTGAGATTCAGCAACTAATTTGAATGTTTTGTAAACAAGAGCCTGCAGATCAGTAAAAATCTGGCCTTATTAAAATTGCTTTTAAATTTATTGGGAGGCCCTGATGAGGAGTCATCAGGGGTTGGGGTTAATTTATTGTTCTGTGTTTGGAAATCAGCGTTGCCTCATCCTCACAGGATGAATTCACAGCACAATCCCATTCCCTTGGCTTTGCAGCAAGCACGATTCAACTTGTTCCTCCAGATCCTGAATACATCCCTTTTCCATCTTTTGACTGAGCAGATGTAGCCTTAAAATGATATCTTCTCCAATACACCTGTCTTGTTTTCCTTTTTGGGCTTGACTTCCCATGCAAACCTCAAGTAGCCATAAAAAAAGACAGGATCGTTGTTGGAAGATATGGGGGTACGTGTGAGTGGAATCAGACCTAGGCAATGATTAGTGAAGTATTGTAGGTTGTAGAACTATGCAGAAAGGTGGAGAATATTTACAAGAAATGCAATACAAGTGTAGACAAAGCCCACTATGTCCTGTCAGAAGAAGAGTCATGGAGCATGTACTCTCTGTACCGGGGCCTAGGAAGAAAGGGAGAAGGAAGTGACCTCCCAATCTCATAGACAAAAAGCAGGCAAAGTGTTGTGCCAAGAGAGTACAAACAGTGAATATTTAACACTCCGTACCTTGTGGTCATTCAGTTATGAATCAATGTCATTGGATTCCTATCTCCAACATTTTATTTTTTTTTATATTACAATAATATAAAATAGATATTTGACTCATTGGTCTTTTAACAATTTTTTAAAAAATCCATTTTAAGAACATGCATTTTCTTTTATATGTAATTTTTCTAGCACACAAAGCTTCTGTACACAGCTTTCCCTAATTGGCATAGCTGTTAATATAAATTCCTGAAGGACATTTTTTAATAAAGACTTCTGTGATGTTATTCTTGAGATAAGTTTTTAAGATATATTTTTTCTAGAATTAAAGGGTTTTTTTTTTACCTCCAACCCCACCCACTAGTAGTTTTCACCTGCAACTAGATTTTGCAAACTGGTATCCATAGAAATCTGTGAGAAGAATACTTTTACATCCTTTTTAAAATGGCCCCATATATACTAAAGTTTCTTGAGGTTTTTTTTTAAAAAAATATATGAAGCTTTCACAGTTAAAACGTGACCACATTCAAAAACAATTTCAGATAGCAAGTGGAAGACTTCATTTTAAATGACCCTGATGTTTAAAAAATCCCAGTAATACAAATTCAGCACATCAAGCAACAGGACTCGAAATCCTTTTTCTTATTCTGCCTATTTTTTTTCTCTCTCTCTCTCTATCTTCCTGCCTACTCATCTAATACTGAAATTTCTTCTGCAGTTGGGGTGAAAAACTGGCATTGTGACATGTGACTGGAGGTGGGTTACTATTAGATTTCCCAGTTCCATGTTAGAGCTTCATGATACCCAAAATAAAACAACAAGAAAGGCTAAAATACTAGTGCGTCATTCTATTACACTCATTGAGATGAAAAAGTATTTTAAAGGATGGCCTCTGGCCTCAGGAATGTTATTTATCCCCAATTTAAATAAAAAAGAACTTTGTTTTAATCCAGCTTAGTTCAGGTTCTTGAAGATAATAAACAGCTGAGTGAACATTCAAAGGTCTCATTTAACACAAAACATCAGTTTAAATATTCCACAGAATCAGGACAGAATTCTTGCCACTTTATTGAACTGAATTCACATTCACTGCACTCTGCAGATGAAAATGTTACCTTATAATATATGTGAAACATTCTTATTCATTGCTCTCATCAGAGCATCCTTTACCTCCTTGTTCTTCAAACTGTAGACCAAGGGATTTAGCATAGTGATGAGGAAGGCATATAGTCCAGCCATAATTTTATGCTGATGTTCAGAATAGTTTGAACTGGGTTGCAAATAAACAAACAAACCTGTTCCATAAAACATGATCACAACAACCAGATGGGAGAGGCAGGTAGAGATGGCCTTTTGCTGACCTCCCAGTGAGTTAACCTTGAGCACCGTTGAAAAGATGCACATGTAGGAGATGAAGATAATTAGAAAATTTACCAAAATAATAGTTCCAGCACCAGTGAAACCATATATTTTAGGCACAAGGATGTCTGAGCATGAGTGCTTAAGGAGTGGTGGGAGATCACAGAAAAAATGATTGATTTCATTAGCCTGGCAGAAGGACAAAGTCCCTATCAAGGTGGTATGAATAATGGAGTTCAGGAAGCTGGCTATGAAGGCTCCTCCTACCATTCTGAGACATTGGGCATGTGACATGAGGGATGGGTACAGCAAAGGATTGCAGATGGCCACGTAACGGTCATATGCCATCAGCCCCAAAAGAATGCACTCAGTACTGGCAAGAGCAAGAAAGAAATACATTTGGATGAAGCATCCTGTGAAGGAAATGGTTTTCCTTCTTGACAGGAAAATTGCCAAAATCTTGGGGAGGGTGGTAGAAGAATAGCAAAAATTTATGAAAGCTAAGTTGCTGAGGTACATGGAGGTATGAAGCTGAGGGTCCATTCTGATCAGCATAATCATACCTAATATTGTGATAACATAGATCAGGAGGAAAAACACGAAAAGAAGAACTTTCATTTCTGGTTGTTCTGCAAATTCAAGAAAGATGAATTCAGATACTGCTGTCTGATTTTCTCCAGACTTCTCTGTGGCTGAATTTATCCTGTCTTGTTTATGATTATGGATCTCCATGCACATTAGATGTCAGAGGCAATCATGTTAAAAACTTAGCTGTGGAATAACTCAACTGTTTCTTTCATTTTGTAGAACAAATACTTTTATTCTTTTATTTCCTAAAAAAACATAATGTAAAATAAATCACATCATGTGGTGTAAAGAGATTATAAAGAAAAATCTACATACAGTACACTGTGACTGTAGAATTTGACAATTTCATGTGAATGATAAAACGACCCAACATCATCACAATCCAAGTTGTGCCCATGCCATATCATGCTACTACACATACAAGGGACAAGGCTTGTATTGCAACATCTTGATACTCATTTCATGATACACCTCCATGAATGTCACTATAATGCACTTTAATATGAACAAATATAACTTTAGCTTGTATTCTAAGAATGTGGTTGTTTTATTTTCAGTGTTGTGGTTTGATAACACCACAGAATGTCAAAACAATCTGATATCTGATGCAGCAAAGCTATTCAGTGAGTTGTATAATTGTGATGTCTGTCCAACAAAGGACACAAGAGCCAAAAGTATGTTTTTCTTTTCCTGCCGAAACATTCAGAAAAACTAATTCCAGTGAGACTGCAAGAATTAAAGAAGCATCTCAAGTAGCAGTACAAGTTCATTGATGTGTTTTAATAAATCAGCAATAGCAATAGCTTAGTCCAATTGTCTGATTACATGACAGAAAAATCTAGGAAAAAAGTTTGGTTAGAACAGGTTGAAAATTAATATTGAGTTATGGAAATTATTTTTTTGCAGGAAGAACATACTGTTTCTCTTAGCGCCAAGGGATATGAAATTCCTGTTACTAAATGACTACGTTGGTTTAGTTCTCAGTGAAGCAAGGATATTTGTGATGCTGAGATGCATCTTTTAAACATCTGAGTTTATTGATCAATAGAACTGATATTTGATCATTTATGAAGAACAGCTGAAATGCACCAAAAGAGAACAAAAGAGGAGTTAAATTTGCTAGTGGTTTTTGTTTGTTTGTTTGCTTATTTTCAGTTACTTTTCATTCATCCAAAATAAATAAGCATCCCTCAAGTAGTCCTCTGCTTCAGAACAGTACAGCCTCAGAGCAGCAGTATTGATAGGTTTACTGCTGGATGTAGACTGCAAGTGCTAATAGAAGATAAGAGGGACAGTTTGGTGCAGTGGTTAAGGCATGAGGCTACAAAAGGGGAGATAATGATTCTAGTCTTGCCTTAGGCACAAACTCAGCTGGGTGACTTAGAGCCAGTCACTCTCCCTCAGCTCTAGGAAGGAGGCAGGGACAAACCACTTCTGAAATTTTAGCCAGAAAATTGCAGAGACTAGTCCACCAAGAGTCAAAATTGCTTTGAAGGCTCAACATAAAATAGCAAGACTGCGGCCAAGCTTCAAAAGACCATACTGGGGTGGGGAAGGACCCTCTTTGAATGAAAGTTATAAATGCATGGAGAAGCAAAGCATACTTGAATAAACTAATGAGAGCCATGTGAGCACCATACAGTAGAGGGGGGCTTAATTTATTTTCATATGTGAGACTGTAACAAATGGCCCTCACACCTCCCATGCACACACACACCTCAGGCTGTGAAGTCCTAATCTGTAGCTTGTTTAGTTTATGCCTGAATCTACCCAGGCACCTATGGAAAAAATAGAAAAATTTCAGGCCATTTTTCCTCCTATTGTTGCTGAACTCCAGAAGCATTCTAAAAGTAACAGTTTGCTGAGGAAAAGGATTTTCTTTTAAAGATTCATAAAGAATCCAGGTTTCTGCAAACATTCTTCCTCCCTTCCCCTATTTAAATCAGGGAAAAAATAAAGACTGGCAAACATGATTTCTAAGGGCCCAGCTAGGAGAAAGCGAAGTTCTGAAAAGGCAGGGCAGTCTTGATAGGCAGACTGCATCCGCTGTTCTTCTCAAAAGGACATTGATGCCCCACGGAATTATGGGATGGGAGAAAAGTCCTCCTCTGTTGGTTTGTAGAAGAACCACTGTTTCTTTGTGGTTCAGAGAAGTTTCAAGGAATATTGAAGAGTCATCTAATACCTTAAAGGTTTATTACTATAACTTTTTTGGATCAAATTCCATTTCACCAAATGCCTGGAGTTCATATATTTGTTTATTTTATTACATTCTACCTTTCCTCCCCAAAAAGCAGCTTAAATAGAGAAGGAGCCCTGAGAAGCTAATGGCAGTTCTGCATTTTGCTAAGTAAGAATTGCCATTAGTTTAGATATTTGGGGCAGTTTTGCAAAAGAGTAGAACAGTCTCTTTCTATAATTGTTGCATGAGGACATGTAAAGACATAATGGATGGTAGTATATGTCACTGTTTAAGTCTCAGAAACAATCTTTTTACTTTTGGTTATGCCTGGATTATGAGAAGGATACAAGAACACTGAAAGATAGAGATATTCCAACAATTCCACTATTCTGTTGAGAATCACTGTAATGCAGAATTGTTCCATACACAGGTACCACTGTGTAAAGAAGAAGAAGAAGAAGAAGAAGAAGAAGAAGAAGAAGAAGAAGAAGAAGAAGAAGAAGAAGAAGAAGAAGAAGAAGAAGAAGAAGAAGAAGAAGAAGAAGAAGAAGAAGAAGAAGAAGAAGAGATAGTAATAATGATAATAATGATACTGATAATTCCCAATTCACAAATATACTACACTTTCATGCAGACACCTCCTACTCAAATATACATATGTATCTGTCATCAAATTCATCAACCTCATCTCAAAATTGTGTTAATACCTCTCTGCATCACTTGCATATATTCAACTGATATACTGGTAAAACAATCAGGCTGTATCACAGAGATCATTTCCTGTATCTCCCTATTTTCTCTCCCATTCTCTCATTCTCAGGAATGTAACACTTGATTTACTCACTTGACCAATTGTGCTCATAGACAACCTACCTGTATGAGCTTGACCAAATGTGCTCATAGACAATCTACCTGTATGAGTAGGAGGTAACTCATGTGATAATAGAAATGTCTCATAATATTCCCAGAAGCCCTTTCTTACTGTGTCTCAAAGATTGTATTTTCACACTTAACCTATCATATGAACTTATCAAAGTGCCCCTTCCAGTGCACAGCTGATGTTATTATGCTGAAGAGGCAAGTTAACAAAAGTGCTGTTGCTTTCTTCCTTGGTTCCCTTAAATACCTTTCAGAAAAAAATCTGCATGGGAGTTCAAAATTTATGGTGTCTGGGGATAACGTGAATCAATATCCCATACCCCTGCAGAATTTAGTATTATTAAACAGCTTGAAAATGGTTTGCAAAAAGTTCAGATTTTTAATGGCCAGAAAGAGGCTATTTCTACAGGCCTCCCAGAGGGGACAGTTCAAATTCATCAGCTGACTTATATGATATTCAAAAGTTCCTTCCTTAGTTTCTTAATTGGTTATTCAAAGAATTGTGATGAGTGGCTAACTATCTGCTCTAATTTTAGATTGATTATCACCATTCAATAAATTAAGTGTTGTTTTCTTCCAAATTGCAGTTGAAGGTTAAATGAAAAGTCATACTTTTATCTCCATAACTTTAAAGGGGGATATTTTTAAAAATGAAGCAAGAAAATAATCCTTGAAATGAATGGTTTTGTTATTTGTGTTTATGTCTTTACATGATCACCACCAGTAGCTACATAGGTCTGCCAATGATGGATACCTAATAAATCACTTAGCGGAGGTCTGTGCCCAGTGCAAGAATCAAGTAGTATTGCATTCCCAACAGATGGCAATTCAGGATGCCTTTAAAGATCTTTAGTGAGGGGGGTTCCACCATTTTCTGAGGTAGTAATAGGTAACCCCATTACTGAACAGTTCTTAGGAATTTTTTCTTGATGTCCATCTGAAATCTGCTTCCTTGCCATTTAAAAACATTGTTTCTTGTCCCGTCATCATGGATAGCTCTGAACAATCCTGCAGCATTTTCAATATGATAATCCTTGAGATGACAGAAAGTAGTATATTTTCTTCATTGGGATTTTCAAACACAATACCTTCAACCATTATCTATCACTTTTTCCTTTCATGATACTTTCTATTATACAAGGCCATTAAATTTATTTACCATTTTAGTAATAAATTGCCATGTTTTAGAAATATGGACAATATTTACAGTATTTTACAGTTTCAAAGTATAATACAATGGTTACACAGTAAAATACAAATTGAGGAGCATATCTAGGTGGGTTGTAACATTCTCAACTTAATTATTTCAAAAGTGGAAATAGATTTCTATCCATTGTTCTCTTCAATGAATCCTTCACCTCCTTGTTTCTCAGGCTGTAGATCAAGGGGTTAAGCATTGGGATGATAAAGGCATAAAACAAAGAAACAGTTTTATTCTGATCCTCTGAATAGTTTGAACTGGGTTGCAAGTATATAAAGAGGCCTGTTCCATAAAATATGATTACAGCAGTCAAATGAGAAATACAAGTAGAGAAAGCTTTTTGGCGGCCAACCACTGAATTCATCTTAAATATTGTACAAAGGATATGTATGTATGAGCTCAGTATTATCAGGAGAGAGCCCAGCATATTAATTCCAGCACAAACAAAAATAAGTATTTCAGTTAAAAAGGTTTTGGAACATGAGAGTTTGAGGAGTTGGGGGATTTCACAGAAAAAATGGTTTATTTCATTAGATTGGCAGAAAGATAAAGTACCTACCAGACTAGTATGAATAATAGAGTTCAGGAAGCCAGCTGTGAAGGCTCCTCCTGCCATTTTGAGACATTGGGCATGGGACATGAGGGAAGGATACAGCAAAGGATTGCAGATGGCCACGTAACGGTCAAATGCCATCAACCCAAAAAGAATGATCTCTGTACTTGCAAGAGCAACAAAGAAATAAATCTGGATAATGCATCCTGTGAAGGAAATAGTTTTCTTCTCTGCCAGAAAATTTCCCAAGGCTTTGGGGATAATATTGGAGGAATAACAAAAATCTATAAAAGCCAAGTTACTGAGGAAAAAGTACATGGGCGTATGAAGCTGAGTGTCCATTCCAATCAGAAAAATCATGCCCAAATTAGTTACCACTGTGATAGAATAGATTAGTAAGAAAAATATAAAAATTGGAACTTTCAGTTTAGGGTTTTCTGCAAAACCCAGGAGGATGAATTCAGACACTGCAGTGTGATTTTTAATAGACATCTCTGTTTCTGAATTACTCTTGTGATGTTCATGGAGAATAGAGATGGATCTTCGTGTACCTTCCAAAGTTATAATTAAACATTTATTTAAAATAATAATAATAATGAAAACTAAATAAGAACAACACTCCATCCCAAATCCTGCATCATCAACAGATTCTTAAATATGACACTATTAAGGGGATTTTCTGCCAATAGATCCTAATTTGTCACTTTAGAGTAACAAATAATGTTCCATGAGTCTTTCTCAATCTGCAAATATAAAATCAATGTCATTGCAAAGTCAGGTGTATTTTAATAGTTTGCATATTTGTAAAATATTATTAAGGTTTAATAATCATGAGCTTTAGGTATTTTTGTTTGTAATATGCAGCAATATGTTATTTTATGAATTTGTTTTTTTCAATTTTTATTCCAGGCAGTTTAAAATGTAGTTATTAATAACACAGACAAATAAGTTTTAAGCAATATCTATTTCATAAGGAGATTCTAGCACAATTCTCACCATATTCAATGAAAGATTGGGCACACATGATCACTTTATCTCCTTCTGGAAAATGTACTCAAGGGTCCATATTATATGATATACTAGTAGAAATCACTTAAGCAGTCTTTCATGAAACAATCAGCTATCATATTCCCTTTTTCCTTAGAAAAGATGATTAGCATTTACACTGACTGTAGAACTGTCAGTTCTAATTATTGCTGGTAAATATTTTCAGATGTGGTCACATTTATTTTCATTTTGTAAAACTCATTTCATAAACATCCAATACCACAGATAATATTTTAAACTAGTGGGAATAGGAAAGTCTGTCCCTTGCTCATAGCCTTGGAAAAGATCCTAGACTATAAAAGGAAAAGGTTGGATCCAGAAACTTCTTTCCATCTGCCTACTGCATTATATGTATTCGATGGCAGTGTAGATGCATCACTTATGCATACATGAGAAGAGAATATACATATTATAGTAATGCACACCAGTCACTGATTTCTCCTGAATAAAGAGGAATAGTACATTTCTGCATTTTAGCATATATGTATTACTACAGTATATGTTTTCTTCTATGTGAATTTTGGATTAGTAGAAAGATAATTTTTTTCCCTGTAAGCTATTTGCAAAATCTAATTGCACAGGATAACGGCATTGGATAGGATTAGACAGCATTATTTATGCCACAAAAAGAATAACAGTAGAAACCATCTGTCTTTGTTTCTCTGTTTCTCTGTCTCTCTGTTTCTGTCCATTTTGATCCTATTCTAATCTCACAACATGCCCGAAGGAGCTTTTTTTGTATGTATGGAATTGTCCATTAATTTCTATAAATGGAACAGTTCTGCAATGGGTTATGGAATCTTGAGAATATAGAACAGAATTGTAAAGAGCTCCCTTTTGCATGATGACAAAAAGTTATGTTTTTTATACATATATCTAAGTCACTACTCACATATCCCAGTCAAACAGCTGCTGGTAGTTTTTCTTCCTCCATATTTAGATATTGTGATCTAGTTTACACACTGTGCATCAGCATTCCTGTCTTAGCTTCCTTTCATATTCTGAACATATGAATGAGCAAATGGAAAAAACAGAAATTTATCTAACCTATGATAATAGCACTTCCCACCTGGACAATGAGTTACCTGTTAGGTAGCTCATAAATCCATTGTTTCGGTGACATTGTGATGCCCGGTTAATCCCTCTTGGTAATACCCAGCGTCCAGTGTTCCCAAAAGGTTTGGGTAAGCTTATTGATGTCTAGGTCCCATTCACTTTCTGAGACCAATCTGCTATTAACAAGCACTTTAAATATTTTCAGTCAGTATTCTTATGGGAGCACACAATTTAAATTACTAATTTAACTTACTAACTTGGGAGATTTAATATTTAAAAATAAAGCAAAATAGAAGTAAGTTGTGAAGTTTTTTTTTTTCTCCCTCCTTTCCTCCTCCTTCTCCCTCTCTTTTTAATTACATACGACAGGTTGTGTTTCTAATTATCACCCTGTTTCCTGTCTAGTTTAAGCCATATAATTTCATAACATTTGAAATATGTGAACTTTGACATTTGTATTTTTAATTATTATTATAATGATTATGATTTTTAATAAAAACATGTTTAAATGACTGAATAGCTGAGAAGCACAGTTTATTTCATTGCTTCCTTGATGGTGAAGTTCCAGATTATAGATTAGAAGTTTTATTTATTTTTTCAATTCTCTAGGGAATACATTTAAGTCTGATACAAATTCTCTTTTACTTTATTCCATCTTGCAAAAAGAGTCTTCACAGTCTACATTTATATTCTACAAAACTCCAGCAAAATTTCAGTTAATGTAAAGAAACATTAAATTCTGCAGGGGCTTTTTTCATACAGACTGAGTATACACTGTTCTATAAGTTTAGAGGATCCTATACATCAGAGGTCAACAAGAATTGTGCCAATATTGCTGAACTAAGTCAAAAGTAGATCAGAATAGAAACATGGCTGTTTGAAAGGGTGGCATTTCAAATGCATTAAAGTCAACCTTCAAGGACATCTCCCCCATATTCTTGCCAACCCCTCAAAACCTTTGGTTAACTCTCCTGTCCAGTTATTGTGCAGAGAAAAAGATTTATCTGTACTGTATTTGCTGAGATTGCACTACTTGGTTCCATTGGCACCATGAAGAATGGAGTCTGCTTCTTGTTCTTCTAAGAGCGTCCTTCACTTCCTTGTTCCTCATGCTGTAAATTAGTGGGTTAAGCATGGGGATTGTAACTGAGTACAACACAGAAACCACCTTGTCCTGATCTAGGGAATGGCTTGAGCTTGGACATGAATACATGAAAAGGGAACTTCTATAGAACAATGTAACAGTGGCCAAGTGGGAAGCATAAGTGGAGAACGCTTTGCACCTGCCTCCAGTAGTATGGATACTCAGTACAGTGGTGAGGACAGACAAATAGGATGCTAGAATGACTGCGGTGGTGATCAAGATGTTGAACCCAACCACAGCAAAAAGAAGTCTCTCATTGAAATTAGTGTCTGAGCAGGCTAGGGTTAGGAGTGGGGGCCCATCGCAGAAAAAGTGGTTGATCTTATGAGAATGACAGAATGGGAGATGAAATATAGAGACGGTATGTATAGCTGAGCTCATCACACCTATGACATATGCCCCAGCCAGTAACCTCTCACAAACGTTCTGACACATGACAACTGTGTAAAGCAGAAGCTTGCAAACTGCAACATAACGGTCATAGGCCATGGCAGCCAGCAGGTAGCTCTCAGTGGTAGCACAAGCTGCAAAGAAGAATAACTGAGTGGTGCATCCAGCAAATGAAATTGTCTTTCTGCCTGCTAAGAAATTCACCAGAGTTTTGGGAACAATTGTAGATGAATAGCAAATGTCTAAAAGAGAAAGATGACTCAGGAAGAAGTATATAGGTGTATGGAGTCGTGTGTCAATCCTGATTAATACAATCATGCCAAGATTTCCAACAATGGTAAAAATATAAACAGCTGAGAAAAACAAAAAAGACAACATTTGAAATGTATACTGATCTGTAAAGCCCACAAGAATAAAATCACTTCCCATAGAGCCATTTCCTTCAGACATTTCTTTGATGAAAGGTTTGCATGCCAGTCTTCAGATGGACACCACTGAAACTAGAGAGAAGCACATTCTTTAAAATAGCAAATATTTAAAAATAACAGGCTATAGGCTATTTTATCGGTCACTTGCATTGTCATTCTAACATGAAATTTTAGAATCAAATTCAATATTTCCCTCCTTCTCATGTAGCTTACCTACTGCCACATCTAGTTATATATTCAAGGTCAGAATTTCAGATGTTTGTTTCCTAAGCATTAATTTAAATCTCTGCCCTGCTATTTAAAGCCAGGGATTTTTTTTAGTTGTATGTTTCATAAGATGCACACATCATTATAACTATTTATATCTAGTATTGATACTGAAATAAAAGAAAGCTCTTTCATTCATACAAAATGCACTCTCCAGTTTTTAGTTATTTCTCCTCTTCATTAATAATAATAATGATAAAGTTGGAAGGGACCTTGGAGGTCATCTAGTCCAACCCCCTGCTCAGGCAGGAAACCCTATACCATTTCGGACAAATGGCGGTGCAGTTTCTTCTTAAAAACCTTCCAGTGTTGGAGCATTTACAGCTTCTGGAGGCAGGTTGTTCCACTGATTAATTGTTCTAACTGTCAGGAAGTTTCTCCTTCGTTCTAGGTCGCTTCTCTCCTTGATTAGTTTCCATCCGTTGCTTCTTGTCCTGCCTTCAGGCGCTTTGGAGAATAGCTTGACTCCCTCTTCTTTGTGGTAGCCCCTAAGATATTGGAACACTGCTATCATGTCCCCCCTCGTCCTTCTCTTCATTAAACTAGACATACCCAATTCCAGCAACCATTCCTTATATGCTTTAGCCTCCAGTCCCCTAATCATCTTTGTTGCTCTTCTCTGTACTCTGTACTCTATCTAGAGTCTCAACATTGGTGTCCTTCTCCTTTTGGAAAGTTGCTCCAGCATGGAATATGGTGCAAAATTACTGTATATAGGAGGCAGGGGGAAGATTGACTATTAGATGCCTTCTCTCACATAAGAAACAGTACTCTTGGGACACAAGAATAATGGTTAATTTTGAACTTGCTTATGTCTTGCTTCCAATGGTTTCTACTTGTGATTAACTATTTGCTGAAGGGAGCCTTGGAGGATTCCTTTAGGAAAATCACTTTGAAATTATTTAGAGGTTCATTAATTTATACATTACACCTTCATTTATACATCTTTTTTTTATTGAAAATTTTTAAAATTTTACAAAAAAAGAGGTTCCCTTCCCCAAACCCTCCCAACCCACCCCAACCCTCCCCCAACCTTCCCAGAGCTGAATACAGGCTTAATTAAAATTTAAAAGAAATTTTTTTTAACACAAATGAACCATATACAAATTTGATTACAATAATTAAACAAATCATAAAATACTTTATCACCAATACTTAAAAAACAGAAAGAGAAAAAGAAAAGAAACAAGAAGAAGAAGAAAAAGAAAAGAAAAAAAGAAATTATGAAGAAAAAAAATATCTAAAAAATATCTTAAACTTTAAATATAAATTATTCAAAAGCTAAATAATATTTTTATATCATACTTGTATTGTATAAAATTTATCCATCTTTTCCATACCAAAAGGTACTTCTCTTGCGATTGATCTTTCAAAAAAGCCGAAATCTTTGCCATTTCCGCTAAATAGGAAACTTTAAGAAACCATTCTTGCAAAGTAGGCAAAGATTCCTTCTTCCAGCATTGCCCTACTAACAACCTAGCTGCTGTAATTAGATTTAACATTAATATAGTTTCTTTACTGTCACAGTCGGAAACAATACCCAACAAAAACAATTGTGGAGTAAATTTTATCCTTCTTTTAAAAATTCTTTGAATATTCCACCATATCTTAATCCAAAAAGCTTTTATATTTTTGCATAACCACCAAATATGATAATAAGTAGCATCCAAACAACCACATCTCCAACATTTAGGCTGCAAGTTTGAATACATACGAGACATTTTTTGTGGATCAAGGTGCCATCTGTAAAACATTTTATAAAAGTTTTCCCGTAAGTTTTGGGCTTGTGTAAATTTAACATTCCTCACCCAAATAATCTCCCAAGTATCTAATGGAACCGATTCATTAAAGTTTTGTGCCCATTTAACCATACAATCTTTAACTAGTTCTGCTTCTGAATCCAGTTCCACTAACACCCCATAAATTCTTTTGATATGGGTTCGTCTTTGATCTTTTATTTGTTTTAACAAATTCTCATCCTCTCTAAGCAAACCCACCTTACAATCTATCTTCCACCTTTCCAATAATTGTCTATACTGAAACCATGAAAAAATAATATTTTCTTGTGTTAAATCTTCCATGGATTTTGATTGCCAATTTTTACCATCCCATCTAAGTAATTGTATATAAGAAATGCTATCCATCTTAACTCCTCTCCTTATCCCTTCTATCGCATGCCATGGAATAGCCCATAATGGAATTCTTGAATCACTCCTATAATATTTCTTCCAAACCCAAAGTAAAGAAGTTCTTAAAATATGAGACTTAAAAACCCTGTCAACCTTCTTATTAAAAATTAAATAGGCATGCCATCCAAATAGTAAATCCCATCCCTCCAGGAGGAGTACATCTACATTTGTTAAGTTAACCCAATCACTAATTAATGTTAACACCACAGCATCATAATACAATTTTAGATTTGGTACCTTGAGTCCACCTCTCTCACGAATATCTTTTATAATTTTAAGTTTTACTCTTGGTTTTTTCCCTGCCCAAATAAATTTGTTGATACCTTTCTGCCATTCATTTAAATTAACCTCATTCTTTAGAATAGGTATCATTTGAAATAAAAAGAGAAACTTTGGCAAAACATTCATTTTAATCGCTGCAATTCTCCCCAATAGGGACAATTGCAGCTTCTTCCAATTTCCCAAATCCTTTTGTATTTTAACCCACAGCCTTTCATAATTATTTTTATACAGTTTTGCATTAGATGCAGATAAGATAACCCCCAGATATTTTACCTTATTGACAACCTCAAAATCTGTCAACCTAACTAGAGTCTCCTTATCCAAATTAGTCGTATTTTTAAGCAATATTTTAGTCTTATTGTTATTAATTTTAAAACCCGAAACTTGTCCATACTGATGTATCAGTTGTA